GCTGACGAGGTTCCTACTTTATACAGTGTATTTTGTCTTGATACTATTCAGTTGGAAGACATGATCAGAAAATTACCTCAATGTAGACATATCTTCCATCGGAGTTGTTGCGAAGAGTGGATCCGAAAAGAACTTCGAGCTCAAAGAGACTTGGGGCCTCACACCAGCGGCGAAATGGTGGAATTTTCCTTCGCGAATACCAAGCTATTTTGTCCAATTTGCCGTACTAGCTTAGCTTCAGCTTTGACAGACGTACCAGCAAAGCCAGAAGCTATATATATACGTGATTGATGAGTCCTTGGCTGTTGCGCGTTACCTCCTGGCGTCCTGACTACGCCTGTCTCGCTGCTATAATGCTGCCGCCTCATATACCAGGTCAACCTTACGCAGCCTTGCGCCTCTCCTATCTGTTAGGGTCGAATCTTTTTGGAATATGCCTCGGGCCCCTCTCGGCTACGATATTGAGCGCTTTAGCAGAAGGGTTTTGGTCCTCTAAAGGGGTATAAAGTCTCAGCAAGGCTTCCAAGCCTATACAAGACCAGAGAAGCCCAGATAGAGACGATTGTAAGACCGTTTCTCTCTACAAAGCAACAAGACCAACGCAGGCCCTACAGCAACAGGTATCTGAACGGCCGCCCTATTGGCGTGAACTGTACAATATCGAGGGGTTCTCGTTCACTTAGTCGAAATAAAGGTGCAATCATTAAAGCATACCTATGGTTACTTATCTTGAGGTTTAGTGAATGTTGGATGTGCAGTGTATAGAATAGGTCTGTCATTTGCTCTATCCGTCTATCGAGGTCCACGATGGGAGGGAATGACGTGAGGAACGGATCGTCTGTTTGCCTACGCCTGACTCGCACTTTAATCTAAACCGAACTAATTAATCATGAAGCAACATCAACCTTCAATCTTATATCAGCTTGGGATATTGAATACAGGGAACGGTGTGTAGTTATTCTTGTCTATACCTAATTGTTAAGAGCACCATAAGCATAATTATAACAATACATACTGGTGTTAGAGTGGCTGGTTGTCCGAGGCTTATCGAAGCACTTTTGGTAGAGCTCGTGTCAGAATCGTCACTGGAATCCCTGTGTGGTATTTCTTGTTCAGAATGAACTCCATGATTCAGGGCTCCAATTGACGCCATTGAAGAATTTCTTGGAGGCAGTACGCAGTCCTTTGATACTGTGACTGTAACATAGATCTATATTGATTGTGCAAGTATCAAAGCTAAGGCGTAAGTGACGGACCGTCAGCGAGCAGGAAAAGCTATTATCTCAGATAATTTTACTGTAAGCCTCGTGATATGAGATGCTCCCAGGATTTCAATGAAAGCTTCATTGTTGCTCTGACTCCTTAATCCGCTCATGATTCGCTTCGTAACCCGATATCTCGTCAGCTTAAACTTTCCATCTTCAGGTGTCATTCTCGTCCTGCCTTTCTTTTTAAGGAGCTTACCGGAGTTCGGAACGATGAATCCCTGAATCTGCCTCCCCCCGGACCCCTCCTTTGACCGGAACAGAGTGGATACTCGGTCGACCAAGCGGTATCCAAATGTTGCTGAGTTTTGGACTCGTATTCGGAAACAAGTCTCAGTCCCTGAGTACCATTCTAGCACAGGACTTGGGACACAATACATGTGGTGAGGGCCCCCAATTAACCAGAGAGCATGGGTACCGCATCCAACCTTAGGTGGAACTGATTTAAGTTGGCCGGCCCGGAATGGAGAGGCCGAAATTCCCGGTCTCGAACGCGGTGATTCGATAGAGGGAGGAGACCCGGCTTCCTCGACCGTACTCCTGTATATGCTCATTCTTCCTAAACCTACTACATTTCAGAACTTGTGACCATCGGAAGTTGATTCACCCTCTCGGTTTCAGCCCCCGTACCTTAATTATGTTGTGGAAATTATGGCATGTGCCCGAGGAATATGAATGCAAATGACACCGGCCAATCTTTCTTCATTGTGATAGTATTCAACAAGGTAACGCCAGCCATCTTCGGGCTTGCACTAGGAGCCACCAGCTTGGGATCGAGTCGTGAAGCTGCGCAGTGGCGTGCCATTCTCACGGAACTTTCACTTGAATTCCTGAAAATGTGCAAGTTTCAGCTATGTACCCCGTAAGGCTTTGAGTAGCGTACAGCGCCACCAGGAGATGAACGATTGGCATTAATTCACAAATAGGCAAATACAGATGTAGAGAGTCCCGACTGGACCTACGATGTTCTTACAAGGCATTCCCTAAAGGCGCCGCTGCTCCGATGCCGTTATTGAGCAATGCCGGAAGAATATCTACATAACTCAGATGTAGCCTCTTAGGGACACTTTGGAGTTTTCACACACTATTTCTGGGGTCCGCGGTGTTCACGGACTTTGTCTGGAGCGAGTTAAGGCGCATCCCTCCCGACTGATCACGCAACGGGCTTCCATCTCGCGAGTATACTGAATTTACCCTTGTATTTCTGCGGAGAGCCAAACAGCGTGACAACATATAATTGTAATGTGGAGGGCATACTTCGAAATATGTATTTCTTTCTGTGAGACGAAATATCTAAGGTTCCTCGAGATCACTAATAGCTAGCTCAGTGTTTTGAGCTTTTCCGAAGACTTGGGCTACTTTACTGCTTAAATCCCGTACTATTAATCGTGATATCTCTAAATAGCTTTGCTCTTCACCTTCATCTTTCTCTAGATACATGCTAATTTAGCTATACCAACTCCCTTACCTATAAGGTCTGGCAAAGAAACATTTCCAAAGGTTCGATCAGTTGAAGTAGTGTACCTGAATAATGGCCGAGTGTATTCTACTGAAGATCTTGAATGATGCTGGTCAAACATCTTTGGAGCCTATACATTTAGTTCGTTATAACTCGATTTTATCGGCTCTGTTGCTAATGTTCGAGAGATGAAGTGTCCCCTCGTACCCATTATCGAATCGGTCAGGGATATATTGTCGTGCGAAGCCTATTGGTTTGAAGCCTATTGTTTAGGATCAGGTTCGACACGACTACCTTCTCCAAAACATCTAATTGCTTAAGGATGTGATATTGTGAAGGGACTACCTTGTTGACCTCAGTTGTCGATTCGTCCAAACGGATTATAGCTGAGCTGTATACGCTTATAAAGCTCTAAGGCCCGATACAGGTCATTGCTGCTACTGTAAAAGTATCATGCTGGTCGTAAGTTCCGGTTATGCTTGAGTTGCGTGGTCGCTTTCTTGATAGCCTGCTCCACGATTTCCTTGCATCTAATGTCTTGGTTATTATCAGTCCCCGCCGTTTACGGTAGGCACGGCTTCGATCATTCTGCTGTCCATGCTGATGCTTCCCTTCCGTAATCATTTCTGGCGTCTAGTTAAAAAACAGTTCCGTCTTCTCTGCTGGGAACTAGAACCACTGTGTCGCACCCATTTGACGATGCGCGGAAGGTCTCATATTGAAGCTTATGGAGATATTTTTCGGGCAGCACACCCACTGTCCCTCAGGAATAGTTGTCGATGTATGCTGAAGGCTCCCGTTTAGGTGCTGACGACCTGCCGATTAGATAGAAAGATAAATAGGATCGATGACAAAGGTGACAATGTGCAAGCCCGGCGAATGGTAGCAGGGCGACTTTTATTTGCAAAGCTCGCAAATTGGAGCCTGAAATTCGATTTTGTAGTATCCATCTCTTGCTAGTATGGATGTTCTTTTCCCTAAGTCAGGCATCCAGTGCCATTGACTCAACTATCAAACAAGAGAAACAGAAGCAGATCATACAGGTGGCAGACCATAAATACTGTTGAACTGCGGTTGTGCTGACAGATGATTCTGCCAAATCGGTATTGTAGTATGAGACCTGGCCAGCATAGCTATACTGAAACCACAGCCTCGTTGCTCGGCCTCATCGACTCTACCAGCAGCCTTGGAGGCGAGAATTCCATGTTTTGAGCAAGTTATCGCAGCCCTGTGCGTAGACTTCTCTGCGGTAAAGTTACACCAAAATGTATACAGAATGCATGCCCGGGACGAGAATCTTGCCAGACAACCAGAGAACAATGGCAGACCTGTTCCATACCCTATATTTCCACCAAATACGCTCATATCCATCAACACCATGTTCCTTCTATACAAACGGCACCGACAAGGTTGCTTTGCATACATACATACATCTGCAACATACATATATACATCTGCAAGAATGATCACAGACTAATTCGACGTGAGCTTGGCGTGTTGGTTCATTCGCATTCAGTCTGTAGGAATGACCCTGTATCGGTACGATACACAAACACGGGCACTGAGGGGACAGGGCCTGGATTGAGCGCGAAGGGCGACTCGGACCCTTTTTGCGGAGTATGCCAGCCTCGGATGTTTCGGCAAGTCCGAAGCGAGGAATTGCGACAAATGGATATCCATCCCTGCCAGGCTCCGTATTCGTGAGTGAAAATTACGGTGGTCTGGCCAAAGAGCTGACACGAGAGAGCAGATCGGTCGTCAGAGGGAGCCGAGAAGGAGAAGAAGTCAAGACCGAAATGGGAATGGTTGCGCGCGCAAGGAGGCAAGGTCCTTTTCGCTGGCTTGGCCCTGGTACCGAACAACAGGTCTGCGCCAACTTCTTCGGGTGACTAGCTTCCAGTGATACAGGTAGGCTGCTTCGGCAATCACTTTCTATTGCTATAGATCTTTTCACGCAACCAGTCATCGCCTCGACCCCCTGATGCCGATCGTTTTGGACTTACGTTGCTACAGCAGTCTGTTAGAAAGGACGAGATGAACCGAGATCGCGTCTCAAAAGCATGCGATAGATGTAGGCGAAGGAAACTCAGGGTATATGCTGGCTCCGTTAGAATCGACGCTTCTGATCATTATAGTGTGATGGAAAGAAATCATGCAATCGATGTGAAGCAGAAAATGCAGCCTGCTCGTTCGGTTGTCGTATGAAGTTTCGCCAGGGCGTCTACCCAACAGGGTTGGTCTTCTCCTGTGATCATATTGAACCATCCTTCTAAAACATGTCTAGATATGTGGAGATACTCATACAGCAGCAAGAGTGGCTCGTTGCCGGTCTCATAAAACTTTACAGACGCACGCAGATTTGTTCGGATCAGCCAGGCCTTGTGCATGTAGTGGGCGACAAAGGGGAGATATTGGTTCACCATATATTGAAGCAACTTGGGGTGTTTAAAGAGGACGACAGCCATGATTTTGTTGAATCTAAGCAACAAGGACCGGAGGCTCTCGACGAAGCCCGCCGTGTTTCCCAGAGCGAAGGTGCCGGCAACCAAGGACCCGCCATTTATGGTAGCCTACGAAGTAGACTTCCTGGTTACGGCAGTACAATGGCAGACTTTCAATGGTCTACAACTATGACAGATGACGGCCCGAAGAGTACAGCTTCCTGGAGGTTCAAGCATGCTTGAAGGCAGAATCGAAGTGGACCCATCGGCCCTGGAAGTGGACATTGACAGCTCCCCGCCGCTGATGTGGGACTCCTTTGGATGTGTACGTATAATGGGCCCAATAGAGAGAGATATTGGATCTCAAATACAAGTCCGCATCTCAGGTCGGGAGGACGATGCGTGAAATGAGTGATGCTGCCCTGTGGGACTATGTATTAATACATTTGGAGAAGGGAAACAGGTCGTTTTACGGTGATTCTATCCGTGAGAGCACCATCAAAGTAACAGAAAATAGTCCTTGTTAATCAAAAATACTGCCTGTTTGTATCTCTCAATGTCTTCCTCACATGGTCGAGATTTTCCTGGATTCTAATGATGCACTCTGACTATGTTGTCGAACCTTCACACTTCGGTTTAACGCCGGTCAGCCGGTAGTAGGCAACCAAGATACAACCTTGGAACCATCTCAGTGTGGCAGTTGGCCTTCGAAACGACCAGTCCGCTGAATTATAGAACGATTGAGCCTTTTGAGCAAACGCTGTACCTCATTGTGGGCGTAGATGACTTTGAAATAGGGTGAGGTAGAAAATCGGGCAGATAGTGACATGATACCGTACCAGAGGACAGTAGGATTCCGTGGAGAGGTCGCAGTACTTTGCATGACCTGCAGCATCCACGAAAGTGCTGTAGAAGGTCGGTCGATGAAATATTGGGAGGAAGGTATAGACGCGTCGGAAATACAAATCGATCCTGTCCTCAATGAATTCGTCTGCTGGAACAGATTTTGGGGGAGACTCACAGGTCATCGACCAACGTAGAGGGGACCTCCAGCGTATAAGACTTGTTCTCCTCACTAAGAGCTTCGACATGTGTAGAATTTTGCTTGCTAGGATGGGGTAAGGATGATGCCGGGGTTGAAGGCCAAGGTCGTCAAAGGCAGGATCCACCGAGACCTGTGGCCCTGCGCTCATGCACGCTGCGCCTGCGACAAGAGGGTTTACAAAGGTTTGTGCACGTAGGTCAAAGGATGGATGTTAGAGGTCTGGCATCATTTCTGACAAGAAATCCATCACATCGGCGTCCATCGATGGTATTTGCATCTAATCATGGGCCTGGAACTCTTGGATATTGAAAGTGTCACTTGTAACATCTGGGTCCACGGACACATCGCGTCCTAACGTTGTACCTGCCGAACCCATGCTGGCATGCGGAGCTCTACTTCGCCGGTCTTGTTCCAGAGTTCTTTGTGGAATCCGAACCTCGCTCACTCATTATAGATGTTGACTTGGCTTTTTGGACGGAGATATCAGCCTGAGTGGCCAGCACGAGAGATGAGTCGTGTTGTTTGCCAGAGGCTTGACCGCAACTAGCATCGCTCACATTGCCCTGGTTGCTCCTATGACGAGTCATTTGACGTTGTTTGCGCCGAGGATACACGCATGCAGCGTGGCTACGGTCGCAAAATGAGCAATTTAGGCGTCCTCCCTCACCTGAGAAGACATGTTGGCCAACTTCTGGAAGGGCATCTCGAGTAATCGTTGATGGAAGCTGCGATTGACTCACGTTTTCTCTTCCTCTTGCGTTGTGTTCAGCATCAAGCAGCATGAAGCCCCTCGTACTGCGTTCGGGACATTAACATACCTCTTACACTCTGCACAAGCCGATCAAAGCTCGGTATATGTGCAATTTCTCGCCCACAAGACTTATGGACTGATCAGAGCATAGGTCAGAGCGAATATGTACCTCCTCACTCGATAGCAAAAGGGTATAGGGAGCGCTCCGAAAATGCTCGGGTCGATGATCAGCGAATGTTGTATCGCCTTGAAACGAGGGTACATTCCACGCCGATTTCCCGCTTCACTTTTGAAGTCGAGGGAACACCGGACCATGATTCAATAGACCTGATCCGGCTGGTACGGCGGCACGTTGGTTCGAACTGTCCAAGTTTCATGCTGCTACTGCGACAGTGCTAAAGCCAGACGGCTCAGTCGCCCTGTGAACGATATGGACGTTCTTTTGCGATCCAAAAAAAACCCAAATGCAGAACGGGTTGCCAAAATCTGGAATCATCTGCAGAGAGACGTCTTCGGCCCTTATGAGATGCCTGGAAATAAGCACTGCCACGAGCAGTGCGCGAATCTGCCCCTCCCCTGGACCATCAACGATGACAAGAGTGAGATAAAAGAAAACTGCTGTTTTCGATGAAAGTTCCTCTCAATATTTCGCCTTCGAAAAGGGCGGTGATCTGGACCCTTCTCTCCCAGTACGGATACCTGAACCGACGACGGGAAACCTTGGGTTCACGACCTTGAGAAAAAGTTTGCCGCGGCGAGTGGCTCATGAGCAATTGTTTCGGGAAGGAGAAGTCGAAGATTGCACAACCAGCACGATCCGGGTAGTGAGGAATGAGTTGAATAGTTCGCCGCAGGAATGAGAGAGAGCCTGGATGGATGCGGTGAGCTCGTTAGGAGTAGTGTTCTTCAAGAAATCACATTGAACGTTTGAATAAGACTACAGATAGCAAAAGGACGGACTAAACTCTCGACTGTGGACTGAATCCACGCCTATTTATGTTGGCAAAGACGCTGTCACTCTCTTTACCCAAGTACGTCGTGAAGGTTGACGCTCGTTCACTTCTTGTATTGCTCAAGCCTTCATCCTGGACAGTTTTTGGTTCCTCTCATTAGACACAGACCGCATTGGTATTAGCTTCAACGACATCAGCCCTGACATTATTGGGCATTCTCCCTTGCCCCAGGTACTTTTCGTAAAGCTCAGGGTACCACTTCTGCCCGACGTCTGGGTGGCTAATGATTCGGTTGCGTAGTTGAGCCTCTCCATACTAAGGAAGCAGTCAGATAAGGATCACGGAAGTATACGCAACGTACTCACACAGGAGTAGGCGGGGGATATAAACTCGCTCGGAACGTCTAGCGCTCTCTTCTTTCTATCATCGGATGCTGGAATCTGGGCGACGATCTCCGCAGTGGACTGCTTGAGTTCTTTGAGCGTAAGGCTGAGGGGGACCGCAAAGAAGAAAGGGATACTGTAACGGCTCGCGGAGGTAGGTCCCTGTTAGAATGGTGAGAATTTTTGCTTAAAAAAGGAAAACCAACAGCTTGCCTCACCTGTACGCGGTGTGTAGTGCCGGAGCAGATACCTCCTGTGATAGCTTCGAAGCCTTGTGCAATATTGACGACCAAGGTTCCTGGAATATATGTGCATCAATCCAATCTCCCTATTTGTTAAGGACCTGCAAGCCTCCGACAGGATCCTGCGAGAGGAAGGTGAAGAGGCCAATGGAACCTTTGTGCGGGCCAACTCTCTGCGAGCCGGGAGCAATAGGAGGATAGTTGATGAACTTCAAGCGCGACATAATTCCCACGGGGCTCTCAAAAGCACAAGGTGGCAACGACAGAGGCTCAGCGACCGACCGTAAGAAGGACAGGGAAACTTAGTTATCTCTGAGTTATACCGTTTCACAAAAGTCTCGATTTCCTCGCTGGGGCACCTTTGGACTGTTAGTAAGCCTTCGGACTCTTAAGTCCCTACATGATCGCACCTCGCTGGCACCTTCAAGTCTCTTCCAAAAAGGATCGTCATGCTTCCACTGTTGTGTCACTGTCGTCCCGAAGTCAAATTGCTCGCAATGTGTCAGCGCCGCCGACACAAGATTCTCTATCGTTCTCCTTACCTCTCTCATGTCTATTTGAGCTGCAGCTGTCTCTGACCCTAAGCCAGGATACACCGAGAAGGAAGGTGAGTTGAGCATGCTGCACCCTTTTCAAACATCGTCAGGTAGAGCAAATATTGCCGGTATTGTTGCATGAGCCTCTTCTATCAGAGACTGATGGCAGGATCATGGTTAGTATTGCTCCTCGGTTTGACGTAGCGAACGCGCTCTTACCTCTAGACCAGTCTCTGCAAGATACAGAAACCCATCACTGAATAACGCCTCCGTCAGTCTCTCAAGAGTAGCAGGTTTTCTCTCTGCATCCCTCAGACCGCCAAAAGAAACGATGGGGATAGTTGAGAATGCTGTGGCTATAAGAAGTATCTGATATGCGATTTGTACAGATGCAATAAGGCGTGGAGGACACAGAATTGATCTGGCCGGACAAGCAGATTCTAATCAGCTGAGTTATTTCGCTTTTAACTCTGATGTCATGGGCCTCCTCAACGAGTGTCTTTGGGCACTTACATATATATAAGCAAAGTGGCGCGCAATAAACAAGGGTTGCTTATGGGTCAAAGGACGGTGATCAGGTTTGTGTAGGAAACCGCGAAACGTAAAACCAATCTGCGTTTTCCTGAGTGATTGAGCCGTAGGTGGAGCGGGCTGTAATATCCCCATGTTGAGATCTTAAGATTCCTTTATACAATATCGCTACTCGTAGCCCTCCGCCCAGATCTTGGAGGTCTCTTCGCAGAGCCATCTCATACTTTCGTCCGCATACGGAACCTGCTCTCGATAGTACAGCTGGTCTCGACTCACTTCGACGGTCTTTCCAGACAACTTATCGTCCGAGAGGAAAGTATCGAAGGCCTTGAGGACAGTGCTCATGGGTGTGATATGTTCCTCTGGAAACTTTTTGAGAATATGAGGTGGACACAAGCCAGTCACCACGAAGCCAGGGCATATGACGTTGACACTGATGTTGTCGGTTTCCTTCATGGTCAAGCCAGCACTGCGTCCAAGGGCGATAGTACCAGCTTTTGCGGCAAGGTATTGTGGGTTTACTCTTGCCGTATACAGTCCACCCATTGAGGACGTGATGACGACTTTCCCAACAGACTTGACATTCTTCCGATGGTAGTACCTGAAAAGCCAGATGCCCTGGAAAACCGCATCAAGGTCGACGTTCATGGCCTTCATGTTCAGCGGTTTTGGATCTCCATTCTCATCCACATCGATCTCAGGAGCGTAGAGATTGCCGAGGTCTGCGATACCGGCATTGGCGGCGAAGAAGTCGACACGATTCCCACCCCAGCTGAATGCACGTCTGAAAAGAGCCGCCTGTTCGGTGTATATGGAGATATCGGTACGTACGAAGAGTGTATCCTCTCCCAACTCAGCGGATATCCTCCCTCCCTCCTCGGCACTCACGTCGGCCATCGCGACCTTCCAGCTTTTGCTGATGAGGTCCTTTGTAAGAGCCAGTCCCATGCCGGAGCAGGCTCCAGTCACAATCGCCACAGGTTTGGACATGGCTGTGTGGCGTGTCTGCGTTTCAGTCAAAACAACTGCTCTGTGTGAAAATAAACTCACAGAGACTGCAAGTCAGGGGTGAGTCCCGATGTGAAGTAATATGCTTTCGAGAACAGACCTCGCGATATTAAATGTGGAAGCATACACCAACGTACACCAACTGAACCCCTTGGCTAAAGCAATGCCGCCCCGCTTGATGACCAATCTGTTCAGTGCCGTGGTTTGGACTAGCAAAGGTAGTTAATGGCGCTGTGAAGGGGACGCAGCTTCTCGGTGAAAAGACTTCTGAAAGTTGAAAATCCCGACCCTGACTCTCGGGGATAGGTCCGGAGCACAGGTAATCCCTCATGGCACGGTTCAAGCCACTAGGCGGCATTACTTGCGAGCTATTTCCCCCTTCCCGAGGACCCACTGAGCCACAATGCAAGGGGCCAAAAGGCATCCATCCCAGCTTGCCTCGGTTGGGGTTGGAAGAAAGCGGGAAAAGTGCTCGCAATACTGATTCTCTCCACAGCATGTACGATGAAGTATGCACCATAGTTGCTGGCCGACGTGGGCGAACTCAGTGTCGAGGTTTCCACATACTAAAGGATGAAACCCGCGGACGCAGCTTGGCCGCACTAAGGCGAATTATGAGTGTCGCAAGGCCATTATAAAGCACTAAATATCGACAACGACTGCTCCAGTAAGCCTGTGGCTCCAGTGACTGGGGTTCAGACTTATATACTCCAGGCTTTGTGACAGACCAAGAACGAAGAATGGCCCAAAAAGATTCGACCCAGTTGGAAGAACCGTTGTCCACTGTCAACGCAAAGTATGTTGAGCCCTCCACTGCTAGGATACTCCACGTGGGGAGAGAAGGTTGGCGATATATCCAGGCGTAACGCGACAAAGCCATATTTCGTCCAGCGATTGACGGAGCGTACGTATTTCTTCTCGGCCGGCTTTTACACCAACACTTTCTACGTAGGCAACGAAGGCGTTCTGGTCCTTGATCCACCAGAGAGGCAGGGGGAAAACCTGCTCAAGGCAATTGCTGAGATCACCACCCTTCCTGTCACCGCCATTGTGTACTCTCACAACCATGCGGACCACATACTGGGTGCCAAAGACCTTGTGGAAGCAGCAAACAAAGCCGGTGTCTCGGACGTTCGTATCATCACGTCCTCCAAAACGGTTGAGAAGATGGAGCTGCTCAATACGTCAGTCCTTCCGCCCAACGAAAGCGTGGAGTGGTCCAACGGCACCACTAAATTTGAAGGCATCACCCTCCATCCGTGTCTGCCCCCAAATCCAAGGCTTTGACTTCAGATGGTTGCAAAGATTTGATGATCCCAACGTTCTGCCACTTGTCAGTACATATTTGCTTATTGACACTTGTATCACTCACATCCTGTGAAGCTGTATCGGTGTCGTAAATAGGGTTACGATGGTAGACCGTCTCCCAGCCAAAGACAAGAATCAGGAGCCAGGCGATGCCCATGAATATGCTGAGAATCCAGAACACCCAACGCCAACCCAGGTTCTGAGCCGTTGGGCTAGCAACGATAGACGGCAGATGTGCCATTCCCGAATTGGCCAATGACCGCGAATGTGACACTTTCAAACATTGCAATACCCAGGCCTTGAATGACCCGGGCACCGACCAGAGATGCATAGGACTGTGCTGCGCCTCCCCACAATGATCCAGCCCATGCGATCGATATGGAGATTATGAAGTTAGGACGTTTTCCAAACCGTTGGGAGGAAGCGGCGACAACAATGCCCGTCGCACCAACCGTCAGGAGTTGATAGCCCAAAAGGAGGGAGGCTTGAGTGAAACTGATGTGGAATTCGTCGACGAGTTCAAGGAAAAGCACTGAAATGATCGGGCCGATACTGGAGGGTGTTAGTCATAACCGGATCTTAGGCATTACTAGATACTTACCCCCCAATGCAGAGCATTGTGCAGTAGCAGTACAAAACCAGGACCAAGTCACGTTGCCAAAGGGGCCAGTTGAGCGGGTCATTAGGATCATTGTGAGGCTGGGGCACGAGAACGACATTTGCCGTCTCCAGCACTCCTCTTGAGATTGCTATTGTTGCCGAGTTCTGTTCCCTCTAGCAATGCTGTACCAGGCACATGCTGAAGGTCGCTGTGAGCTTCCAGTATTCCGAAAGGCATGGTGGGTGGGGAAGGCCAAAGAGGACTGTTTGATTGTACCGAGTTTCGGTTTGAGGTTCTCAATGAAAAACCTGGAGTGGGCTCGCTTGTAGCCTTTTTATCTTCTCCTTCAACAAGAACGGGAACGGCCAAACTAGCGAAAGTTCCTACCGACCAGTCCCCAAGGGGTCTCCACGGCCTAGGTCCCCCATACATGCCCTCTGTTGTCTCGGCGCAAGACCCGATGCACAACCTAGTAACCTCCTTTCCGCGTCTCTCGGTCTTGCAATCACAAGAATGGAGAACGGTAATGCCATCACGGCAGTTATGCTAACACTGGCAGTCACAACGGGCACTTTCTAGGACCGTCTTCACCTGATGAACGTGATTCTAATCCCGTGGATTTAGACGAATGGCAGTCGGGGTTTTGCAAATTGCCTAACTAGAACTAAGGACATTCGTAGCTCCGCAAAACTCCGCTAACCTTTAGTACCAAAACCCGACGAGTTGCGGGACCTCAGATCGTTGACGCCACCTACTATTCAGACAGTCTGCAGCCTCCGCATATCTCACCAAGCTGATATGAGAATCGTAGTAATCCTTACGAAACACGCTATGATTTTGTTTCTCGAGACTACCTGTCAACCGTTCGATGACTTTATGCCTGGCATACTTTTTTCCGTAGTTCTCGCCAAGAGGCTCGCCATTGCTCATGACTTTGTGACTCTCCTGAAGGACAAAGAGCATACGAGCCTAAGTCGTCTTGCTAAGGTTCCGCCGCTCCCGGGCCATCGCACGCTGAATTGACAGATCTCCTCTTACGCATCGTTCGTCGTTCGCTTGAATCTAATACAAATTCAATCTCGCCTTCAAGTACAACACCATAATTGAGGCTGACTGTCCTATGCATGGGAGACGTTGTATCTGGGGGTGATGTCCACGTATCGCAGAATCTGTAGCTATGAAGAAACCCGGGATAGAGGAGCGAACCCACACGTCCGCCTTCCTTTTCACATTACAGGCACGAAACACCGCGCCTTAATATTGGGCAGTAAAGTATTAAATTCTCGCCAATAATCTCTAGAAGCCACACAAGACCGCCAACAAAGAGTGAAACGATAGGAACCCTAAATTGTCAACGATCCCTGGCAGTCTAGCTTGCTGGCTGTTTAGCTACAACTTGTCAAGGCCAAGACCCTGCTAAGGTGAATCTACTATGCCTGCAGTTCGCCACCTAAGCTTCCTAGACCTGAGCAACTTAGGCCGGGCATTGCCATGATAGGCCTCTTGGCTGAGACTTTGGGCTAGTGAAATGACCTAGGCGTCAATCGAGGGGGGTCAAGGGGGTGCGCGGGGATTCCCCAGAACAAGGTAAGTTGGGATTTCTCAAAAGCCGGGCAGGTTGATTTCCTCTGGCCCTTTTCTTTCGACAAATTTCCGGGAACAGAGCACGAACAAAGCCTGTGAGGCGTGCAAGAAGAGAAAGACCAGGTGTGATGGTCGACGACCGACATGTTCGGTTTGCAGCAGGACTGGCGCAGGCTGTTTCTACCCCCGTCGGAAACCCCGAAAACCTGGTCGCGCAAGTAAGACAGCCTATGTGCCCACACTTCTTACCACAGACCGAGACTTATTCATGCCATTGGTCGATGATAACTCGGACCAACCAGGGCAATAGTTTTAACCAGTGGAGACCTATATCTCTAACGGAGCGCCTCAGGACTTTCAAATAAGCGGCTCGACCAAAGACTCTGTCAGTATCGCAAATCATGAGCCTACCGGGACAATTCCGGACCATGGTCTTGGAAATGCTGATCTGTTCACTTATCTGACTATGGATTTCCCGGACTTCTTGAACTAAGAAGCAGATGCGGGTCTATCAGTATTTGACGATATCGGCGTCAATCCGCCTGCGTCTGCCGGTATTCAATGTGTTCCACTTGTTGGAGGAGCCATCGAGAGTGAGCTTATGCTTTCACCTGGACTCACCGCTTACTCGGCTGTTCCGGATCAATCCTCGGACGAGGCATTATCGTCTAGACGTTATGCCATAGAGATCTCTCCCGATCTCGTCAAAGAACTGTGAGGAAGCCTAACGAGTGCCACTCATCATTTCGGCCGAAGCCTGCTGATGAATTATAGGATTGATCTTTATTTCCGACGAGTGCAGCCTTTCTTGCCTTTGTTCCATAGGCCGCAATTTCTTTAATTTTACGTTGCCAAGCTCGGCAGCGAATGCTACCAGTCTCTAACAAAGGAGTCTTATCTGCTGTTAAATGCTATTTGTGCTCTTGCTGCTCGTTACTTTACTTCTAAAACCTTCGAGGACACGCCACAGAAAGACCGAGGCAAGGGCTTCGTAAGCAGGGCACGACCTATCGCAATGCGACAGCCGACACGGTTGTCACTCCGTCATTGACGTGGCTGCAAGGATGCATTCTAAGCGCGTACTACAACCAAAGTTACCATCCCGAGTAGGGAAATGACAATATGGTCGAGACTTGCGTTCGTTATGCGTATGAACTTGGGCTGCACAGAGTTGAGGATGCCGCCGTGGAGGCGCTCGAGCGACCGCTGAACGATTCACCGGCACAGACCTGGACGGCACAAGAAGAGCGACGGAGAGCTTAGTGGTCGGTATGGGAGCTCGACGCATTCCGCGCCGTGTCCTGCCGACAGCGGTTTATCATCGACAAGCATCAGACTCACGTCCGCTTCCCGGTCTCGGATGAAGCCTGGCTTTCATCCGAGCCCGTTGAGTCTCCCATTTTCAATGCAGACATCTTCTTCTGCTGGAAGTGTCTCCGGAATTCACCCAACCAGGATCCTCGCCCCTGGTTTTTGACCAGCAACTATATTATGGTTCAACTCCACGAGCTTGCTCAGAGATCCAATGTCACTAGACGTCAAGTCGATGACTTCGAGGACGTAATAGCATGCTTCTACGTGCTATTCTCGAGACAGTTCGGTGCTGAGCTCGATCAGCCCCACTTTGCCGAAGAAATATACCCCCAAAGTAACTGGCTGGTGCTAACTCAACTGATGGTTCACAAGTATATTTCGACTTGCCTCTCTGCAGAATTTCGCATTGCGCTCCAGTTACTGACGATCCAATGCTCAGTTCCCACATTCTCATATATCTCGATAGAGTCATTGCAGGACCGACCCTCACCGTCTCTAATCGATTTTTCGACCGCAACGGTCGGCCGTTATAGTCAGAGATCAACATTCAGAGTCATCAGCTTCGTGCCTACAAGAATATCGCAACAAGGATCTTTCGCCTCTTTCGGGCCTGGTCGTGGAGCCTAAGATTCATCACATATGCTCCTCCCAAGATGATCGGTGTGGTGCTTGGACCAGGATGGATGATCCTGCGCATCGCAGACAGTCTAGGAAGAAGATCGAGGGTCACAGATGATAGGTACCAGCCGAGTATTGAAGAAGAGTTGACATTCTCGATCGTCACTCAACTCGCTCAGTACTGGAGAATTAGTAGTTCATTGCTAGGTATGTTTTCTCTCATTCCCTCCTTTGTACGATTTGACCTAACAGGAGTATCCAGAGTTCGCACGGACGTCGAGGGAGGCATGTATCCAATCTACAAAGAGAAATGAGTTAAGCTATCTGGTGACATAGACAGTATTCTACAGCTGTTACCTATAAGACCTCCCTCTAAGTAGTTTTAGGAACTTCACATCGCCTCAGACTCCTGTGGTATAAGGTGGGCTTCTATCTTGACTCCTGCTCGCCGTAGTCGTTCAATGAACCCTTCTCCCAACGTTGCTGGAGTCACCATTCCCTTCAATTCCCACGCCAAATTATCCCGATTTTCTGACATGGCTAAAGCCGCCTCCACGACAATGACCCCTGTTAGGTAGTATGGGGATCCAGCGTATTCGGACGTAGACGAAGCGTACCTTTTTGGTTCGCTGTCTGCAACCGCGATAGTTTGAATTTAAAGGATCGGTTGACAAAGTCCTCCTTCGGACTTCCCTCTCCTGGCTGCGGTACAAATCTTCCGAAGTGCCCAGCGCACAAAGCGGCTCCGGAGTGCGAAAAGGCGGCCAATATTAGTACAATGGAGTAAAAAGCCCGTGAGACGGGCTACGAGCCTGTTGAAATTCTTCGTAATGGAATCTTGGCCCGTAATAATTTCCCTCAGAATGGAGTCCCCAAGATCGGTGTACGATCCCAACATCACAGGTAGATTGCGGAAAGTTGGTCACGATGCCTAGATGAGGGATATTACGCCAATCGACGAGACCTGTCAAGATGGGCGGCTATGGGGGCTTTTCTGCTCCGAGTGCATGTGGTTGCAGTGCTTTGTTGATAAACCTGGTAGAGAATGCTTCGTGTATAGATATGACAGAGGCTATAGAGCCTCCGCTTGGTCCTCCACTGTCAACGCATCAATATATATAGCTGCAGAAATTGGTCGGTTGCTACATTCGGATTTGCACATTTCTACGGCAATTCGCCCCGGAACACAAACCTGCTGGTAAAGCGTATAAGTCTTATACGATACAATAGTTAGACTTAATAAACTTTCGAGGATTAGGTCTCCTATCTAACTCGGTAGATATAGGTATACTCTTCGTGTAAGTACAGCGGAAGGACGGCAAAATATAACTCTCGAGTAATTGGCGAGCGTTTTAAAGATTGGGTTCTAAATGGTTTACTCTTGACTCGCGTGACCGAAGTTGACACCTCTTCTAGGTGCTGGAGGTAGTAGCATCATCATCTCACACCTTCTTCTCAGAGAGCTCCGTCGTCTCTAAGAAGAAACCGCAAAACTAGGCGGAGAAGTCACCAGGCGGCAAGAAGCTTACTTCGCGACAGCACATCGAAGAGGAGATCAAGCAACCGAACGCAGCTCTTTGTGTCTCCCGAACACTTGTAGATCAGTTAACGAGGGAGAAAAGGCATCTCGCGTCGAAAAATATCATGCGATAAGGGTTCAAGTCACGCGATATATCTTGGCTTTTCATGACAACATGAATCTCCATCACAACCTACAAGCCGTCACAATAGGTTCTCCTAAGCCGGTTGCAACACCATAACGTGTTGCAAGCCTGGTTCATATGGCAACTCTGGAAGCTCTAATGTTATATTCCGGGCTAGTGGCCCTAAAGCTGTATTGACAACATTCAGCGTCCATTGCAGTGGACTGCTGGGTGACTGGAGCCAAAATGTATCCATTCTTGCCAAGTGTAGATCACCCGACCTACCAGATTGACTCCGTACCGGTAAACTCTGGGCGGGGCTGTTTTGGCGAGCGGCACGCAACACAAGCAGTTCACACGATCTGCCGCTAGACGAGGAAAGCTGAGCCCTGAACTTTTAAGATGAAACGCTCCTGAGTTCTCGATCAGCTAGGGCCGTGCCGTGGAGGCCGCCCGGTTAGGGGGCATTAACGTATAGTTGACATAATCGCGACTGGGAGGCCCTCTCCAACCTTGGAGTGAGCATGCCTCGATCCACTGCTCTGATATCCACCTGTACTCCGTAGAGAAGTCTACTTTATGATAGTCTTGTGCTGAGTGCCTTCCTCTTTGAAATGTACTTGCATTTTCCAATACCAAACTTCGAGTATCCACTTCATCTGGTAGCGCGAGCACACTCAAAGAGATTCCCACAACGCTAACCCTGGATATGAGCGGTGGACTAGAAATTCCGACTCGGCATCAGGACGTATAGACACCCTCGAGCTTACTGGTCAATTTCTCGTGGAAAAAGTTTCAGATATTGGTGACAGAGGAAAACAATCCATCTAAACACCTATACAAAATCTCAATCAGAACAACATTCGGACTCCATGTGACCCTGAGGCCCGCCTATGACGACGCCAATAGTATCGGTACTGGCACACTTCGCGCCTTCTCCATCAACCCGGATCTGGAGATTCACGGTCATCGGTTCAGGCTCAAGGCACTCAAACGCTTCAATACAGAGAACACCCATCTCTCACATGCATACTCGGACAGATTGTTCAACACCCCGTGGCACTTCTTCCCAATGCTCCATCTCTCAACAAGAGATTTGCGCCGCTACCAATTTCTGACAAGACATGCATAATGCCGCGCAAAATCTCAGTAGCGTTGATCACAATTTCCGCGTCTTTGGCATATTTGGCCATCAAATGGCAGCCAAATGCCGCGGCGCTCTCTAAACCCTTCCGATTATGGTGCCCAAGATCTTTCACCCTGAGCAAGCTTTCAAATTGTGTGAGCAGATAGCAGAATGCTTTCTTCTGGCTACAAAAGGGGTCAGCCTCCTGGCTATCCTGTCCAGAAAGTAGCGTCATGGCGACAGCGACGAGGAAGTGCGTATTGACAAGCGTCTCCATCGCCTCGGCCGAACTGAAGCGGCGGCGATGTATTGTGTGCTCCCAGTAGCGGAGGTGGGTCAGTGCTTCATCTGGGGTAAGGGACGTGCGGCCCTCCGAGTCAAGGTTAGCCGCATATTTGTACATTGCCTGTCGTACTTCATCGGATGAGACCTCGGAGTTCCACGAATGGCGGACATTGACAATATCAAAGAGGGACGATCGACGGTTGGTGAGACTGCCGGCGCAGGCAGCGGACGTCGAGCTGAAGCCTTGGCGATAAGTGTGCATGTCTCTTAGATAATCATCGATGATAACTTGGCTTTCAGTTCCATTTGCGCCGATTGTGAACTTCCTGTAACGGTCTTCGGGAGGCATCGACATGCATCCTGGCAGCGGCAGTGTCGTTGATCATGGTCTCCAGAATCCAGCAGAGGACTGGTGCGAGGTAGAGATCCAGGCGGTCTAGATTAGGCGCCGTAAGGATCCTGAGCGCTTTGTTGTAATAATACAGGATGGTCCTGGCCTTGGCCAACATCTCTGGAGGTTCACATTGATGAGAACGCTCGTCTAGCAACGCAACTGCCACCATCAAGTACCGCGAAGCCAGGAGCGTTGTGCAGCATCTTGGAATGACGTTTAGAAAAAATATTGCATGTCGAGTTGGAACGTAGTTGGCAAACCAGGGACCGGTTTCTCTTAGCCAATAAGCAAGAGCCCGCTTCTCCTGCCACGTGCCCCAGCCGTTTGACATGGATGCCGGTAGCATGAAGCCACCACTTCCTTGCACTGGCGCGTGCACGTACGACTGCAGGGGCGAAGATATACACGGCTCCTTCTTGCTTTCGAAGATCCGTGGCTTCGGCTCGTTGTAGTGGCAGCGGATGCGAGACCTGTGACAGCGTCCACAGATGGGCCCCACTTCATCGCATTTAACATGGCGTTTCTTGCATGAGTAGCAACCCCTGTCATAGAGGTGAGAATCTAGCGCTATAGTTTCATAAACAGAGCTTACATTCTAGATTTGTGAGAAAACTCTCTCTTCCGGATTGCGAGCGCCATTATCGGTGTGAGCTCCTGCCAAGGCTCGGCGACGATTGCGATGCTGAAAGCAAGTCCGCGAAAGTACCAACAGCTCGAGAATAATGGGTAGAGAGTAGCCGTATATACGATTGACGTTTGTATGATGGTGGTGTTAATATTTACGAACGCTCAGGGACGGAGGCTAGATACGGCGTCCGAATTTGGCCTTGACAGATTAAGCTCTAGCTTCCAGCAGAATACTTCACGTGATCCACTGCCTTCAAAAGTACATAGCGTGAAGAGTGGCATGAGCAGACTCTTATATTAGTGAGAATGACGCGAAGGGCGAGTTCTTAACGATGGACCAAGACCGAACCAATCATTTCCAGGACCGAAGGATATCAACGTACATTGAAATATGGAGACCGCATCGAATGACCATATTCCGTCGAATTCAAGAAGCAAAGACCTCATTCACGTCACACGTTTCGAAGTCAGAAGCCTTGGTAGGTAAGGGTCATTTCACCAAGATGCTCCAAACTACAGACCGCGCTTGGGCAATCCGGCCTTTTCGTAGACTGCATCGATCAACTCCATTAGCTTCGTGCTCTCGTCTAAGCTCATCCACGGCCCATGATATTCCTTCTCTCGACCTGCTTCGTTCGCCCGGACCATATCCACAAAGCCTTCCAGCTGATAGCGGTACGTCGTCCACCAGGATTTGCCCCGTGTTCCCCATTGGGGTCCGTCGACATAGCAAGATTCTGCATGCTTCTTGCCTGTCAAGCGGCCGTTCATGTCCTTTTCCTTGACCACGATCGAATGGCCGTAGGTGGCCAGGACGAAACCATCGAATTCGATCCTGGCCTTCTCCAACTCAATCACGCTACGAGGAGTAGCCTTCCATATCTGGGGGATGAATCCCCACAACAGCGGGACCGCGGAGTCGGCGAATGTATGGCAGTTGACAGGCCTGCGGCCCGGTGACTCGATGACGAAGTGGGCTTCCATGCTGTCGTCGATCTTGTTGTCTAGGCGATTCGGCCGCGGCTTGGCCTCGAGGACGCGGAAATCACAGGCAGTGCTATCTGGCGCAGCAAAGTACATGCAGAAGCATGAGACATAGGCTAAGTCCATGGAGGCTCCGCCGGCTAGATCGTAATTGAAGCGGATGTCATCTTTACCCAAGATCCCCGTCGGGAGTCCGAACTCGGCCGATATCTCAGTCACGCTGCCGTACTTGCCACTCTCGACGATTTCCCGCATACGATGGGCTGCCGGATGGAAACGCCAATGGAAAGCCTCGAGGGCGACTTTCCCTGTGGCGGTTGCGGTTTCGTGGATGCGCCGGGCCTGGTCGGCGTTAGACGCCACAGGCTTCTCGATCAAGACATGCTTGCCGGCCTCCATGGCTTTGACGGCCCATTCAGCGTGTAGGCCATTGGGGAGGGGGATGTAGACGGCGTCGATTCCCGGGTCGGCCAACAACTCGCCGTACGAGCCATACGCCTTGCATGTCGGCGCGAGGCCATATTTTGTGATTTGGGCTTCGGCCTTGGCCTTGGACCGAGCGGCGATGGCTACGATGATGGCGCCGGTATGGGTTTGTACTGGGTCGATGATGGCAGCGTAGTTTATGGCTGCGGCAGAGATGACTCCAATGCGAAGAGGATTCTCGTCTTTCGTCAAGCTGGCTTTGATCTTTGCTGTTCCATTCCGCCAGCTGTGGATGTTCAAGAGAAGCTGTTATGATTCCGTGTGTTAGTTGTTGCACATATCAGCCACCGTGGATGGCGTCGACTTACCTCACCCGCCCAAGACATGATCGTTTACTATCCGCTTCGGGACAGAAGTTGATGAAGTGGGGAGTCGTCACGAGCGGAAGTGGTTGAAGAGGAAATTTCAGGGTAAGGCTGGGAGGAGTTGCGTGCACCGATTGAAGATGACCGCGGGCGTCAGATGGGTTCGGATGAATACATAATGCCCAGGAGGACTTTGGACTGGACGCCTGATACTCGCACCAGGCCACCCATCATACTTCGTATAGGTTACGTAATCAGGGCCTAGGCCTAGTTCTAGGCAGATATCGGACAAGGCGGCTTAAGCGAATACCACTGATTGGTCTGCCAAGGACGGAAGTGATCGAGACCTCCTTTAGCGGGTTGAAGGCACGCTACATCATTGGCTTCATCTCAAGCGACTCTATGGTGAGAGTGTAATTCAGCATCTAGAGGGATCTGAGCCCGGAAGGGTAAGTCTTCTCAAAGAAGGCTGAAGAGATCTCTATTGAGTGCCCAAGGGTCCAAGGGGAACTCCTAACTACGTAGCTCCTAGGTGGCTGGAATGCCTAAGTTTGATAAATTCTGCCTAAACGGAAAGACGTCGTCGTGCGAGTCGTCGTGATCCACCACATGGAAGATGTTCCTCCGTACGAAATCCTCGAGTGATGGGGTGGCTGGCCCTCTGGTCGTCGAGTGAGATCCCAATAACAACCGAGAGCGTCAAGTGGGGAACTTTCCATAATCGGACCAAGTAGGCTTTCGAATCCGTCAGAATCGAATGCTTTCATGCGAGCTTTGACCGTCAGCCTGATGTTTCTCTTTACACAGGAAATGTATGTAGCTCCCAAGCTCTTGGTATCACTTGTTGTCCGACATTTGCCATCAAATTTCGTCGAATCTCAGACACATAGCTAGGCTGCGTGACCGCTTTCCCGGGTTGGCATATCCGTATCGGAGGACTAGCATTAGGGAGAAGGGTGAGGAATTCAGGTGTCGGACTGGGTGAGCATTTGCCAGTCGTACTTCGCTTCGAAGATGGAAAGATCGGTACCCGTTCTGGCTGGTTAGCGACAGAGCTTAAGAGTCCTGTGAAGCTGCTCCTGCTCGCATCTTCTGACATGCTTGAAAGTACTTTGATTCAAGTCAGGTCTTTGCTACAGCCTCTGCATTCAAACTCCCCCGTTCGATCCATTTTCCTTTGGCAGCAAAATGGAGAGGTGGATCGCAACTGCGGGTTCGCCTTTCCTCTTCGACACGACCAAAGTTCGTATGATACCTTTAACCACTGGCAAATGGGTCCCGTCTCACGCTCCTGCGGCATCTCGTAAGAAAAGCTAGCAGGTGCAACAGAAAGTGAATGGAGGCTGCTTTGAATGTGTCCGGATTCAGGTTGGTGGAATGTGCAAATCAACACTGCTCTTTGTGATCATAGAAATGTTTATAATATCTATTTTCGAAGAAAGAAGAGATAGATGTCAGGAAATAGGAGTTTGCTATTGCCTACATTTCGATATAAGTACCTTCGCTACTATATATAACTTTATTCAGAGATTAGCTATCACAGGCTAATCTTGCAAGGAAATGGTAAGTCAAAAAGCTTTGAAAGCAAGTGAGATCAGATCGATGGCATTTTATTGGAGAACCGACTTTGGAGAGAGATCGTCACCAAATTTACCTCCGTTCCGACCTATATACCACCGCGCACGAAGCGGAGATGGGATTCAGATACGAGTCAAAGAGATATTGCGTTGGAAGAGGCGTGAACAGATCAGATGCAAGTTCAGTAAAGGTTCTAAGACAAATGAGATGTACACGGAAATACGACTCACTGTGAAATGTGCATTGGAAGAATACTCCGGCTCCATCAGCAGACAGACCGGACACGTCACAGGCTTTCGTTCAAGGAAAGATTGCGGATACCAGTAGTATGCAGGAAACCGCCAGCTCACGCCGGTCAGAAAATGGGAGGAAGAGCAAGCTTCGTGCTAAATAATCAAAGTCCCGGACGCAAGGGGTGGACTCCCCTGCTCTAAGGAGGACACCTGATCCACTGTTAGGCACGTTCAGATGATCAGAAGAGTCCTCAATTGGCTTTCCAACTCTGTTGGTCACTTGTCCGGACGCGTTAATGCAGTCTTGTATGCACTGTGACTAGTAGAGTAGGGGAAAATAGTAGGCGATTTGATGTCCGTTGAGTCGAATCCTTCGGATTACTACGAGCGATCTACGAGCGAAGGACTTTCCGGAGCGTTCCACTTTGTCCTAAGAGGCACGGACTCTCTCAATACTTTCGCTGCGATGGATTAAGCGAAGCGCAAAGGACAATGCAGCTTCGACACGAAGCGGAAAGTGCCAGCCACTACTTTATGTTGAGGACTTCTATTCACAACCCGGGGACTCCGCTGGTTATTGAACTGCATTAGTGACAATGCATGCACGGGGCTGGAAGGGGACGTCCGCAAACATACTCCGCAAAGGTTGCGAATGTATGAGGCAGGAAGTGATGCAGGTCGTATCCAGGCCATCCTCAGTGCTTCAAAGAATTTCAGCAAGCCACTCAGGATCCATTTGGCCGCATAGGAGGCCGCAGAAAGAGCCCCAAACTCCCAATAGAGTTCGCCAGTTGAGACACGAAGCCATGGTCGTAGACATTGAGGACTTCCTCAAATTCTAGCTAAGCCATTCCAGAGAACAAGGACTGCCCTTACTACGTAAAAATCCTGGTCACAAATTTCCCAAGCCACTGCGGCCAGTCCAGAGGGTGTCAGCCTGATCGATACCACATCCAGTATTTACCGCACCTGCCAAGCCGTATGCCTTCTTATGAAACAGGATTTGTTACACCGCCTTTCCGAAGATCATCCTATTTCGTCGCTTTGCTTCAGAGGTCTGCAACAGGGTTGCTTTTGTTGAGTTGTGACCCGCGGTCATGCTCAGCCTGATCACCAAAATAAACCCCCCTCAACCTTTTGGCCCTCTCGGACTAGTGCCGGGTTTCATGGCCTGCTTAGCCGCATGCCAATGCGTGAAGAGGCTTGTGACCTGGTCACATGGAGTGATTTCTGGCGTCAAAGAAGTGATGACAGGTTCATAGAACTGCGTATCGCCGTGAGTGTGAGGAATGCCATCTAGTCGTTGACCAATGAGACCCTGACCATGTCGCTAGGCCCACTTTCCAGGGATCCGTAGGCGCGAGCGACACTAGCTCTTGTCACGACGCGGCTCGGCGGGCCCCGAGAAGCTACTACTCCACAAAGAGACACATCACACTTGACGAAGAAGAAGGCAACTCAGCAGGCATGAGTGTGCATGAAGAATCAAGGTACAGAGAAACGCCACCGGAAACTTCCACGGTTGATCAAGACAGGATTATGCTTAGCACCATTGGAGACTCTCCCTGTCTGGGAGACTTGCATCCTGGGCGAGAGCTTTTCTGGCCCAGAAACAGCGCAAGGACTGAATCCCGATTTATCGTCTTTTGATTTCATTATTACTGAGTGTATCAATCATACGCTGCTCAGTGGTCTCGCCTCTAGAGTCTGTCCTGGTGAGGACGAAGTTGTTGCCTTCCACAGGTGGCACCAGGCTCGAGCTCTCAGGCGAGCCACACTATCTTCTCCCCCAGAGGCACTTCGAGGAAAAGTGTTGCCACACCCAAAAGAAAATTCCGCCCACTTTTCCGGAAAAGGGAAATGAGCGTCCATATACTGTCCAGCACCCCCTCGAAAGAATCACTGTGTCGGACATTCTTCAGACCAACAACACAATCGCTTTGACAATGGTCATTGGCAAGGCTGTCATCGATCCTGGACCGACGCTGAGTATCGCTGGACGGAGACACATCCATACCTGGCCATTCTTAGGCAACGCCATAGTTTCTGATCGGAATGGCTCCATCCACTCATTGTCAAAAGGTGTTCGGAATTCTGGAAACCTGAAGTCGTATTCATGCGAGCCTTTTGCCATGGCTAATTTCAGATTGAAAGCCTCGACAAACGCGAAGCGAAAGCACTGGTCGCTTTCCAACTGAGTCTGGAATACTTGCGGGATGTTTGATGGCTCACAAGTCAGACTATCGTAAGCGTGAGACTCCAACCCGGGAACAATTTGCATCATAATGCTTGAAAACACATTGAGAAGTTTGGCAAAACAGGAGTCGGCCATTTCGGGCAGCTTTGGCTTGATGTGCTTCTCCAGATGTTCCATGTATCTGATTCTTCTGAGCTTCCTGACCACATCGGGGGCATCTGCCCAAGGAACATTAGTCGGGACAAGCTCTGATACATGGTACGAAGCGTGCTTACCATGTGCCAATGAGAACAAAGCTTCCTCGAAAAAATTACCTTTGACGGCATCATGGTCTTCCTTGAATACTTCGCAGAATACCCACTGGTATATCGCCGCAGCAGCGTAAGCTTGAGGCAGAAGGTCCCGAGCGACAGGTGAATGTCCACATAGGGCTCTCAGGTATGCAGATAGAACTTCCCCCTCTGCCATCGGGACGACGTGGTGCGTCAACTGCCTGAAGTCGACGCCTCCTAGGACCGAGGGGACCAAGGGAATCGCGGCTGACTGAGCCTCGGTAAGACGTTGGATTCCTCGCTCCAGAGATTCGAAGATATCGTCCATCTTTTCCCTGATATAATCGTGGCTAGGTGGTGCATCATACCCTCGATCGCTCGCCAGTTGCCGGAAATATCCTGCAAGTTTTGTGTCCCAGGTCCTGGAAATCGGGCAAGTATCTCTGCGAGCGACAATGGCCGAATCAGGTTCGGAACCCGCCTCCTTCACTGGGGTCGCTCCTCTGTCTGAATAAGTCGAGTTTGGAAGTCCTGCTGCCATTGTCCTCTGTCGTTTGAGGTTTCTGACAGCCAATTCTCTGTCGTCTGGGTTTCCGTTGCGGCCTTTTCGAGATAGTGATTCATCCGGAGATAGGATACTTCCTGATAATCCACCCGCATGCTTACTACTGACAATAACCTCCGGATTCCCTGATGAAGGTAGAGTACCCTTGGGCTGCACCTGATCGAAGGTCCGAAGGAAGTCGTCCCGGGACATTTTTATTCCCCTCGCCAACCTGTTAAGTTTGTTGTGGATTTGGGTATGGGTCTTTATTTCTTCAGAGTCTCTGGCGGTGGCCTTCAAATGGTCGTGAATAAGGGCAACTGTGCGGGCAATGTTCTTGGGATCGCTGCAGTCCTGAGTGGTGAGGACGAACAACAAACCCTCAACCTCATCAGGAGACCAATAGCATTTGCTCATTTTGAAGTTCAATCTTCCTTGCTGGTTGAAAAACGTGAAAGAGATCAATTTGCAGAAATGAATCTGTACGATGAAGTCGGAGAAGTAGACTATGTAGATTGACGCAGGACATGGTATGATCATGGGGCGCAGGCTTGATATACCTGCCCGGAATAGGTCAGTACGTCATAATACATGGTAGAGGTGGTCATTACAATGCCTCCTGGATAGTAGAGAGCAGGACACTAACCCTTCCACTAGGGGGTGGGTTCGCACTAGCCGCTGCATCCTGGTCGAAAAGGCAACCGCCGCCGCCTGGTTGCCTTACCATGAGCAGCAGAAGCCAGACATCTACGTTTTTGTGCAGCTACGGTGGGCACTCTCATGTAGTCTCAAGCAGAAACTGGGCTCTCCGAAGCTCCGAGCATTCCAGCATCGATCGCTTTATTAAATCGAGCATTGCTCTTGGGAGACAACTACTATGGTCTTCTCCATGACATCAAGCCTACCTTTACCTTCTGTCAGTTTTTGAAGGCTTTCTTTTCCCGAAATGTATTCGTGCGAGGCTTGTAGGAAAAGACATGTTAGTAGATCCATCCGCCCCACCGAATTTCTTACTGACCTGCACGTACCTTGACAGGGCCATTGTTCGCTGGTGCGGGATAACGCCGAGACGACCTGCAAATATTGCGAGGAAAGAGGCGTTCCATGCAAACGCAGAGCAAAGCGAGGTCCTCGGTCAAAGGTCTCTACAGCCCCGGAAGCTCCGAAATGTATCCAGCCGACACCAACGTCAGCTACCATGCCACAAACACCATACCCCGGCGGTGAAGTCACTAGGATCCTGATCAGCTTAGATGTCGGCTCCTCCGAGACCAAGGCTGTATATATGCTCCTCAGAAGCGATGGTCTGAGGTTGGGACACACTGAGTCTGTCCTCCGAAAGGCCATACCCGTGGTATGGGAAAATGGCCAAGCAAGCATCCCAACGCAGCTAGCATATGTGGCAGATACGATCTCGGATACCTTGACGTACCGACAAATCTGGGGCTGCGAAGTGACACAATACCTCGAAGATGGGAAAATACAGGGTGAAGACGTGTTGCGGTATTTCAAGCCGGTCCTTTGGGGCGCAGACCAGCGGGATCGGGACATTCTTCGTAACCAAATCAGAAGACTCCCGCAGGCAGTAAGGGAGACTGCAATGCTGAAAGATCTCACTGGACAAGGAAGACGCCGACATATCGAACCAGCAGATTTATATGCCGATAGCCTCCGCTATGCGTATGCATATGTCCTGCGGAAGATTGCGGAGAGCGAAAGGGAGCTGCTTTTGCCGCTCCACGATGACCTCAACCTGTACCACGGGTTTGTGCCTGATGGCATACAATTGGAAGTTGGTATACCCCTTCCAGGTGCAAGCACTACGGAACAAGTTCAGCTTGTCATCGCGGCAGCAAGGAAAGCCGGTATTGCAAACCCATTCCCTGTGGCCGAGCCTACAGCGGCTCTGACATACTACTTTCAATCCGAGTTTGAGATGGAAAACCCGCCACCTGATGGGAGTACCGTCATGGTTGTTGATCAAGGTGGCGGTTCTGCAGACGTTCAGGTACTGTGCAGACAACAGTCCAATCACGGGTTTCTTGTCCGCGAGATGGTCCACGGAGACACCGAATGGTGTGGCGGAAGGCTTGCGAATGAAATATGCCGAAAGGGCATCATGACCATGCTTAAGGCATACCCCTCCGATATGCACAAGGTTCTGGACTCTCTTGCTACCCCTGAAGGCCCAATGACAGTGCGAGAGTTCGAAATCCTTCTGGAACAGAAGTTCGAAAAGCCCAAGCGTGGTTTCACAGGCAGGGATCCTGCCGAAATCAGGATAGATGGCTTTCCCAGCATCCCCAGCCTTGGATACAATCAGATTGGGAGGATCCCGTTGTCTCAAGAAGACATGGCTGAAATGTTCGCTCTTTCTATTGACAAAATCAATGCCATGATCTGTCGGACCATCGAAAAAGTCCATGAAGCCGGAGCCACAGTGGACAAGATCTTATTGGTGGGTGGAGGGTTTAATAGCCGGTATATGCGCAACCGCATACGCCTCACCTATGAGTCCACTGAAGACTCCGCTGCAGGATATCCCATCCCGGTCGCCGCGCCCCACGAGAGGGCCACTTCAAGTTCCAGCACAGTAGCATATGGGTCACTGCTGCTTCTTGCCGACAAAGCATTCATCAATGAACGGATTATCCGCCGAGGATTCTGCGTGGCGTGGGACAAAGACAAGAGCGAAATCCCTGGCCGGCGGTATCCGGCACATAGGGTCTTTCGAGACCCCCATGATAATGTTGTGTGTGTTCGGGAGGTGGCACGATATCTAATCCGAGCGGGCGATCGTCTTCCTTGGAGCAAGTATGTCGAGGTCTGCGAAGGCTGGCGTGCTCTGTCCCTCCAGGAGAAAGGCCAAATCAAGCATCAATGGACCATCCGGGAAGCACTGTACTACTGCGACAAAGCATGTCGAGACAACGATCTTGTACGCGATAGTACTCGCAGTGGTATTCATCCCATGCCGAACCCGATCCTTTTCGAGCTTTCCGAAAAAGAATGCGAAGGGTTTGAGTTCCGTGCCGCGGATGGTAGTGATCCACCTGACTGGTACCGTTATGTTCAATACGAAGTTGCCTTGATCTTGGAGGGAATGAGAATGACTTTCGAGCTGAGGATCCCAAGGTCGGGTAAGCTGGGACCAAAGCGCAGCTACCTGGAAAGGTATGGACCTGATCCTATTGTGAAGTCAGGAGAGTACGACAACAGGGGTGTCTTCAAGCTCATCGATTCTTATGTCTAAGACTGGGCGTCGAGATTTCGTTGATATATTCCGAAACAAATAATGACTGGTCGTTCATAGTCGGTAGAGCATGTAGTGATTTCTTGAATTCGTCTCAAAAGCCTTCTAATAAACATGAACACTGTTCTCAGTATGACACAGCCTGATATCAGCTGAAAGACTGCAAAAGGTATGCCAACGCTACGAATTGTCATGTAGCACGATTTGAATTGCTATTAGGGCCAAACTTGTGGAGTGTAGATGTACAAGGCACTTTAAAGATGAACTTCATATTTGTAGGGACCACTATCGCCCCCACCACTTACCTTATCGCCACGTGCCCCTAAGTTTAGACGAATCTTACAGCTAAATTAGAGATACAATGTCTCTCTTAAACTAATATCTACAACTCTTTATTGGCTCAGTCATTAGAGCTTTTTAGTACCGAGGCCACGAGAGGTGTTTGCACCAAATTCAGTTGGCGCACTAAAACCAAAGCCTCATAGGCCCGATACACATTGTTACCCCGGGCTGAGGGCAATTCATTTCATTTTCGACCATACTTGAAAGTTTTCAATTTGAACCCATTCCCACATATTGCCAAAGCCATCGCAATCTAGTCTTCCCAATGCCGAGCTCAAGTCTCGGTCGAAATGCTTGACGGAAAGTGGACTTTAAGTGAAGGCGGCACAAACATGGCGACCCAATTGAAGTCCTGGAGCCGGAGAGAACAGAACCCCCTTCGCCGGGTATCGGAGAAGTTCTTGTCAAAGTCGCCAAACTACCGATGCACTCCGGCGATTTCTTGATGGTCAATGGACTGCACAATCCTCGAGAATATGAGGTTCCACCAGCCGGTCTCACACCAAGGGCAGAAGGGGTCGGTATCGTGGAAGCTTTGGGTCCTGGAGTTGGTGCGACTCGGGGCTTGGTCCCTGGCGCCCGTGTCTCCTTTTTCGTCGTTGGGGCCTGGCAGGAGAAACTGGTCTTGCAGGCTGACTCCGTTTTCGTGGTGCCTGAGACGTCGATGACGATCTGGCATCGCAATTGTTTGTCAATCCAATGGCTGCCCTGCTGATCGTGCGGGAAGTGGTAAACGCGGCAGGTCGTCGAACTGGGGTCATGCGGATTTCCGCGAACGGTGCGATCTTGACAGGACAAAAGCCAGCCAGCAACCAGCCGGGCGTTGTGATCCTGTCTGCAGCGGCATCAATCACAGCTAAGCTGATCGCTGGTTTGCTGAAAGAGAAGGGCTATACTCCTATCGGTACGGTTCGCTCTCGAGCTGCTGCCTCCGAGCTTTGTGGCGCAACTGGAGTCTCGACGTTTAAATGGGCAAAGTGTTGAGAGAGAAAGCCTCGTTTCGTCACGACCACTTACCAGCTCCCAAATTTCAGCTCCAAGAACCGCTGAATCCTTGCGATCTTCCTCCTCCCCAACAACACCCGCAATGAAGCAGGCCGGCATGTAGTGCTCGTCCGTACCGTGGGCGTCGCGATAATTAGGATGTTTCATCAGGCGAACCACGGCGCTCTTCAACTCGGGACCACCGCCATTCTTGCAGAGCACGTCCTCCAGTGCCTGTCGGAATTCCATATTCCCACTGTCAGGGGGTACCTCCTGCGCGAAGGTATCTCGATACTTCCAATTGTATTTCCAGTGCACGCGGTAGAGGTTGTGAACGCCGCCGCCAGGCCCGATGATGAGGTATCCTTCCTTCCTGAGCGGTCGCAGCACCCGGCCTATCTCCACGTGGAAATAGGGCTCGAAGTACTCGTTTTGAGATATGATCGTGATCGGGGGGCAACCATCGGGAAACATACGTGTCAGCAAGGGGAAGGTATCGATGAACCAGTTGAAGTCTGGGTCGGCGACCGCGTCGAACCCGGCCTCCTTGAGCATCTGCACGCACCGAGCTCCTGTCTTGAGGTCCGGGTTAGGCTTGTAGTGGGCCCACTCAGATTTTTTGACCAGTCCAACGGGTTCTGGTGTCACATTGGCGTTCATTGCGACATGGACTTTCCGCCCTGATACGTTTCAGTGAGCGCCCTGAATGTACGACGGTTATGATTATGTTTTGGAGAAGTTGAGTGAATGGTTGGCTCGGCCTACCATGATGATAACATCTTTGATCCCGTGTTCCAGAGCCTTGTCACCCTGCAACTTCCAGTAGTCTCGGATATGCGACCGCTCGCCCGTAAGCATGGTAGTACCATGCGATAATAGCAATACCGGCGGTTGTGTCGATGATGCGTCTAATTTTCTGGAGATTGTGCCGCTGATTTGCCGTAGACCGACTGTTGGAAGCAAGGAATGAGCCTGCTGTCGCCGAGGTTATTTCAGAAGTACTAGTAGTCCGGGGTAGGTTTATGATCTGGAGACCCCAGAATGGCTCATGACCGACTTCAGTGCCGGTAGTCGGTATTCATCGGTTCGCCCTCAGACCCCGCCACGTAAAGCTGATTCTAATCGTGTTCGGGAAGCATGTCGAAGGGAACATGGCTCCCGTGTTCGGGGTTCAAATTGACCGCTCCGCTCGGTACATGGGTGGTCTTGTATGGGCTACGACATTAACGAAGCAGCTTGGTCCGGCGAAAGAACAAAAAGAGTCAAGATCAGCCTCCATTGTCAAATATGGGCAATACTAAAGGCTAGTATTGCCATCATCTCGGAATTTCCGCATCTTGTCCATCTCCGTCCCGAGGAAGATTCAACTAAGCCCTTTTTAGCCTGCCACTCTCCAGCTATTGCGCGGGTGAAGTAAGGGCGTTCGAAACCGAACTGTCTTGGAAGCCAATCAGCGGAAAATCATACGGACTTCTTGGGGCTGCCTACTGAAATCAAATGACATCCGCCAAACAACACCAGAATGATGATGGGCATTATAGTACTGTCGTCCGTGAGCTCGTTCCATTCAGGGTGATAGCGAGCTGGACGGTAGTCTGGCACTCGCCGGTGATCTGTAGGCCACCATGCAGGATTGTTGGTCGGCTGTCGAGGTCCGTCATAGTTCTCAGCAGGCGGGTTCTGTACAATCTCGTGCGCCACCAGGCCGCCTGTGGGGTTCCCTCGAGGTACGCTGGTCACTCTCGCCGTTCGTTGCCGGTTCGCCGTTGTGATTATGGTTGACATCGGTGGGAAGTTCTTCTCGTTAAATGAGCATCATCCAAGTGAAATGCAGGAGATCATGAAATGGGCGACTTTAGAGAGGTCGGTGTATGCCTTCCCGGAACAGTTTCGGTTTAGAATCTCCAGGCTCGGTAAACATAGCCCAGATCCTCCATTGAAATGCCTGGATGCACTGTACAGGCGGGGGAGAACCGGACGTGGAGTGGAAGGTCGGGCTATGTGGTCGGCAGTCCGATCACCGCTGCGATCTGCTACAAATTCAAGAGTCTCCGTAGCCTCGTCGTGGGTGGGTTTGTTTTCCTACTTGCCTGGGCCATATGTATGGCCACCACCTCACTGTGTAGTACCAGTGCCGTCTGGGGCTGCCAGGCTATCCTTGGTGCGGCGCTTGCTTTCATTCTCAACGCAGTTGTTGCTAGCGCACAATTGAGTGCTCCTCCGGAATTGATGTCAGTTGAGACGCCCCAATAACCCTAGATTATGCGGGACTGACCAGGCCAAAATCCTCGCAGTTCTATCACCAGTGGTCTCGTCGCTGGGATCAGATCGCTTGGCGTGACACTTGGTGTGGCTGTTTGTAAGTCCGAACACGCTTTTCGATATTGCTTTCTCAAGACGATGCGTGCTGACCCGGGAGATTCAGACACCGCCATCTTCCACTCCAGAACCAGCAGCCTTTTGCCGAATATGGTCTCCAAAGCGGCTCTGCAGAGTGGGTTGCCCAGATCCTCTGTGCCAGCGCTAATTCTGGGCTTGTCGGGTGGTGATCCAGACCAGCTGGCCCAGATCCCCGGCATCACGCCAAAGATCATCAGCGCAGCTGCTCATGCTCTCAAAGAAGCATATTTGAAGTCGTTCCAGTCGGTGTGGATCGCTGCCTCCTGCCTGGCGGCTTGCGGCCTCATAGGTAGGTTCACATTCCCGTGTTCACTCACGTTGCTGGCTGATAATGTCGGGAAACCAGGCTCCTTGTTCCTTGTCAACCCGGTCAAGGATCTCAACAATCACATCGACAACCCTGCGGAGTCGGAGGAGGCTTTATATGGCGAGAAATGAGGTCCGGGAAACTCGTCAGAGGGTCGTTCTGAAGTATTGAGCTTCCAAGAGCCCGCAATGTACTAGAGGTTGACACGGCACTGCACTTAAAGCTGTTGACATGAGTTTCCATAATGCGTCTGGCCCGTCGAGGTCGAGGTCACTGTAATCTCGACCACGTTCAGCCGCAGCTCGTAAATGGTTAGTACTATTGCACAACAAAACACGCAATATCGGTTACATTATCGTTGACGTTTTCTTGACATTATGTGATGATATGCCGGATGATGTGGCGCTCAAGAGTCACGAGTCGAGGGGTTCGCATGTTTCGCATATAGTTTAAATAAACTGTATAGGAACAATTCAGCAGGCACATAGACCTAGACAGAGTATCAACCAGAAAATACAATCCTTCTTGCTCAGTACTACATCAGTCTCTGCCCCAAGGCATGGTCAGATACAGCAAAGGAATGTGCTGCTGCGAGCCATGAGTGTCGGTCTCTCCGAATCCTCCGGACACAGCTGGTCTCGCGATAGTTGCCTTATACGCCATTGCTGGGTCAAAGAAGAGCGACGCGGCAACCTGACCATCAGGAACAGAGTACAGTGCGGCCACCGTGTCTCGCGTCAATCTTCCGGACTTCTTCACCTTGTCATAGATCTCCTTGTTTGCGAACATGACATCGAAGGTCAACTCGTAAGGCCCGGAATTCTTGCTGCGAAGCACCGATGCAACATCGCCGAGGTAGCATGTGCCCTCGGTTGGCTCTGGGGTTAGCCAGTACTTCTTCGACGACTCTCGCTTCTTGATATAGCTGTCAGTCTTGGTCTGAACGGCCTCCTTCCGAGGTCCTACCCGGATCTTAGCAGTGGCTCGAAAAAGGGGCAAGACACAGACTTACGCGGCTGGTGGACGTAGGTGTTATCACCCTCAGCGGTCACGAGAGCCACCGGAAAGAGGCCAATAGGGTCGACCTTGTGCAAGATGTGGTACACGCAGAATTCCGGGCATGGACCCATCGGGATTTCGCAGGGTGTGAAAGGCCACGCGAAATTCCCGGCGGTGGCAAGTTGACCGGCGTATGGGGTGTGAGTGAGTCCGAACTTTGCCATGGTAGCCACCTGGTCGGCCTGGTCTTGTGTGGCGGCTCGTGCCTGTCCAGCAATGAATATCTCCTTGCCAACGCTGGTCTCGGGCTCTAAAGGTCCCATGACACCGTTGACGCCATACTTATGGATCTTCAGATCATATTCGTATCCGAAGGCATTGATTCTTTCTTTGACATGAGTTTCGATAGAGCCAATCCAGGAATCGAATTGCTGAATCAGGATGGGATCGCGGATCGCTCCCAGGAAGATCGTGTGGTAGCCATTTGCTCTTGCGCCTTCCAACTTCACAGTATACTCGCCGTCTGGTTCAGGCACGAATTTGGCATTGGAAACTCGAACCGACCGTTCGTCGAGCTGTTCATACGTTGTTTGATCGAGATGCAGAGCTCCCCCTGGTCCGCGAAGTACGTCAGGCCTTGTTTTCTCGTACAGAAAGTGAGAAGCCACCGAGAGCGTCGTGAACTTAGATTTTGGTTCGAGGGGAATTACGTCGAATGAATCTTGACGAATGATAGCAAGGGCCTCCCGAGACTTTGGAATGGAGCACTGAGCTCCGCATTCCATGATCTTACCCATGGAATAGGCAGTTCCAAGGTCTTCGAAGCCACGGAAGAGACAGAAAGCCGCATACGGTGCCGGATCATAAGCTCGACCGCCAACGATAATGTCGAAGTCTGGATTCTCTCGCATTGCCTTCAAATACGGTTCTAGACCCATTTGAGCCACGATTTTCGTACTGCTGTCGATGTCGTCTTCTTTAAGCTCGGGCACACCACCTCCGCAGGGACTGATAAGACCGTCAGTGAGCTTCTGTCGTAAGAGATCCTTCGGAATTTCAGAGTAAATCTTGAGGACTTTCAATGTTCGGTACCCATTCCTCTTCACCGCTTCAGTGATGATGTCGGCAGCCTTGTCGACATGCGCATTCTCACCGTCACCACCAATTGATCCGATAAGTGAAGGGACATTGTGCAAATGAGCCGCTTTGGCGAAAAGTTCCAAGTCTTTCGCAAGGCGGGAGTATGGGACGTTTGGTATACCCAGTGCCAGACGCCCAGGTCCGCTGTCAGTCGAACCTCCGTCACAGATGATTGCGTCGCAGCCAGACTCGACAGTGTCCCAGAATATGTCTTCGTTGAAACCCTGGCCGAGCTGGCCGATGGGGGTGAAGATCCTAAGCTCGTCCTTCGATGTGGCTGACGGAGACATATCTGTGCGTTCGACGATAACCTTTGGTACAATCTTCAAATCTCAACGGCAAAGAATTGAGATTCCATCTCCTCTCGACCAACAGTGTAGCTAAATGCATCAGAATTCCGGTTTTGAAGAAAGAGGCAACGTGCAAAAGCCGATTTTCGCTCCCAGGCCGCCCATCGCATTTTTCAAAAGACCGGTCTCTCATTGCGCCGGAGCTAAATAGCGCACTGGGGTGCTTGCTTTGCGGGGAAAGCCGTGATCTCAATTTCAATCAAACGGGACGGCAGTTTCCCAAGTAATGGGAGGCTGAGGGACATCGTCCGTCGTATGTGCAAGCAGCTATGTGACAGACGATTTGCTCACGTTCCGGATTGTTCCGTGGGCTCCGGTCGATTTTTGGTCTTTCCATAAGCACCCCCCTCGGCCCTCCTCCTTTCAATGGCTTCTTTGTATGGAGGTGCTGTTGGAGGCTGCACAGGTGGAAGGCTGGTGTGGCCTTCAGGAAGCTTGTATGTGGCATCTGCATCCCAGGCTGACAGATCTCCGCAGGCGAGAAACGGAGCGATCCATCTCTGAGGGTCATTCTCTTCGTCTTCGAAGTGAAGCTCCACAATACCGTCGTCGCGGAGATGTCTCGTCTGCTTTTCCAAACTGGAGTCTTGTGGTCTGCTGGCTTGCGGTACCTTCAAAGCATCACCAAGCTCAGGTGTCCAGTCTTTGACAGGTCGATAGCCCTCGCAGACAACGAATGCTTCGATGCTGCTCGCTCTGCTGGACCTTGGTTTGGCAATGTGGACCCGCTCAAAGACGAGCTTGAGCTGGGCGAAAATGATGTCGACATTTCTGCCTCGGAAGATCTTCGCAACGAATTTGCCCCCTGGCCGAAGAACTTTCATTGCCAAAGTCAATGCTGAGTACAATAGCTGTGATTGAACATAGATATCCAGGTCGTGAAGCCCGGTCACGTCAGGCGCGCCGTCACTGATGACCAGGTCGACTCGGTGAGTTTCGTTGTGCTGATCAAATTCGGGATCAATGGCTTTCAAAAGAAGAGGGACAGTAGAGGGATGCGTGATGTCTGCTTTGAGCTGAATAATACCTTCCAGCGGAGCCATCGGCTGCAGGTCGATTGCGACTATTTTGACATTCTGACGCGGTTTGAATTCGGATGCTGCACGCTGTAGATTTACGGAAACCATGTCTTCTTGTAGGCTGTCCTCTGATGACGGTTGGGAGGCCGTCAGCGTGTGCTTTTGGAAGCTCTCCATCTTCTCAACCCAGGACCTCCGACCAAAACTCTCACCCTTGATAAGGATTCGTGATAGTACTTGACTCCAACTGCCTGGAGCAGCGCACAGGTCGACCACTCTGGTACATTTCGATGGGTCTGCATACGAGAACAGGTCGAATTGCTCGTCGATTTGTATTAGTTTGAACGCGGACCTAGCTCGCCAGTTCTGCTCTTTGGCAAGACGATAGTAGGCGTCTCTTTTGTCTTTGGATGATTTGCCCATTATGACAGAGTCGGCGCCTTTCCAGTCATTGACAGAACCGTCCACAAAAAGTTGCGACAAAACTAATACTGACTCGAAGGTGCCGCGTGCTTCACCGTTTTGCAGGGTATACGGCGGATTATTCAGCTTGCACGCGAACGCCAAGAAGGTACGGCAAACTATTGAGCCCATCAACCACATTTATATCGGCGCGTCGCAGTCCCGTCGAGGCCACTCTGGACTTGGGCATTGAACTTCGCGGAACAAATTGCAACAGAGCTGCTTCGAATCAAAGCCTTCAAGAAGGCCAATATCGCAGCCATGGCCCCTTCCATGTCGCTTCATAGCGTCGTTGCTATTTTGATACTTTCCACAGACACCTCACCAGAGTCCTCACGCCTCTTCGCCAAATACTACCATGCTCCTCACACATCTGCCACGCAGCCTACTCCTCCACAGCCCTATGCGTCTCTAAAAGAGCAGAAAGCCTTCGAGAAAGGACTCCTCGAGAAGACAGCGAAACAGACTTCGGATGTGATACTGTATGACAACAAAGTGGTGGTGTTCAAAATGGAGAGCGATGTCATGCTTTACGTCGTCGGAGGTCCGGAAGAGAATGAGATCCTGCTATACAACGTTGTTCTTGCGCTGAGGGACACTCTCAGCATTTTGCTCAAGTACGTACTATGGTTGGATTGGTGGTGCAGTACGCAACTAACAAGCTCTGCAGAAACTCGACAGACAAGAGAACGATTATGGAGAACTACGACCTAGTCACCCTAGCCATTGACGATATTGTGGATGACGGCATTGTCTTGGAGACTGATCCGGTCATGGTCGCTTCGAGAGTGTCGAAAGCACCTGCGCAAGACGCTCCGAACATGAAGAACATTGACCTGAGCGAACAAGGCATTCAGAATCTATGGGAGTTCGGCAAGAAGCAGGGCATGGAATTCGTCCGGAGAAACTTATAGCCCTTGTATATTCGACGGTGCTACTCCCACAGAGCATTTATGGTGAGGGAGGTGTTTCGGAGTTTGGTCAGATTGGCTAGGGAGTCATTGCATGGAGTTACGATACGGGAGACAGGAGACTCAGGAGGACAAAAGAATATCAGCAAAAGAGGCCTTGGATCATGATTTAACCATCTGAACGGCTCCAGGCTGGCCTACTGTGATATATCTCCGCTGTTATTCGGTGGACAATAGGCCCTTGAAATGCAGAGAGGCTCGGTGAATCAGTAACCGACGTCATCCGCTCTTTTCTCCAAGCACATTCCAGTTCCCATTCTGTCTACCATTTAATTCTACTGTCGTCCTATGCACATAGTCCTTTCGTCTCGCCTTAGAATTAGTTGTTCGACCCTCCAGAGAGCCTCAATATGAAGCAGCGCTTCTCGTCTCTCGATGTCAAGGTAGGCTCTCACGAAATCCCATTCCGAGTACCCTGACTCAAGCGACCGCTCAAGCGACTGACTAACATACGCTCTTCTAGGTTATAGCCAGCGAACTCGCCTCATCCTTGACTACCCTTCGAGTCTCGAACATCTACGATCTTTCCAGCCGAATCTTCCTCTTCAAGTTCGCTAAGCCCGGCAAGCGAGAACAACTACTGGTAGATTGTGGGTTCCGATGCCACCTGACGTCCTTCTCGCGAACTGCGGCGACCGCTCCTTCTGCGTTTGTCAGCCGATTGCGCAAATACCTAAAAAGTAGGCGCGTGACTGGCGTTGCGCAAATAGGCACCGATCGAGTCATTGAGATCACATTCAGCGATGGCCAATATCGCATGTTTCTTGAGTTCTTTGCGGCCGGCAACATTATAGTCACAGACGCGGAATTGAATGTACTAGCCTTGCAGAGACAAGTCAGCGAAGGGAATGAGGAGGTGGATGTCAAGCTTGGTGGAAAATATACCTTGGAAGCAAAGCAGAACTTCCATGGAATACCTCCACTCACGCCCGAAAGAGTGACCGAGACCCTTGCAAAAGCCGTGCAGAGGATGAAGACCGCGAATGACGCTGGTGGAAAGAAGGCAAAGAGAGCAAAAGGGGGAGATGAGCTAAGAAAGGCTCTGAGTGCCGGTTTCCCCGAATATCCACCTCATCTGTTGGACCATGTGTTCAACGAGGCTGGTGTAGACCCTGGTCTGAAGGGACAGGACGTTCTAGAGAATGCAGAGTCCTTGCAAACAATTCTCCGAGCCCTGGGTCGGGCGAAAGATCTTTTTGATGCTCTTGATACAGGTCATGCTAAGGGATACATCATTGCAAAGACAAAATCTGCTTCTACGCTTGAAGATGGAAGCCCGGCCACGGAAACTCCCAGCCGGGATAACGTCTTATACGATGATTTCCACCCGTTCAGACCTTCTCAGCTCGAGGGGAAGCCTGGCATCTGCATATTCGAGTTTGACGGCTTTAATCGCACAGTGGATGAGTTTTACTCTTCGATCGAGTCTCAGAAGTTGGAATCTCGACTGACGGAACGGGAAGAGACCGCCAAAAAGAAGCTGCACCATGCGAAGAGTGAGCATGAGAAGCGAATAGGTGCACTTCAACAACAGCAGGAGTTGCATGTTCGAAAAGCTCAGGCCATCGAAGCCAACACCCACAGAGTCGAAGAGGCATGCGCAGCAGTCAATGGCCTGATTGGACAGGGCATGGACTGGGTCGATATCGGAAAGCTAATCGAGAATGAGCAGAAGCGAGGCAACATCGTGGCACAAATGGTCAAGTTGCCATTGAAGCTCGAGGAGAACACAGTGACTCTTCTCCTTGATGAGCCCGGCTTTGACGAAGATGAAGAGAGCGATGAAGAAGATAGGACTGATGATGAGCAGGAGTCCGATGATGAGGTAGCTCAGGTCACAAGCAAGGCTGCCTCAGATAAACGTCTAGCTATTGATATTGACCTCGCGCTTTCTCCTTGGGCAAACTCGAGGCAATATTATGAACAAAAGAAGTCTGCAGCAGTCAAAGAGAAGAAAACACTCGAAGCCTCGGCGAAGGCTCTCCAGTCTGCCGAAAAGAAAATCGGCGCGGACCTCAAAAAGGGGCTCAAGCAGGAGAAAGCGGCTTTGAGACCTGCCCGGAAGCAGTTCTGGTTCGAGAAGTTCTGGTATTTTGTTTCCAGTGATGGGTATCTGGTCATTGGGGGAAAGGATGCTCAACAGAATGAACTGCTGTACCGAAGATACCTGAAGAAGGGCGACATTTATGTTCATGCCGACCTCCAAGGTGCTTCTAGCGTCATCGTCAAAAACAACCCCAGAACACCAGATGCTCCGATCCCTCCTTCGACGCTTTCGCAAGCCGGTGCTTTGACTGTATCTACGAGTAGCGCTTGGGACTCGAAAGCCGTGATGGGTGCGTGGTGGGTCAATGCTGATCAAGTGAGCAAGACTGCCCCGACGGGTGAGTATCTGACGACTGGTGGCTTTATCATTCGAGGTCGCAAAAATCTGTTGCCTCCTAGCCAGCTTTTGTTAGGCTTCGGGGTTATGTGGTTGATCAGCGAGGAGAGTAGGGCTAATCATGGCAAGCATCGGCTAGAAAGAACCGAAAGTATGTTGTCAGGGGAGGCAGAGGCTTTGGAGGCCGATGCCCAAGGTTTGTCCCTGGACGAAGAGGACGCTGTTGAAGATGAAGATGCTTCTCCTCAGCACAACGAGGCGGTACCTGACTTGGAAGATGCCGCTAATGATGCGGAGGAGGAGGAGAAAGATGATAATCGTGTGGTGGATGCGGACGGGGGCCTAGAAGGGAATGCCACGGAAGTAGATGGCCATGACAATGCATCTGCGGCAGCTTCTGAGCCGGAAGAGCAACGCAGCAATCCGCTGCAAATGCTTGGAGACAATGGCCGTTCCATGGCCGTGGCGGATGGAGGGAAAGGAGAGCCAGAGCTCGAAGTCGAGGTTGACGCTGAGGACAAATCGAGTGATGAAGATGGCAACGAGACGCCGGACGAAGAGTCTTCCACAAGCCCATCTACGCCAGTATCAACGCAACCGAAGCCCCAAACAAAGCCGAAACAGCAACAACTTGCTCGTGGAAAACGTTCCAAAGCTAAGAGAGCGCAGAAGAAGTACGCGGAGCAAGATGAAGAAGATCGCGCCCTTGCCATGCACCTTCTCGGCTCTGCTCGTGGGCAAGAACACAAAAAGGGCGTTGAAGAGGATAAGGCAACACGCGAAGCCAAGGCTCAAGCTGACAGAGAGCGGCGCAAAGCGCAACATGCCAAAGCAGCTGAAAGAGAACGACTGCGGCAGGAGAGGCTTGAAAAGGCCGGCGCAGAAGAAGCTGCAGAGCTCAATGCGGACGAAGAGCTGAGTAAAGAGCAACTCGAGCAGGAACGCCGCGAGCTTCTGGATATTGACAGACTCGTGCCGCATCCTGAGCCAGGCGATGAACTCCTAGCCGCAATCCCGGTCGTGGCACCTTGGACGGCGATGGCGAGGTACAAATATAAGATCAAGTTGCAGCCGGGCAATGTTAAGAAAGGCAAAGCAGTCAGGGAGATCCTCGGGTTCTGGTCGACTTTGGACAAGAAGGGACCGAAGGTGGTCGACGAGTCGAGCAGGGATAAGGAGCGCGTTTGGAGGCGAGAACTGGATCTACTGAAAGATTGGAGAGTAGAGGAAGTTGTTGGCTATGTGCCTGTGAAGGGATGCAGGATCGTTCAGGGCGGTGGGATTGGGGGTGGATTGGGAGGTGGCAATGCAGGCGCGAAAGGCAAAGGCGGTGCTGGATCGAAGGGAAAGGGTGGTGGTGGAAAGAGGGGGAGATAAAGGAGAAGAAGCCTTGATCGCTGGTAGATGGAGCCCTTGTGTAGATCATCTTTGAAGTCTGTCTATCCAACGAGCAGTTATCTTTCCGCCTGAGCCTGCCGTTCGTCGACGACGCACGTGGCGAAGCTATCAGTCCCCGGCAGTAACTTTCAATCCACTCTCTCGGCGGCAGCCTTCTCGATTCTATCAATCACCGCGTCTTCGAGATCTCGGACCTGGCTCTGTTGGCTCCCAGGTGTGGCCGTCGAAGACGCCAAAGCATCACTTCTCCTCACTGTCTCAGCGAATATGAAGGAGCATCCAAGCTCGTCGAAGAGCCTGAGCACGCCAAATAGCGAATGCCCCAGGTCGGCAATCTTGGGGCCAACCTGGACGTTATACAGCGTTATCGACCCTTCGGAATAAGACCCAATTGACACAATAGGCTCATAAGCGGACTCTGCAAGTGCTGATGGCACGCTTTTGTCCTCGACAGGCGAAACAGGTAGCCCTGCGAACGCAGGCCAGTGGCAGGAAATGGTTCCCACTTTGACTCCTTCTCCCAGATCCGGTGAAGCTGATTCGATGATCTCCGCCAGTTTCGACTGGACCTTGCCTGCTGAAACAGCCTCCTGGGAGAATAGGATCAACCGCCCGTTCGGCGCGTAGTGGCGATATTTCATCCCCGGCGCTCGCGGAGCACCATTCACGTCCTCTATGAAACTCACGTTCAGACCAGAGCCCGAGGCGGGCGAAGCTGCACCCGAACTCACTTCGTGCCGCTTATACCCGATCGCGGTATCAGCGAAGGCGTTTCCATGTTCCCGACCGTGCGCAATGAGTTCGGACTGCGACACGCCGCCTGGTCGTAGTATCAAGGGCGGGTCATGCAGTCCGTCGACGACGGTGCTTTCGACGCCGACATCGCACGGTCCCCCGTCGAGAATGAAATTGATCTTCCCACGCAGATCGTCGAGAACGTGCTGCGCCGTCGTGGGCGAGGGCTTGCCTGACGAATTCGCAGATGGGCCGGCAATCGGTCTGTCGATTGCGGCGATGAAGAACCGCGCATACTTGGACGATGGGATGCGGAAGCCGATCGTCGACTGGGCTGGGTGCACGTTCTTTGCGAAGACCGAATTTGGCGGTACCGGGAGTAAGATTGTCAGTGGCCCCGGCCAGAATTTCTGCGCGACTGGTCGGTAGATCTCGGGGAGTGGTTCGCCTGTGAGACGCTCGAGATGGGCCACGGACGAGACGTGGACGATCAAAGGGTTGTCGCTGGGGCGGCCCTTTGCAGCAAAGATGCCGGAAATGGCGGGCTCGTTGGTCGCGTCGGAGCCGAGTCCGTAGACGGTCTCCGTGGGGAAGGCCACGGGGGGAGAGATCCCGTATTTGATGGATTCGATGGCATCCCGGAGAAGGCGGGCGTTCGAGGTTGAGCGCTGCTGCGTGTACGTGCGGTAGATGCGCCGGTACTCATCGTCGGAGGCGTGCTCGGGGATTTGGAGCTCGGCCAGTGATACGATCCGTGTGTGGCAATGGGTATAGGGTAGGGTGGACAGGTGCTGACGGTTGGCCATGATCGTGTCCATGGCGGATGATGATAGTGGCCGAGCTTGGAATGTTGTTCGGTGAACAGGTCCAGAGAATGAGAATAGTCTAGAGTCGAAAGCAGAAACACAGAAGCGTGAGAACATGAGAAAAGTTCAGCCTGGCCGGGAGCGTGAGGCGATGCTTGTTCTTCGATGATGAGTGAGGCGAGGGCGTATCAGAGACGAAGTGATTGAGTGGTCGACCATATTGGAAACCTGTAGCTAAAAGCCCGCTTCACCTTTTTGGCATGATAGGGAAGGATTATTTGATGTTCTGGAGATTTAGTACGCCTCTAGTATCCCTCGAATGTAGTCCAACATCCTCGTCTTGAATGCCATCATGAGGATGGAGGAGGAGGATTTGAGAGACAAAGGACAAATTTTATCGGTCACGTGATCAAGGGTCATCTAGTCACGTGGCTCAGCCTCGTCGAATCACACAACGAGGCTGGAGGAAAATTGAGATTGGGAGGCCTTCTGCCTGTCTTGGGTGTGGTCGTCTCCGAGCCAACCTGATCATGAAGTGCAGGTTAAGTAATAGCTACCTAATTATGCTCGGCAGTTTCCATATGAGGTTGTGTGGCCAATTAAGTACCATTCCACGGCAGTCCAAGTTTTCATCTTCCCAAGATTCGCCGAGGACAAAGTCTGAGAAAGAGCGGGAGACTGCAGCCTTCCTGTGTGGTTGCCTTGCAGCTGGTTTGCAAATCATTGTCGCCTCGATCCCTATTGAGGTTCAGGCCAGGAGGCGTTGCACAAGTTCTGAAGGATCACAGGGCATCATACATCCACTCTCAATGGTTGCCTTTGTATGATTGACTCAGTTCTGGGCCAATCGATGATGACTGCGGCCTTGTAGCCTGCGATTCCTACAGGCACCACAGTACTAAGAAGTGCCTTGATGCCGCGTGGTGAGGTTTCCATGACTGCTTCACCAGATACACTCACCAGATTATTCCCTTCGCTGCCATTCGTGAGTCAAAGTGCTATCAGTGACCCAGGCAGCCGCCTCGCTTAGTGACTTATCGATCTCTATCAGTGTGAACTGTCATCTTCACGGGCCATATAAGACCTTGGTTCTTTCCATGATGCCTCGTCGTTGCGGTACATTCCCCTCACCATCAAGTCTTGATCTTTCGTCGCAGTTCGACCTTCTCTTCAGAGACTCGGCTATGACACCAACGCGAATGATAGACCGACCAAGATCCCCCGTTGGCAAAATGATTGGCAAGGTTCCTGAGGCGATATCAGAGAAGCGCGAAACGAAAAAGAAAGAGAGTGAAGACTCCAAAGAGCCCGAGGTCCCTAATGGTAGCATCACCCAGGCCAGAAACCTCTACTCCAAGAAGGACAATGATGGGAAGTACCAGTGGGTGGCCGAAGAGCCAGAAGATGTCGTCGACGCTGCTGAGAACAGTGAGACGGCTCGTTACGCTTTTCTTGTTCGAAACAAGAAAAGTTATGACAGCAGAAAGAAATACGACATCGACTCCATCATCGTACAATCTCCATGGTTGAAGAAGTCGCTGGGAGTGATCCTTGAAGATTACCCTGGTATTACCACCAACCTCGAGCGACTTGTGTTCCGCGCCCCATTCCATCCATTTGTCCATCGTTGGAACAAGATGCTCGCCATGCTACAGAAAGATGACTTCGAAGAACCTGTTGACAAAGAGCATCTTCAGCTCTTCCACGATGTGCTCTATGAAGAGCTCAAGAATGCCATTGCAGCTAAGATCGACCTGGTCAAGAACGGCGTCATTACCTTCGAGTATCTCTGGACCATCTTCGAGCCACAAACTCTCATTTACACCCTCTGCGACGGCAAAGAATGTGTCTTCAAACTCAATTCATCTCACACTGCGGTGGATCAACAAGCTGGCCTGGAATTTCTATCGTTGAACGTCTGGGCATGCGATTGGGATGGCACAAAGTTCGGTCAGAAGGGCACCACGCTCAAGGACTACGCGTTCGGTGGTACAACTCCAATCACCTCTTTGCAAGCGTATCCTCTCGATTTTCATCCAGAGAAGGAACAACTCATCCAGCGTCTGGTAGCCAGAGGCAAGCTCTTCGAGCGCTTCGCAGGTTACCATTATCAGGCATATCGAGGTGTTGCTCTAGGTTATGGTCGCTGTGGGATGATCCGTCACAACATCGAGTCTCGGATCATCATTGACTGCGATGCTCACAACCATTTTCTACCGAACTACGCCGTCTCTGTCAGCAGTCTACCTTTCTCAAGGTCCAAATCGCTGTCCAGTGTGGCAAGAAGTGAGTCTGGACAGGAAGAGGATTCGGATGATTTCGACGGATTTCATGATGATGCCTCGGACTTTCTTGACACTCCAGACTCTGATGAGGTCGATGCCAAAAAGCCGAAACACAGACCTCTTACAGCAGAGGAGCTATTGCTAGCTGTGCCATACGTTCGCGGCTACGCTATAAAGAGCAAAAAGTGGCTTTGGTTCTACGTGGACCAAATTACGCCAATCAAGTTCGCCGAGGACGCATTTTCATCTCTTGTGCTCCCAACGGCACAAAAGTCGTTGATTCGGGCGTTTGTGGAATCACAAGTGAAGTACAAGACTGACTTTGACGACATTATTGCAGGCAAAGGCCGTGGTATGTATTGTCCCTTTATGCTTGGTTGGAAGCGTCAAGTAGTACAGCATTCTAACGGCTTGCAGGCATGATCATGCTTCTTGCAGGGCCGCCTGGAGTTGGTAAGACCTTGACAAGTGAGAGCGTTGCAGAAGATATGCGCGTACCTCTCTACTGCATGTCTGCGGGTGACCTTGGGCTCGACCCGAGTGGAATTGAAGGTGGCGACTTCTCTATTGTTCCATCTCCGGCATACTAACCTAATGCGCAGAATCCTTGAACCTCGTCCTAGACATGGTCAGCAAGTGGAACGCGGTGCTTCTTCTTGACGAGGCGGACGTCTTTCTCGAGGCGAGAAGCAGCAATGACCTCGAACGGAACAAGATGGTCTCCATCTTCCTACGTGTGCTGGTGAGCCGCTTTTTCCGTGATCGACGTGCAGGGACGTAAATGTACTGATGCAGGTAACAGGAATACTACGAAGGAGTACTATTCTTGACCACCAATCGAATCAGCAACATTGATGCAGCATTTCACTCCCGGATCCATGTCACAATCAATTATCCCAACCTTTCCATTGACTCCCGGCGCCACGTCTGGAAGACCTTTCTTGGAAAGGACAGTGCTGTCAATGAGAAAGACATTGATCGGCTAGCTCAGGTGGACCTCAACGGACGACAAATCAAGAATATGCTGAAGACGGCACAAATGTTAGCACGTAGTCAGGAACAAGGAAAAGATGGACAACGTGGTAATGTGGAGATGCAACACATCGAGACAGTGCTTGCCATCGAGAGAGGTGCATCATGGGAGTGATTGGACGGGACCTGGATGGGAATGCATGCAATTCAGCAGTTGCGGATTGTAGATCGTGTCTCCTCGTCAACTGCTGACCAAGGGTGCTACAGGAGTCATGGCAAGCTCAACTGAGGTCACTTGTTGTCATGCTGCGTGTCATACTTTTCGGGTTGCAGTGAAGAACGATGGCCGCCAATGGTGCACAATGCCCTTCAACATTCAATAATGCAACAACTCTTTTCTAGACACAGTGCAAAGATCTCACAAACAACATGCATCTATCATATGACAAATGACTGTCAGGCTGACGCCGTCACCGAAATTTTCTAGCGGTCAAGCCCGAATCGTCGCATGAGGTTGGACCCCAAGCCGGATGGCGTCGGCGTCGTCCAGGCATTTGCCTTGCAAAGCAAGGGGCTTGCAAAGCAAGGAAAAAGTGGCACGGAAAGACTGATGCTGCATAGAAGGCCTGTGCGCTGGACGTTCCCACATGGACGTGGCCTGTTTAAGGTGTGGCCAATGCAGAACAATGGATGTGGTCATGTCGTGGACCTCTAGGAAGCAGCAAATGCTGCTGTATTCGCCACCAGTTGGCCGGAAGAAGGCCGGAAAAAGGCTGGATTTCCAGGTTTTTGCATATTGGAAGAGACAATTCCATGCATCTTTGGTGTAAATGGTTGGCTGGGTTCGAAACCTGACCAACAAAAACCAGTCTGGGGGCCACGGGGAACAAAACAAAGCTAGCAGGGGGACATGGCAAAAGGGCAGAAGTGAGACTCACGAGATGCGGGGGAGGCGCAAGCTTAGGGCCTAAGCTTAAGCCCAACAGGGAGTAGCCGATGCTATTTCCAACGGGTGGCCATGGCTGGGAAGCTTGTCCGGACTGCCTATCACGCCCTCCACCGCCCATGACCGCCTCTCAACCTCTTAGACCATGCCAAAGGTCTACATACCTGCATCCCCTCCATGCATGTCGCAAATCCCCGAATCCTCTTTCGCTCGTTTGAACGGCACTACTGCTCACTCCAGCACTTGCTGCCGACCACCAGCCTGATCAAGGTATTCAATGGCTGTTCTTACGCGAGACCCTCTACATTTTTGCCTCCGAGCGAGTCGAAGCGAGAATCAGCTGAGCCTCCCAAGCAAGAATTTTGCATAGTCGCTTACCCAACCTCACCGTGACCAAAACCTTTCCGGCCCGGATAGGTCGCTCAGAGTAACAATGTCTCAGACGGTGGAAGGCAGGCGCAGACCCAACCTCGTGTGCGCGCTCATCCGGGCATCACAGCCGTGTCTGTCTATAAAGTCTGCTGTGGTAGGTCGACCTCTCTTTCTCTTCCTCTTCATCGGCCTCAAGAACAAGCAAGCAGAAGCCAGTCTTTGAGAAGGAGCAGCCAGCCTTTCGTTCCCACATACACCCACCTCCTCAGCCTCTCGCTACGTCATTGCCCCTCGTTGATCCCCTTACCCACCCTCGTTGCACTACAGCACATCAAAATGAAATTCTTCACAACCACTCTTCTCATTGCTGGCGCCAGCGCTGCTGCCGTACCCCAGACTCAAGGCCAAGGCTGGAATGACTGGGGTAGTAGCTCGGCCTGTGTTCCCGCCACGACCACCGCCTGGTCTACAGCTTGGTCGACGGCCTGGTCAACTGCATGGTCAACCGCTTACTCAACCGCTTACTCAACTGTGACCAGTGTTTCCGTCTCAACTGCGGTTTCTACTGTGGTCTCAACCGTGGTCAAGCCAACCACCGTTCCAACGACCATTTATAGCACCGCGACCGTGCCCACCACTCTCTACAACACCATTACAAACTTTGCCACTGTGACCTCAGTGTCTACCCTCGTCAAGACAGTGCCGACCACAATTCCAACGACTGTCGTTAGCACTGTGACCGTCCCGACCACCTTGACAGTGCCGGTGACTGTGCCGGTGACGGTACCGACCACGGTGACCGTGCCGACCACTCTCTATAACACCATCACCAACTTTGCAACCGTCACTTCAGTCTCCACGGTTGTGAAGCCGACCACTATTCCCACGACAATTTATGCGACAGTGACTTCTGTCTCGGTGTCGGTTAGCACAGCCGTTTCAACCGTTGTCAAGCCTGTCCCGACCACGATTACAGTACCCACAACAGTGACGGTACCGACAACAGTGGCCGTACCCACAACAATTCCTACAACAGTTTATACTACTATTACTCCCGCCGCGGAGACACAAGTGGTCACCGTGACGGCCACCGCTCCCTGCCAGCAGAGCAGCGGCTGGGGTGATGTGAGTACTCTCCCTTCCGAATTTGGTACAGCTTTCTGACGATTCACAGTGGAAATCCAAGAAGTTCTAAAGCAGTCTCCCAAGGCTGCGAGGACTGAACTCTTTACAATTCTGATATAATGTTTGAAACGAGGCCATTCAATGTAACGACGCATGAAACGAGGCCATGACATGAAATTATCTGCTGCATAATTTCTCAGCATGAGCAGGGAGTTATCAATACGAAAAAGAAAATGGAAAAGTATACGTGTGAAGGGGGAACGAAATCATCTGGATTAAGTTCAATGTGCAGACGTCTTTCTCAAGGTTGAAGACACGACTATGGCCGCGCTTCGGCCAAACATTATCCCTCTATATAATCTATTCGAGCCAGCTGCGTAAGCCGGGCAGTGTAGTCGTTGGATTAATATTCAACAAATTGATTTTCGAAACACTTCACAAAAGCTCAGAAGGCGAACTGTTCCTGCTTGTACGGCGAGACAAACGAGATTGTCTGCACTTGCCTCACCCACGTATGATACCTATCGTGACCTATAAGCAAGCCCCAATACCCTTCTGAAGACGCGGACTCAACCCTTAGATACCTGCTCTCTTTTCTCTTGCTGCAGTAAGGCTCGACCCGCTTGTTTTCGTGTTTCATTGGCTGCGACTGACCCGGTGAGCAATCTTGAAGGTTGTTTGGCCGCGAGTTTCCTAAGTGTCGCGGAGTGCTCGTGCCACCAGTCATCTAGCTTCAGTTGTCCTGTCACAACATACGCCGGTTCGAACTGCAACCCGTTTTAGGGATGAGTTAGGGATTTCCATGGTATCATGCCGAGCGAGTGGCCCAGCGATCATCGCAGGACCGGACTATTGTAAAGAGACCTTACAAGTATTAAAAATCGATACTTAGACCACTTCTCAGTCTGCCGATGGGAGCATAGATCTCTTTGGGTACCGAAAACTTATCAACCTTATGCAACTGACAACAGAAGTGGTGACTATAAGAAGCGTTAGCCAGCCTTATGCACAATTGGCCATCCTTCCTACGTCGTCAGAGTCATTATTGATAGTTATAGCGTAGCGCGGAAGAGGAAATGGCATTCGCTCGGCCCTGCTTCAGTATATTGAAAACGGACAGTTCTCGCGAGCTCTTACGAAGTTAGACATTATATGGGAGCGCTCGCTGTCCGACACCCGAAATTCCTGAAATACGAAATATATGAGTGTACCTATATACGTCGTGGAATTCTGTTCAGTTCGAGGCTCTCTCATAGACAGATCGTCTGACACTAGGTAGAACTGGAAGACATGCACGGAGATAGCTGCACATACTTAGATAGAAGCTCCTTAACTCCGAGATAAGGCAACTCTAAGGGGCTGAAAGCGCGATTCATTATAGTGGACTTAAGTAGAGGTTATCTGTGAAAGCGGGCTTACCGGGGTAAACTCATCAGGAGTTACAGAATAGAATAGTTTATCTCCGTTAGAAGAGACACGGCATCACAACATGTCCAGGCAATGGAATATAGATGGAAGCAGCCCCAAAAACCTATGCAACGGAAGACAGTGAAGATTGAATTGCCGATAGCCAACAGCTAATTCGCCCATATCCACGAACCTGGCGAATCCTGCAGAAAGATACAAAGTCCTGAAGCGAACAAAATGGCCCAAACCGGCAAAGATTTCTCGCTCTCACCAGCGTATAAAATGTCCCAAGCCGGTAAAGTCCCTCGAACATATTCCGCCTCCGCGTTGCTCTCGCTGTCGCCGTCACTAACGGACGGGATAAGTACGAAATTTTACCAAGACGACGCACCATGACACATACCCAGCGATTGACACCAAGGGTACGCCCGGCTGGGACTGCAAGGGAAAGGCGATGCTCATCACAGGTGCCAACGGTGGCGTGGGGCGGGCGGTGGTGCAGGCATACGCACGCGCAGGGGCGTCGCACATCGGGCTGGGCGTGCGGCGCGACGTTAGCGACCTGGTCGTCGCCGTCAAGGCGGCAGCGGCCCAGGGGGGTCACCCAGAGCCGACGGTGACGGTGCTGCTTATAGACTTGGAGGATCGAGCAAGCCTCACGGCGGCGGCGGAGCAGCTCGAGCGCGAGTGGGGGAGGCTCGACATCCTAATCAGCAACGCCGGCTACCTGCCGCCCTTCGTGCCGCTACTTGAGGGCAACGAGGCTGACTACTGGTATGCCTGGGAGATCAATATCCGCGGGACGTACTGGACTGCAAAGGCCTTCCTGCCCCTACTGCTGCGCTGCGGCGGCGACAAGACCTTCGTCGCCATCAGCAGCATGGGCGCCCACATCCTCACCCCGGGTGCCAGTTCCTACCAGACGACCAAGTTTGCCATCGTCCGCTTCGCCGAGTTCCTGATGCAGGACTACGGTGACCAGGTGAGTGTGCTTCTGCGTGTGCCGGTCGTATCTTGCTAGGGAGAGGGAGGCCAGAATGAGACTTCGTATGGGAAACCGGAGACGTTAACACATTTTTTCAGGGGCTACTAGCCTACTCGATGCATCCAGCGTCGATGCTCACCGAGCTTGCCAAGAATATACCTTCGAACATGCACCGTGAGTCGAGCATGGATCCCAAGACTTGTGCTCAGGCTGATACGCGGTTCCACAGATCTCCTCAATGATACGCCCGACTTGGTTGGCGATACCTTTGCCTTCTTGGGCAGTAAGAAGAGAGATTGGCTCGCCGGTCGATTCGTCGCTGTATGCTGGGATATGCCTGAGTTGATGGCGAGGGAGAAGGAGATTGTTGAAAAAGACGCGCTTAAGTTTCGCATGGTTATGTAAAGGGGTCGGATCAGGTACTCGGAATTAACCACCTTAGAGTGGCTCCAGCATACGCTATGCTATATATACCCTTGCCATAACCTCATTTCACTGCGGTCCTCAATAGGCTGGGGTCGACGGAAACCTACATAGAAGTTATGCCATTCAGTGTGCGCATTGTTGTCTCGTTAGTGCTCTGATTAACAGAGGTACTGACGTTGCAGTACACGCAACCACAATATGAGGCAACTTTGAGCCACTACCAGGTAGTTACCAGAAGGCGTGAGCTAGAAATTCGTCACGTGAACCTTGACACTGTCTCTAAGATGAGTTGAATGCGAAAAGAGGGTGTTGTAGCCCTGTGGTCATTTCTCGACAGATGCGCAGAGGTACAGGACGAGGATAACGGCGACGAAGAAGAGGAAGATGCCATGGATTTATTTAAGTATAGATAGATACACAAGGTTTGGTACAGTAGTATATAGAACTCCCGAAGCGCGGAGTACAGGCTTAGTATCTGCCAGCGGCACATGGAGAGTATACGCAAGAAATTACGATTGAAAAAAGTATGGCACGAGTTTTTGCATCTGCTATATATACATGGGATAACGGGGGCATCTGGGTGGGGAATGACAGAAGCCGTGTACGGAGAATTGTTTATTATGTGTATCAACATTCGATATGGGAGAACATGTTTATCCCAATACAACCTTGGCATGAACGTTGCAACTCGGGTCTCTGAAGCATTGAGTGTTTTTGGGAAATATCAAGTTATCTATCTGAGGAACTCACGCAGGAAACACCTAGCAAACCTGGCCTCCGTCTGGTCGACAGATCCTGTAAGTACGGTTCGATCCTCTGCAGAGTGAGTGGAGGCTGGATAAGTAACCCGGGACCTCTGAACCTCTTAGGTGTTTCCGACGAGCCGACTATTCGAGAGTACAATAATGTCCCGTACTACTCGTACTGCAACTCTTCTGCCCTCGTCAAGTTCGCAACCCGGGAGCAGCGGGTCAGTGATCCTGCGCATTTTGCAACGTCGCGACGCTAGACACAAGACACTACGCACCCCGGAACCTTTGACGGCGCCCGCGTAAAACCCAGCCCCGTGCAAAACCAGTGGTATGCTACCCGGAAAGCTGCTTGCGAGGAGTTCATTCTGACCCTGATCCCCGTGTAAGGCCAGCCAGCGGTGTACAACTGGAAAACTTTGTAAGGAGTTGTGTTTTCCGGAGGCGCCTCAAAATCAAAAGCGACCCAAAAAGGGGACCAGTCAGAGAACAGACTTCGTCTACTTGACCGTTTTGAGCCATGGGAAAGCCTAAAGCCCTGCTCTTGGGCAAACTGGACCAGTGAGTGTGTGGCCCAGAAGATTCTCCGTTGATTGTTCGAATCTCTTCAGAGCTTGGGCGTCTGCTTCAAGAATATTGTGGTATTTCCCTCTCCGAATCCGGCTCTGACGTTTCCTTCCCTTCACAGCGCGCACGACGCATGGTTCGCGGTATCGGAAGTCGCCGAGCTCACCACCACCCAGGCCACCAACCGAGCTGAATTCCTTGAGGAGTTGGCGAGCGGCAAGCACGATGGCGTGGTGGCCATCTGTGACCGAGCGCCACCCAGCATCGCCCAGACAGGAAAATGGGACGAGGAGCTGCTCGACGCCTTGCCCGAGAGCGTGAGATTCAACGCCCACATGGGCGCCGGCTATGACAGCCTCGACATCCAGGCCTGTACGGCACGGGGCATCTTCGTGTCCAACTGTCCCAAGGTCTTCGACCAAGCCACTGCCGATTGTGCCATGTTTCTGATCCTGGGGACCCTCCGTGGCTTCAACAACGGCATCATGGCCATCCGCAACGGTACCTGGAAAGGGACCGTCCCGCCCCCGCCGCTCGGCCACGATCCGCAGGGCAAGGTCCTGGGCATCCTCGGCTTGGGGAGAATCGGCCTGGACATCAAGAAAAAGGCCGAGGTGTTCGGCATGAAGGTCATCTACCACAACCGAAACAAGCTGGCTGACGACCAGGCCAAAGGAGCCGAGTATGTCAGCTTCGACGATCTGCTCGCCAAAAGTGACGTCCTCAGCTTGAACCTTCCTCTCACCGTAAGTAGGGATCATCGCACCCTCATCAAGTGGATGACTAGTTTTGAGCCTCGTAGTCTAAGACGCGAAACATTATCTCCACCAAAGAGTTTGCCAAGATGAAGGAAGGCATCATTATTGTCAACACCGCCAGAGGAGGCATCATGGATGAAGACGCCCTGGTTGACGCCTTGGATTCGGGACGGGTTCTTTCGGTCGGACTCGACGTGTATCAGCAGGAGCCGAATATCCATCCGGGCTTGGTCGCTAATCCGCATATTTGCTTGCTTCCCCATATGGGCACATCGACGGTCGAGGTAAGTTCTTGCTGATGTCGGGAGACCGTGCGGACGACACGGCTGACAGGTAGAAGACCAAGACAAGGATGGAGGAGTGGACAATCGGCAACGTTCGGTCGGCGCTGGAGACTGGCAGGTTGAAGAGCTCGGTGCCCGAGCAGGTGCATCTGCTGGCGAGCAGTCCGAAAATCTGAGGCAGATACACGCAGGCTGTCCTGCCCAGTCCACCCCGACACGTCAACAAAGCCAGTCACCATCATTTTCCGGCCCAAAGAAATCCATCCTCGACGTGCTGAAATCACCGAAATCCGGCAGGGCCATGTCGAGGAAGTTGAAGGAATTGGGAAAGGACTCTTGGGTTCGAGGAACAATCAGCGTGCCCAGGAGGCTCTGGAGCCCGTACGACGTCCGTCTCGTGTCGTTGAAAATGTCCATACCGGTGGGGCCGTCGGGGTTGTTCTTGGTGTCTAGAATGAGCTGGATAATGTCGGTATATCGCTGTGCACAGGGCCATCGAGTGGCCATCTGTCTCAAGACGTTGAGGAGAGGCTCCAGGTCCGCGGGCATGGACCCGTAAGTAGTCTCGTAGCCGGTAGTCCAGAGAATGATGAGGCTCCTCGCAGCGACCCACACCACAAACGCAAACATCTGATTGAGCTGATCGAGCTCCTGAGGTTGTATAGAGCTTGCCAGTGAAACCACTCCTCAGATAGACTGGCGACAGCGACCGCGCGCTGACGACGATGGACGCAGATAATTCGACGTCGTTGATGGAAATGCCGCTACCGTGTACATTCTGATGTTGATGCTGTGAAAATCACATTGTTAGCGACAAGACGTAAGGAAGAAAGGACGGTCATACAGTTGTGCTGTGGCATGGAGCATGACCCACATGGGGTCGAAGGTGGCTGTTCGCTGCCGGATCTCGCGGGGGCAGGTTTTCAAATCACGTAGACATGGTGATGTCGAGGCGCCGGAAGATGCTCTGCCACTCTTGACAATGAGCAGGCAGCGTCAGATCGAGTGGCTTGATGAGAAGCTGATTGGAACGGTCCATCAAAGCCAGCAAGTCAATGTTGTGGTGCCACAGGGCGGCAGGACAACGGTGGTGTGTGAGTTTCGAATATTCTTTGCATCGATGCCACCGGGCTGGCCGTGCGAGGCACTGGAAAAGCGATCAAGACCGTAGATAATCCAGAACAGACGTCGCTTCGCCTCCACGGCAATGTTGGAAACGCCCGCCCCGTTGTCGTCGTCCTCATTTCTCACTAGTGGCGTGTTGGTCTCCGGTGTGGTCGGCGAAGGACTCTTTGCGAGTCCCAGATGTCGCACAAGCATGGACATGACATTCCATGTTCGTGGACCCGGGCCTTGGCCAAGGGAGTCCAGAGCCAGGAGCGCAAGTGCTTGAGTCGAGACCAGGGTGCACACGTCGATGGTCTTCAGGAGTACCTGCACTAGTGAGGTTTTGATGAAATGGTCTCGCTCTTTGGCCGACGGGGCAGATTTCCTCCAAAAGTGAAAGGTCACTGCTAAGATGCCATGGAGCAAGACCTGACGCTCCGGAGCCAAGATGTTGTCCGTAAAATTGGATTTGCAGAACATGGGCATCCATGGATGGACCAGTTCGAAGAACAGCTCTACAAGCTCCTGCATCACATTTGTCGGCGGTAGACCAGTCTCTGTGTCGTTCAGTTGCGGCATGCCAACTGAGGAGGGCATGCGATCCATGATCGGACTAAGAGCGAAAGAAGGCATGTCTGCCAGCTGCTGAGGCTGCTGCCACATTCCAGGGCCACTATCTGGACCCGCCCATGCCGACGAAGGATTCGCTTCGGCTTCAGGATTCGAGTTCTGCAAGGCTGCGTTGTTGCTGGGAGTGGTGAAGTCTGGTGGGACGCGGCTGAGAATATCTTGGATCGACTGGTTCATCTTTTCCATCGTGGTCTCTAGTTGACTCAAACGTTGTTCGATGGCCTTGCCATACCCAGGACGTAGGCCGGGTTGGCCTTTCTCTCGGTATACGCATGTGCTTCCTGCCGGCCCAAAGGTTAGTTGGCATGTTCCAAGCGTGGAAATACTGTCCTACCCATGCGATGACAGTTGCCACAGTATGGGCGGGCGCTGTCACATCTCGTCTTCTTCTGCTTGCAGGTTTCACACCTGTCCACGCACACGACGACGCCAGGTTACAAATCCGGCATCGACAGGCTCTTGAGGGTCGTTACATACGCTTTTGACATAATCCGAGGGCGTTTGTTGGACGGCAAGCCCATGCCATCGTCAGTCCCGTCTTGGTTCACAGTGGACATTGGGGACATCTCGAGGTCGTCCACTGGACGATAAATCGCAGAGCAATGAGAAGAAGCTCGCGTGTGACCGGCCCGAAAGAAATGGAAAAGGAGGTGGGTTGATGTTGAAAATGATGCCGAGGGATTCCGCACTCACCGGCCGAGTTGCGCTTGATGCCGGCAAGACATTTGGAATGGTGGGTGACGAGAGCAACGGCGACCGTGCTGCAGTGTCAGAGCCTGGTCTACCGGCTCTCGGTTCAGTTTATTGAATAAACTGCGTGGTTCTGTGACAAGCAGAGAACTGTGTAGGTTGCTTGTCCTGCAATGGTCACTAATGGTGCAACCCTGGCCAAGCGATGAAGAGCATAGCGTGGATACTCTACTTAGATCTCGGTCACGACCACCCAGGCAGTCCCTGCAAGCAGCATGTTCCGTCTGCCCAAGCGGTCGGGAAGGAATGGGATGGAAAGGGCGCTGGAGAGGAAAGCACACGTCCCCCAGACCGCGGTCAGTGCAAGGATGGTCTTGCTATCAATGCTGAGGGATTTGTAGAGGGTTGCTATAAATTTGGCCAATAGAGTTGCCTAACCTGCAGATTGAAACAACCAACTTTGGTAGTACTACATTAGGTTTAGGTTTAGCGGGCCTCTTTCTCTGAGTAGTAGAACAAAGCTCACCTGAATCACATTGACACCGGTAATGGCGGTCAGATCTGAACTGAGATGGACCTGGTTGTTTGGTTAACTCTCTCGTAAACACTCCAGCCGCCTGAAGAATTACCTGCACCAAGACACGATGACGGTACCGCTTGAAGTTGCTCGCCCAAGACGGGCTGCGTTGCTCATGCTCAAAGGCGATTTGGGATGTCATCAAGGCAAACTCATGTACCTCGTCGGACTGGAGGTCGCGGCGGACTCGGACGAAAGCTTTGCGGGCCTCCTCAACCTTACCTCTCTGGAGAAGATGCCGTGGTGAGTTCGGCATGAAGGTGATCAGTCCGATGAACATGATGACACCCCAAGGGATTTGCAGGGCAAGAGGAAGGCGCCACTGGAGCTGGCCATAGGGAGCATAATTGCAGGCAAACCCCACCCAGTTGGACACCATGATGCCGCACGACAGATTGAATCCAGAAAGACCGCCAATAAAGCCACGGTGCGTAGGATCACTAATTTCGGACAGATAAACTGGCACTGTGGCCGCCAGGGAACTAATTGGGTAAGATCATGGTAAGTCTCTTGGTCAAGAGTCACAACTCAGCAATCCGGGCGTAGTATGCTCACCCAACCACGATGCCCGTGAGAATCCGCCCAGCAAGCAGCATACCAATATTGACTGCGGCGGTCTGAATTATGCATCCAACGGTCACAATCAGGCAAAGTAACTCCATGTACCGAAGACGGCCCAGCTTATCCGCGATGGCGATCTGTAAGAGCGCGCCGACGGCTTCGCCACCGATATAAATGGCACCAGCCTGGCTCTTGTCAACCATATCCTGCCATAGCACGGTGCGAGGCACATACTGCTCCAACAAGAGCAGGATTGGGATGGTGCATGTAAGCCACCCAACTCGGGTGCGCAATGGCTGTTCGCACCGTCAGTCCTTCTGCGAATCATCAGGGAACTCATTTCTCCTGACTGGTAGTCACAATGCCGGTGTCATAGCCCTGTCGACGACGGTGTGGTCAGCACAACCCAGTGAAGCAACCTTCGCGGAAGTTTGACTAACATATAAAAACGTGCCCAAACTGGCGAAAAGGGCTACACGAGGGGTATTTGTCGGCATTCATGCTGACAGCCCCTCGTTGTCCAAACCGTCTCGAAAACCAACAAGGATGGCTGGAGGTCGAGGACGAAGCGGGAGAGGCAGCTCTAATAGTGTTCTCGAGCGAATCGCTCCCTCCCAGTCGACCTTGTCAAATCCATGGAAGATTACGATTGCGGCCGGCCCGCAAAAGTATGCTTGTGCATATGTGGAGCTTTTTGCGGAACATTCTTGACCCGGACCGCGGGGAAATTCTGGGTTTGTGGAGAGGTTCCGGCCTTGCGGTTTATTGTCACCCCGGCTCAACGTGGCAACTTAGACCCAGCTGAACCCAATGACTTCGGGCCAATGTCTGCCCTTTGCACAGCGTAAAAGAGGAGGACAGAGGCCGAACTAGCTTACTGAGTTTAGTACCAGACTTGTCAAACGGTCTGCGGAGAATATATATGTCGCGAGAATGGGAAGGGGCTGTTCCGTCTACGCGGATAAGCTGATCAGGATCGTCACGGCCTCAGGGTTCAGCGCCATATGGGAGAACCTCTCACGCACACCAGGCAGATTAGGAGGCCATCTTCACCAGATCCCGCTGGCTGAAGTTGACCAAAGGTATCAACACAGTACTGTGAATGAAGAGGAACGGCGGACCTCATGGAGGTTCCGGGCTCCGGGGACATGCTTAGGAAGCAGAGGGTCACCTGAATGGACGTAAAGCGGCGAGCATCGTCGTAAAATTGCTTCTGTCACAATGCTCGTTATGAGACGTCCATAAAGTCAGTGTTCTCTTGGTCTGGTGATATACTATTTGACGGTAAAACAAACATGCCAGACGTCGAGCTTTTGCCGATCCTGACAACTGGGGATGAGCCTTCATCCGATTTAGCCTATGGAGATGGTGCAAGAATGTGTGGATCTCATACCATAGTCCTGCACCTTTCTTCTCAGCAGGCTGGTACGAGCGACGAGGAGCGCAACAGCTAATGGCTTCACGGGGGAACCTCCACATGGGCAACGACAAACGAGTTAACAAGTTCCCATTATGGTACATACGAATGCTGAAGCGCTGAAACCAGGTCATGTCGCTTCTTGAGCACCTTGCCCAACCATATCCGAACAATGCACATGCAAATACCACCGCTATGCCGAAAGGAGAGAAAATTCGTTCATCGAAGTTCACCATCTGCCGCTTCCAGGTTGCGGTAGTTGAGGTCTGGTTGCTTGTACCTGCCTAGCCTTGTCAAACTCTCTAACGATGATGTCGCACCTCACTTCTTTGCACAGTTGCCTTTTTCTACTTGCCGGCAATTTCTCTGCAAACATCAACCCGCTGGCTCTCTCAACCGCTTCAAGGGGCACTTCAAAATCTCGTAGGCTCTTCGAATTAGGAATTTCTGCGTTTGGTAGTACGAATGCCCCCAAGGCAACATTCCCATTAGGACTGTTGGCGGCTTCTTCACCGAAGATGATTTTGTAGAAGTGAGTCGGCACCGCCACGTTTGGAGGATTGCCAATCACTTCGTAAGACACGCGCCATCTCCCATCCTTTTCGTCTCTCTTGGGCAAGTATAACGGTCCGGTTACGACTCTCACACTAGGATATCTCTTTGTCAAGTCCCGACAAAATTCTTCAAAATGCGCCCAATAGTCGCGATTGAAACCCTCGCCAACCTGAGGGCACATATTGCTCAGCACGAACGTAGCATCCATCGCTTGTTGTGACCATTTTGCATCAGCCGCCGGCACCTGATGGCCTCGATCGTAGCCGCTTCGTGCATAGTCGGCCAATTTGGCGCGGAACATGGGAGGGACGGAAAGGTCCTCGTAAAAGACACTATGTCGGCGAGAGCCATTGTTGAGGAGGAGAGACTGTGCTGTGAAGTGTTCTGCTACCCAGTGAGGGTTTCGAGTGAAGCGGTTGAATGCGGAGATATGGGATGGTGTCGAGAGTGTGTCTGCAATAGGTCCTGGAAAGCCATATCGAAGTATCCCAGCTGGATCGACGGGTGAGACAAGAGCAGCTACAGCAGGCTGCGTTGGTGTGATGACTGGCACAGGGTTGGGCACAGCGACTGGTGCTGGTGCCGGCGGAGGGATCGACGGACTGGGCACTGAAGGTGCGGCTCCCGGTGTCGAAGTTGACGTTGGCGTAGGTTGGTTCTTCGACGAGCGTGCGAATATCAAAGCACTGAGCGACGCGCCTGCAGCTGCAGACGACGCAGCGACAATGGCGAGAGTCGTTTTGGACATGCTAGGCACGAATGATCTGAAATCAGAAACGCGTCTAGCATAGGAATTCGGTCTTGATCGCGAACTTTTTTAACTACCAATCGGATGGATTCAATTTGGGGAGTGCAGCGCTGCCCTATTAAGTGCCCACGGTGGGTGCACAGTGGCTATATTAACGAGGCTGCTGGGGAGCCTTGCTTAGATAATATGATGATTTTAAGGTCCTCTCTTGAACTGCATGCAGTTGGCTTCCCAGGCTTCCCTTCCAAGTGCCTGCCGCGTTTGCACCTGATGACATGCACCGTCTACATCCGCCACTCTACAACTTTCCCGTAACCTTACACTCCTCCTAAGAACCTGAACTAGACTTAAGCATCGTCTCCTTGGGTATACATACGCGACGAATACTTCCTACACAAAGTTTAAACTGTACTCTTTAAATCTTGTGGGGTTGTCCTGCCACTAATCAAAGGATCCGAGAAGCGCTCACCATGGTCCTCGACAATGATACTCGAGGATGGATCATGACATGTATCAGCGGCGTTGGTATAGTTTGCGGCTTTCCCGGAGGTGGAAGATTTCTAACCTTTTATAGCCTGCATACTCGGAGCATCAGTAATATGCGTCGACATCATCCTACGACGATTACCAGGCTGGCATGACTTCTCTATTGCACAAAGTGACAAGTTCTTGTCGGCATCGCTAAGTCTAAGTTTTGGCGTCATGGTACGCTACGTATACGCGCAGACGCCCGAACGCAGCTGACTTGGTGTAGTTGTTTTCCTCCCTTTATTCTATGCTCCCGCAGTCAAAGATCTACCTGAAGGACGCCGGTTACTCACCGAGAGCCGCCTCGTACTTGTTGATCGGGCTGTTCCTGGCCGGCGTCATCGGCATCCGAGCGCTATCTCGAATCATACATCGCCTTATACCGTCTCATGTGGTCGACTGCGATCACACCCATGATGAGGAAGAGAGCTTTGGGAAAGACCGCGAAGAGATGGCAGAACATACACACCCCGATGAACATGTAAACGGACCCTTCGTCTCGAAAGGTCGTGTGGAGGTCGAGGACGATGAGGATACTCCGCTTCTCTCGCGGTCAGCTAGCTTCAGCCCGAGGAAAGATCAGCATGAAAGACGGGAGGAGTCGGACGATGCGAGTCGTAAACAGTCGTTCGCCACTGCACCGAGCAGTCGAAGGCCTTCAATCATGCCTAAGACGCTGACCAGGACCTTATCAAGATACGTGTCCGGTCGGAAGGACAACTGCGACGAGACAGGCCCCTGTATGGGCTATTCCGACCCCTGCGGCCAGGACTGCTTCAAGGTCGTCAACAGGCGGGGCTCGATCTTGCCAGGCCACGGACCCTTTGCTCGAGCACCGACGTGGCGCGGCATGGCCAACGAACTTCGAGTCGCACCATTAGAAGAAGTGAACGAGAGCCCTTCCCCCAATGGATCGGCCGTGCCTCATCACACCTCACAGGATCGGAAGCCACATCTTATCCGTTCGAAGTCGTCGACTCATCACTTTCACCATCCTGAAAACGAGCACTCCGAAGATGTCCCTCGTCGACCTTCTCATCATTCCCACCATTCCCACTCCGTCAGCCAAGAGCACCACCACCATGTTCCAACCAATGCTTTCTTGTCCATAGGCCTGCAGACCTCCCTGGCCATCGCCTTGCACAAGGCTCCTGAAGGCTTTATCACGTATGCGACGAATCATGCAAACCCTCAGTTAGGCTTCGCTGTGTTTATGGCCCTCTTCATCCACAATATCACCGAAGGTTATGCACTGTCTTTACCGCTTTACCTTGCTCTCGGTTCTAGAGTCAAAGCGATCATATGGTCGTCTTTCCTTGGAGGGGCGTCTCAGCCTTTAGGAGCTGGGATCGCAGCACTATGGTTTAAATTGGCCAACAGAACCAGTATGGGAGCACCTACTGAAGGAGTTTATGGTGCAATGTTTGCGCTCACCGCAGGGGTTATGACCAGTGTGGCTTTGTCCTTGTTTTCCGAGAGCCTCTCACTGTCTCACAACAAGGGCACTTGCATTTCCTTTGCATTTTTGGGGATGGGAATTTTAGGCCTCAGCTTTGCACTAACAGCCAGCTAGCCTTTGTATATTTTATGCATCGACAGAAGCATCCCTCATGGGAGGTATAAAAGCGAAGTGGGTATTGTTACGACGATGAAATGAGAGATGAATTCTGCTGCGTCGTAAAGCCTTCTACCGCACTGTTTGTTCTCTTCGCTGTCCCTGCGACTCCCTGACGGACAGTCACGTGCTTGTATGTCATTCATGGTCATTTCAAATACGCTCTTCGGCGCCGCAGTTCGTACCCTTTGAAACCGAAGTGATGGATCAAATGCTTTTCTGTCGCGTTGGATATTTCTTACCTTTTCCTACACGCAAACAACCATGGGTCAAGTCTGTCTCTTGGACTCTGACCGTCTGTCCACGCTCCTTCAAGATGCGCTGTCCTGGAGTGACCACGTCTCTTCGCTCATGGTGTCCGCTGTGAACGGGTCGATTCTTGCCTACGCTTACCGAGATACCACCCCTTCAATCAAAGATATGCGTACTCAATCGACAACCATGACGGCTGCCTACACGGTAGCATCTGAGGACATACTTGTCTTTGCAGCACAAAACATGGGTGCGATCTCCGTCATCACACGCATTGCGGATCATGTTCTTCTGGCTGTGACCGGACCAGAACCCAAGATAAGGAAGGCGCTGCAAAATGGGAATTCTGAAGAGCCGGTGGAAATTGCCGGCAATGGAAATGCTGGACAAGAACAAGAGGAGGAGCACGGCCATGACGAGGAACAGCATCAGCAGATACGAACAGACCTCGAAATTGTCAGCCAGGAACTTGCTGGTGTGCTTAAGGGAGAGCTGGCAAGACTCAAGTGGCCTGAAGACATATAAATCCAAGACCCCGGACGCAAGCATCTCTTCGCAAATCGGCTTGATACGTTGGAGGTACAAACTACAGAAGCCGAAAGTTTGGCATGCTTTTTGACTCTTCTTGTGCCTTAGGTCTGTCGAGAACGCTACCTGATGCTTGATACTTCCAACTATCAGGGCCTGATAGCAGCTGCCCGACGTGCGCAGAGGACGGCAAAGGACGGCAAAGAAATATCCGTGTCGACCAGGGGACAACTACAAAAGCACTGGGAGCTGGCTCGTTGGCCAACATTTCCGGTTCAATTGCGGATGAAGCGGCCATCCCCGCAGTCGTATGTCACCGTTGCGACCCACCGCAGCCCCCCAGGAACCAGGAATGAATGCGCCGCTAGAAGTCGGAGGCGCACCCGTTCATTTCCAAGCATCACCCACAAGCAGTCGACTCGGAAACTCCATCATCGTCGCACATTACCGCAACGCCCAGCTGCAGCCTGCCAGCCTCGTTCTCCCATCTCGAGTGCTTTGTTTCTCCTGCGACTGGCCGCAGCATTTGCGGCAGGATCACCGTAAATCGGCGACAATGTTGTACGTCGGAAACACCTCCCCTCGTCGATCCCCTTCCACTGATGTCTTGGTTACAGTGCCATTCCCCCTCCACCTAGATATCCTACGAATAGCAATTTAATAGCGACTACTCTTGAGACTGCAAATACTCTCACGTTCCGCGAAGGATCGGAATATACATTTCAAGCCGGCGAAGGTTGCTATTGTCTTCAGCCTATAAACTCCATCTTCGTGCTAATTCCGGTCCAGGTCGATATATCTTGCGAGATGATCTGCAACTGGCCACTCCTCCTCCACATCCTTCAGAGGCTCCTGTCGTGAATCCAAATCCCCTAAGCACAAGCCTCAATCCACCAACAAGCGGCGTCAAACTCTCCCTCGTTTCCCTAAACCCGAAGCAGATCAACACAGACCTGTATAAGACCACCACCGCTACGAGCAGTTTGCTACGGTGGAGATCTCTTGGGCTGAACAACTCAAAGGAGCCAAAGGAATCCAAGGAACAGAAGGAGGCTAGAGAGGTCAAAGAGGCGGAGAAAGAACCAAGGTTATCTATCGAGACCACAAGCGATACGAGTAATCCCGCAGCGTCTGCCAATGGCAGCAACAAATCGAGTGTGAAGGTCTTTGGAGAGGGAAATGCTGCTCTGTCTCCGGTAATCAGTAGGGGCGACAACCTGAAGCGACGAAAACCAAAGAACAACATCGTCAAGAGCAATTCGTCCTTCGTCTCTCGGGTCATCCCACACGAGTCGCTTGCGAAGAAGTTAGTGGAACGAGACCAAGGCGGAACTTTTTGCTTTGCAAACATCAATCGAGCATTTCAATGGCTGGATCTGTCCTCGAGCACGAAGCAGGACCCGATGACCAAGATTCTCTTCACCAAGGCACACATGTTATGCCACGATGTTAACGCAATGACAAAGCACTCGACCCATATGGACGTCATTATGGGATCTTCAGCGAGTGATATTATTTGGTATGAGCCAATGTCTCAAAAATACGCACGCATCAATAAGAACGGGATCATCAATAATTCCGCTGTTGCCAAAATCAAATGGATACCTGGATCCGAAAACCATTTTCTTGCAGCGCATATGGACGGTATGCTCGTCGTTTATGATAAAGAAAAGGAAGATGCACCTTTCGTGTCGGAAGAGTTGGTGGACGAGGGCATCAGCATTGAAGATGAGGACCAGTCTACGCTCGCCATCACCAAGAGCGTGAACTCTTCCAACCAGAGAACGAACCCAGTTGCCTGCTGGAGGATCTCGAATCAGGCCATCACCGACTTTGCCTTTTCGCCGGACAGCAAGCACCTCGCTGTAGTGGGAGACGATGGCTACCTCCGCATAATTGACTATCTACAGGAAAGGTGCGCAATAGATCCAGCCGAAGATATATCCTCTGACTGACTTCTATCAGGCTCACTGATCTATATTCATCCTATTACGGCGGCTTCACATGTGTCTGCTGGTCGCCTGACGGCAAATATGTGCTCACTGGCGGTCAAGATGACCTTGTGACGATCTGGTCGCTAGCTGAGCGACAAATTATCGCACGATGCCCCGGTCATGACTCTTGGGTGACTGCCGTGGCCTTTGATCCGTGGCGGTGTGATGAAAGAACCTATCGTTTTGGTAGTGTAGGGGACGATTGCAAGCTCCTGCTATGGGATTTCAGCGTCGGGATGCTTCATCGACCGAAAGGGGTAAGTCGAAGTGCCATAACTTGCAGGTACTCGGAAGAGCATGGTGGTGCTGACACTGGACCTTAGGCCACTGCAAGACCGAGAGGAAGCATCTCGGCGCAGTCGGTATCATTGCTTCGACAACGAACGGAGAGCACAAGCATGGTCAATCGGGTTAGATCTGATTCCAACCGGACCGGGAGTTTCAAAGAAGACATCGTCGATGAATCAGAATTCCTCAACCATGCTGTCGAACCGAGAGCACGAACTGCGCAACTACCTCCTGTCATGGTATGTTGGTCGAGGTGCGAGTGGTGGAGTCCACATGCTGACATGGTCCACAGTCCAAGAAGATCGATGAACATCCATTGAGTGGACTAGCATTCGAACAGGATTGTATCATTACTTCTTGTCTAGAAGGTGTGTACCCACTGCCATGTGATAGTACCTCAGCGCCGTCGAACCGCCAACATGTGGAATCGAAGCTGACCATATATGTAGGGCACGTGCGAACATGGGACCGACCTCGAGAAAACGTCAACGGCAGTCAAATTGACCTATCCGGGAAGGGCAGAATATGAGAGGCATGTGCTCCCAGTGTAGTGCCAGCCGACTCTTATCTCGGGTGGACACCGCAGCCTCACCTGGCTCTGTCATTTCTGTCTGCGAGGATTTGGCCGTAGCTTATCCGAATTGCGAGATAGGCTCAGGCCTAAGAAGATAGACTTGTGAAGCGTTTCCAGCCACGCTTTGCTAGCCGACGAGGGTGCGGCTGCCACAGCTGCAATTTTTGATTGCGCATTCAACGCCATCGGTTCGAATCCCGGCGGATGATAGCTTGCAGCGAATGGCAGGCTTGCGGCTGGACAGTGTAGCCACGACTAAGATATCCAGGGAAACAAGTGCGGGTCTACGTAGACTAAAACAAAACGTCCTGGCCAAAGACTATGACGACGACAGAAAAAAAAAAAGGACGGCAGTGCTTACAAGAGCGAGAACGATATAGCCCCGAAGAAGGTGTAGTAGCATAGCAGGAGTCCTTTCGCGAAAGGCCTCTGAGATCTGGGCTCACACCTGGCTACATACACAGTGGCCTAGGAGGAATACAGGCAACAAAATGGCCTGCGCGAAGCTCAGATGGCCCTTTAAGAACATATGGTCAACTTCAAGCCTACGTTAGTACCCGCATTCGATGTCATCATAGAAGCTAGGCGGCAGCAAACGCGAGCCAGACAAAAGGGCTTGTTGTGCGGACGCTTCCGTTACACCAGGCACACCAGGGGATCTGTTGAGATCTTGAACGCCGTCGGGCTCTCCCCGGCAATTGAAAGACACAGGCCACTGGCTGGACACACGGTGCGGTCGGCAAAATAAGTCGGATTATCCTTTTCAATGGAAAATGAGGGACTCTCCAACGCCGCAGCGGATGTCTCGGCTCAACGGTGCCATCAATCCGAGTACTACTTCGTACTGTACCTAATGGTCGCCCCCAGGGTCACGAGAGCTGAGCGTTTAGTGCGAGGAAGGGTAGGATAGGGGGACCACATCTGTGCAAGCTGCCAAACACCGCACGGGAATTCTGGATCTGGGTTTAGACGAAGCCAATGGAACGTCACTGGAAAGAAATAAGAAACTGCAGCAGTAAGAAGTACGGGGCGGATACAGAGGTAAAGTTACAAGGGGAGGTGGGATGGTGTCATCTCAGCAGCTGGGGAGCGACGTGGGTGGTGATGAGTTGCTCTGATTCTGACTGTGCGTCCAGTCAAGATGAGGAGAGGCTTTGTAAGGCGCATGTAAGGAAGGACACGATGCCCACGGACGCCGTATCGGGAGGTCAGCTTGGGGGATGATGGGGGCAGGGGAAAGGGGATATTCAGGCCCCGAAACAAATGCACATCCGAAGGGGGGAAAATGGATGTGCGTCAAGGGCAGCAAACAAGTACATAATTAGTCGACGAGTGCCATCTCGATGTGAGACGAGAGTTGCTACTGCATCGACAACGAGGTGCACCCTCGTCATCATCTCCAGGAGGATACCTTATTACCTAGGTATCAAAGATTGCATAAGAGTATGAGAATCACCTCCTTATCTTTGTCAGATGCTTGTTTGCCCGTCTCTTCGCCGTCACGCCGTCACGCCGTCCACAATTCCACCTGCAGCAGTCTCGACCAGGTACCTGGGGCCTGGGTACCTCAAGTGAGCACATGCGACTCCATTGACTTGCAGACTTCACACGGCGAGGCCTCTCTATGGTCGACTTGTACAGTGACAGCAGCAGTCAGTAGTCCTACACAGTACAGCCCATGCGCTCGATCCTCGGGGAAGGGAGGCAATTCGATCGGAAAATCTCGCGGCGAGAGAAGGGGTACCCAGGGCGAAGTACCTAGGAGTACTGTAGGAGCCTAGGTGTTCTAGCCGCAGAGACCAAAGGGGAAGGGAAAAGGCAATAAAGGCGTTCAATAACTATGACGCTCGGGTCACGAAGATCGGCGGGCACCAGAGCGATATTGAGAGAACTGCCCGCACCCGTCCTCGGACCATTGGCACAGGCACCATCGAAAGCAACGGCAAAGATCAGAAACCGAGTCAAGTCGAGCAGCAGGACAAGAGCGTTGGTGCAAGTGGAAGAGGGTCATTCAGATCAGTCGAACTCGTGGCAGAATCATCCGCATCATCAGGTGTTGCGTCAGGCGAGGGACAGAAGAAGCAGCAGCGTGGGCACGGCAATCGCAGGTACACAGCGAGAGCGAGGACAGTCCCCGGCCCATCGATTACCGAGCGAAGAGGGTGAAGAAGCCGAAGAAGAACAAGCAGAGACGCAAGCAACAGGCCACGCTCTGGGTGCCGCCCCCGAAGAAGAGAGGCATCCGAGCGCAACCCCAACGGGCACTGCAACACGTTCCGTTCGTGCAAGGTCCAGCAGCCAGGTCTCTTTAGCTGCGCCATCATCTTCATCTTCCTCCCTAGCAGGACGATTGACAGCGGTGGATCCTGGGCTGATAACGGTATGTCCTCAGGCCCATCATGGCCCCATTTCATTCGCAACTGCTCGTCTGCCCTGTATCCGCCCCGAAATCTCAGGCACCATTCACCACCTTCCTGCACTGAGCTTATCCTTCCTAATCTCTAGCAAATCCATCCATCCATGTCATGGTCCTTTTTTTCCCTTGTCGCAATCACTGTATCAATCAATCCACACGCCGACAGAAAATTCCTCACTGTATCATTTGCCATTTTGTCATATGCTTCTGACTTTACACACGTTCCTTTTGCCCCTTCGTCACTCTCTTCTAATGCTATCTTGTTCCACATCAGCAGCAGCAACAATCTAGGTCTTTCCGTGGCCGACATCGCAGGCATTCACCTGAATGCTCCTCCGCCCACCATGAGCCTATCGTGCGTCCGGCATTGAACAACAATCCCACCAATTCTTCCTCGAGTACACCGGCCGATCGTCATTTGGTCGGTGGTCCTCCTTCCAAGTCATCCGCCATGGCCCTCAAGTTCCTGAGTTCTCACACTTCGCACTCGGGCACCAGCAGCAGCGTCAAATACTTCGACGTTCGGCTCGACAATGATTATATCGTCTTCCGAGGCAGCGAGGACGAGGCTGCAAGTGCGCAGCTGTCCGGCAATGTCGTTCTGTGTCTCACAGAACCCATGACCGTCTCCCATGTCAATTTGACTTTGAGTGGCATCCTTCATATGTCGTAGGTCACCCTCACGCCTCGCGGCTTTCCCGGAGTGGCTTCCACTCTACTCACGCGAGCAAGGCGAACTAATTGCTGATCAGATGGCAAACCACTAGCACCTCCTCCATGTCTGGCCGACGTACGGCCTACAAGGAAAAAACATTCTTCGAGAAGACCTGGTCGTTCCGAGACCCCGGCAAAGGCAAAACCGAAATCCTACCTCCTAACAACTACGAATGGCCATTCTCTTGCATCCTCGAAGGCGCACTGCCGGAAAGCGTGGAAGGCATGAAAGACGCATGGATCATATACCGCCTCAAGGCAGAAATCAGTCGCAAGAGAGGCAGAGATATTGTCGTACGGAAACCCTTACGGATTGTCAGGACACTCGATGCCAACGCGCTTGAATTGGCTCATGCTATGGTACCGAACTCCCGTCACCCGACTTTTCTTCCGTTTCTTTACTGATCCACGAACAGAGCGTTGAAAACATCTGGCCGAATAAAATCGAATATTCCATCAATATACCCAATAAAGCTGTCGCCTTCGGCTCATTCGTTCAAGTTGACTTCAAATTGATCTCCCTCCTCAAAGGCTTGGTTATTGGAAACATCTCCACACAAGTTAGAGAAGAGCACGAACTGGTTGTCGACCCAGAATGGGGAATCTCTGCCCTAAACAATGGTATCACAAAAGTGGACAGGACAATCGTCTCAGACGTTTACAAAGTCGATCCTGAGGACGAACAGGTCATCGACGAAGTTGCTGAAGGATACCAATTTTCTCGATACTTGGAACTCCCAAAGTCACTCAATCACTGCTTGCAGGATTGCAACGTCAAGGGCATCAAAGTCCGGCACAAGGTCAAATTCAATGTTCAGTTGCACAATCCTGATGGCCACATCTCCGAGCTCCGAGCGAATCTTCCCGTCTCCTTCTACATCTCACCCAGTCTCCCTATCAACGAAAACAACGACCTTGTCGATCAATCGCCTCAGGCCTCTCGAGCGGCTATTGCAAACGATCTGGCCAACTCGGCACCTCCGGTATACGGGCGACACACCCTTGACGCGTTGTACTCGGATGTCGACGGCTACCGAACCCCAGGAATGGCCTTGTCTGGTCCAGGTACACCCTATTTGCACAGCCGGCATGCATCATCAGAAAATCTTGCCAGTCTCGCTGGTGTTGCCAACGGTACCTATGTATCGCCTATCGCACTCGAGAATAGGCTACAAGATCTGCGGGCGGGTCATCCAAATGACGAAGAGAATGATCTTGGTGGAGGTAGTGGGCGTTCGAGGGGAAATTCAAGCGCTCCACAACCCTCCGACGATTATTTCCTGGGACAATCGACGACTCCGAATACGCATCCACGACTAAGTCCTCACGAACCAGGGTCCCAGTCTAGTGCTTATCCCGGGATATCCAGTCAGCCAGAGAGCAACATGATTTCACGGAGGACGTCTGAGGAAGATGACGGACTCGCGTCTGGCTCTCGGACACCATTTCCTCAGTATGATCACATGGAAGATTTGGCGAGAGTGCCTTCCTACGCTACAGCTGTCAAGGCTCCGGCACCAAGAACTCCATATGAAGACTCGACATGCCTTCCGACCTATGGTGCTGTAGTACGCGAGCCCAGTCCTCCGGCATTGACCGAGCCTCCGACGGCATATATTCGCACTTCTCCCCGAGTGCCTGGCAGCCTGGCTTCAAGTCCGCCAGATCTGGCCGTAAACGGCTCTCGACCACACGTTCCACATAGAAACGTGAGCTCGATTCAGGACGAAGAACGGAGACTCAGGCTTCTACAATTGAGAGGTCGATGATAAGCATGAATTTTTGGTTTCGGTTGACAGCAACGACACGCTCTGAATGCATTTTCTGGGATTAGCACTGTAATACGATACCTGGCTGCAAGTATAGCACGAAAGATTGCATCGCTCATGATGGGACAATCGGAACATCCTCGAGGAAATCACCACTGTACGGCGTTTTAGGTCATATATGGACTGGATCAGGTTGATTGGAAACCATGAGCATTTGGTGTTTTAAGAACGATATGAGACATGTGAAAACGCGGAACCACTTCTTTTCATGTTCGAATGGACGCATTTTTGAGGACCCATGTTGGGGCAAGGCACTGCAAGGGTTTATCATCGAGGTTCCCGGAACCAGACACGGGAGAGGGTGGCTGGTATTTATTTGGCACTTCAGAACCCCAGGTACAGAACTGGTGACAATGATGACACTGAAGATATAATCTATGAGATTTCCGCTCTGTTTCTAACAGAGATGGAGGTTGAAATGAGACAAAAAGGTTAAACTCTCCAAGCTTGAGTTCGATGCTATATCATGTTCCTCCCAGGGTGAGAGACATCCATATCCATATCCAGATGGCGATGACTCCGACGCTATATGGTGCTATGCTATGATCTTGAACCGACCTTATAGCGTAAGTGGATTACTGCACCGGTCTGCGTACGATGCCAACCGGACTCGTTGAACGTGGCTCTTCCCGCCTGGGGAACGCATTGGTTTCCGCGTGCTCGGCTCATACATGCCCAAGCGTATTCGAGGCCAAGACGAAGGCCTGCTGGAGTCAAAGGGAGGAAGTGCAGTGGTTGACGTGCTCGTTGGCTGGAAATGCGCCTATTGCTCTTGCGCCAGAGTCTATGATGACGTCTTCTGGTTGTCTCCGCGTCGAATTTTCTGTTCTGGAAATGATACATCTCGCGAGCGTTGCACCAGGTCCGATAGTATATTCTCCAGAGACTGTGGCCAAGCCTTTTCAATGAGATTCCCCCCAAGGGTTGCCAGTCGTCTGCGTTCGTGAGTTGGCGGCTGGATCACCTCGACGCGGCAAATGGACCAACGGACACGAATCTCGGCACTTGCATGCCCTGAGGAAGGGATGGTCCTATCCTACTCCATGCAGCGTTTCTTATTTTGGGGTTCAACTGAGGTGTCTTCGAAAACCGAACAATCGCATCGAGGATACTACCAATAGCAAGTTTTCTCGGCCAACAGGTTCCTGAAATCCTCGCCCATGGCATCAATGACGATCTTCAACTGTTTCTGCCTCTCGCGTGCCTCGTGCGTCGAACTCTTTCTCTTGGTAGGACCCTGGTCGACGCGGATTCTCTCGCCTTTGGCCTCTTCCTGGCCGAAATTCACGAGTCTGGAGCCGTCGACATCGGTGGCGCTCGACTGGACGACCTCAGGACTACTGGCTGCCTTGGGCGGACCGGATTGCGTAAGAGGAGTGATCGGGGTCGCATCGAGCAGTGCTTGCCAGCGCGCGAGGAACGAGCCTGGACCCGGCGAGGAGGAGACTTCGGGTGTCGGGGAGTCCTTGATTTCTTTGCTCGTGTCGGAGGGATCGGGTGGAGGGACGCTGTGAGTCCGCTCGACAGGCGATCCGGGACCCGGACTGGCGGGGCGTGACGGCGGTCGACTTGCGGAGCCGGAGAAGATCTTTGCGATGGCTGGGGTCTTGGACGGTGGGGATCTGAGGACGTTCTGTAGACGGGCCGAGGATTGGGCGTGCATTTTGTCCAGGAACGAGGAGTGCGAATCCAAAATTGGGATGATCTGGGACTGTCTGTCCTCCGGGAGGGATTTGAACATGTCGTGCAGGTGTGGAGTAAGGCTGCCCGCTCCTTTCTCTTGGAACTCGGCGCTGCTAGGGTCGAAGTCGGTGTCGGGCTCCCGTTTGAAATGTGAAGCTGCTTCTTTCGCCCACTCGAGGTACCAGCCCGTCAGTTCCTTGTCGTTCTTGCAGCATTGGTGCATGAAGACGTGACATGAACGTTGGTGTTTCCGGAGAAGCTGGACGAAGTCGCCGACGGTAGGTATGATTGATTTGCCGGACTTGTCGGTCTGGATTCTGGCTAGCTTGATCAGGTCTCTCAGGAAGTATTCGAAATCTGTTACCGTGCCGGACAGATCGACGGCCTTGTGCATTCGTCGGATGACGGGCTCGTAGGCGTCGACCACTTCTCTTACAGATGTGGTAAGATGGTCCGGGGAGGATTTGCAGAGGACCTGAATCAGCTGTTTTCGGTCACGGATCGATAGCTGGATGGATAGGTAGTCCAGAGCTTGTGTGTGGTGGAAGTCGGTAAGTTCGGTCGATGAGCATTTGCTGTCCTTCAGGATGGCTGCGACTATTGAGATGGATTGTGTCAGACTTTCTTTGCGGATCCGATCCTGTTCGTGTTGAGGTTTTGTTGTATATTCCTTGAGAATGCGTAATTGCTCTTTGCCGAGTTTGGCACGTTCTCGCTCAAGCTTTGATGCTCGAGATTCCAGGTCTTTGATGTCCCAGTTGAGGACGGTGGAGATGATACTGTAACGGTGAGCCACGTTTTGTTCAAGGATTGTCAAAAGGGTGCCTCACGTCTGCATGAGATTCATGCCTTCGTCTGAATTTTGGGTCAGGCCAATCCAATTGGTGACGCTGGCAACACTCATCTTGGCCAATCCGACCTTGACCATGGCATTGATCATGGTTGCCACGTTCCCGATCCTGACGGTTTGTTTGATGACGAGATAAGGGACCAGCTTGTTGGCGTTGTCGACCAACTTCAGCAAGTACTGCCCTTTTGGTGACAATATGAGGGTATAATGCATAAGTGAAGCAAGACTAGTGGTCAGGTCAGCATGGCAATTAGGGCCCCAGGGACATGTCTGCGAAAACGGCTGACAAGATTGCTCACTTAACAAGCACAAATTCATGTACAGCTTTGGTGAGAGGAGGGTGATCTTCCAATCTGTCTGTCTGGGCTGTCTTGTTGACCATTTCTTCGAGGACGTTGTCGTAGACGGCATTGTTCACGAAATCGCGAAACGCGCGGGAGAGATCTTCGGCATTGGAAGTATCGTAGTCTGCATGTTGGCTGTTCTTCTCTGGCAAGCCGCCATAGGTTCCTCGGACAGGGTACTCGACCAAGGCGGATATGGCAGTGGCAACGGTCTTCCGACTTCCAATGACGCCTTTGTCGTAACTCTCACTAAGATTGGCATGCTCGAGGTTCTCGATGATATTGTGGCATTGGACTTTCCACCATTTCTCGGGCAGATTGTTCAGCCCTGGCAGGTTCAAAAGGAACCTGGAGACTAGGGTTTGCAGAGCGGGAGAAGTGGATGGCTTCTGGTCCTCGTAATGAAAGGGTGGGCCATATTGAGCAAGGCTGCCTGGTTTTCTGAAGTCTCGGATTTCGGCATACGTGTTGTAGTGAGTGAGTATATCAAACAGAGCAGCAGTCCGCGTCGTCGACAACACTTCTTCACTCATCTTGCCAGTGATGTGGTGGTTGTGAAATGATTGCCGAGGTGAATGGATGAAATGATACCCGATACTGTACTCCGTAAATGATGAATATATGTCCTGGTCGGCAATGACGTCGTCGCCGTCGACTTCGTCAATGACCCAGATCACAGATCAACCCTTGCCACGTTTGGCAAGTGTGCCTCTTACCCCGTATGGTTAAAGCGGCAAGCATCGATCTAAAAGACTTGGCGTTGTAGCTTAACTCAAATGCGCTACTCGTGCCTATTCCTGCTTGCCACTTTGTCCCCCACTGTCCCCTCACCAACAGCATTACTACCGACCTATGTACGAGTTGAGACAACACCCATCATGTCGACACAGTCGGCGACCAGCTCCAAGCACAAAGCTTGCGATGTATGCAGGAGACGGAAAATCCGCTGCTCAGGAGACCATCCTTGTTATCAGTGCCAGCAAGGCGGCTCAGTTTGCGCTTACACATCATCGCACGGGAGGCTGATTGAGCTGGAAAGGTGGGTCATTGCACATGTCCAAAAAGTCAAGCCGAAGCTCGTTGTGGTGCGCCATCTCCTCTGATCAGATATCCATCTAGGAAATTCAAATGGTATCAAAAGCGCGTTGGTTCCATGGAAGCTGCATGGAAACGCTTCTGTCCAAACATCGACCTAACGCTGGCGCTCCATTCAGTCGAGACACAAACCCACGGTACGGCCCAGATCGATCCAAATGACCCAACGACCCGGCCAAAGAATCAAGCTCCGATGGAGGGCCCTCGTGACAATTCGGCAAGTCTGACTTCCGGAATCGATGGCTCCAACTCGGGCCTTGAAGTCCCAGTGGAACTCGACGTGCAAAGGGCTGAGTCACTGGAGTGGGACGAATCATCCGGCCTTGCTGTCACTGCCGATGGTATAGGTTCACTCTCGCTCAACCACAGGGGAACCGGATACATGGGCCCTCAGTCCGGAAACGCCCTCTTGAGGACACTGCAAGCCAGCTCCATTCTCCTGAGGACGACGAACACGCAACCGTCGCAACCGTCACCAGAGCCAGACATCTCCGAACACATCATCCAATCGCCGGCGTTCTGCAACCAATGCCTAGATTACTACTTCAAGTATTACAACACCGCATACCCCATCTTGCACGAGGCATATTTTCGAGCCCAGTATTCAGGTTACGAAGCTCCTCCCTTCTCCCCATGAAGGGCTTTGGTACTGATATTTCGGGTAGGAGTCTTGCCGAAACCCAAGGATGGCTCGTGGCGCATACTCTTGAATACTGCCTTGGCACTTGGAGCATATTCGAGCGAGATTAGCATTCAAAATGCCGACATCTACTTTTGTCAAGAAGCTCTTCGGCACTTGTCCGCGGACATCCTGCAACGGGGAAGTCTGCCACTTGTGCAAGCCTTGACTCTGCTTGCGAACTATTTGCAGAAACGCAACAAACCGAACAGCGGGTTCATTCTGCTAGGTGTAGCGATGAACATGGCTCAGGCAATCGGGCTTCATCGCGAATTTTCGGACTCCTCCATCGGTCCATTCACAATGGAAATTCGTCGGCGGGTCTGGTGGACGCTGTTCGTTTTCGATTCTGGTTCAAGGCTGACCTTTGGCCGACCAACACTCGACCTGGCGGGTATCAATATCCGTCTACCGCGGAATCTCAATGATCAAGACTTGTCAGTAGATCTCGACGAGCTGCCAGCTGCCAAAGACGTTCCAACCGTAACATCTAGCCTCATCTGGCAAACAAAACTAGCGCAACTCAGCAACATTACGAATGAGAAACTACTTCAGTCTCGGCTGCCAGAGTTGTCGACCATAAATGACCTGGAGGAAAGGATCCTGCTGTGGCAAAAGAACCTCCCTCCTTACATGCGGGCCGAATTCTCCGCGTCAGGGTTTGAGATGTTCACCGCTCCACGGATGATACTGCTATGGCGGTCGATGCACCTTCGCATTGTTATGTATCGTCCATTCCTATTGGAGGTAATCAAACGGAGAGACCCAATCGACATGAGCAATTTATGTGCGGGTTACAGTAGGTGTCTTGGTGCAGCCCGCGAATGTGTTATGTCCATTGTCAACTTCTGGAACAGTACCACAGCTCGCCATGGTTCTCTCGTATGGTACGCTTTCTACTGGTTAGTCACGGCGACTTTCGTACCAGTCACCTGTCTATTGTACGACCCTCAACACTGGGAGGCGCCAGACTGGCGACGACTCATTGAGATGGCTCAAGGAGTGATCGATAGCTTCGGAGCTCTCGAGCCAACTGCTTTGCGCGCAGCACACATCATCAATGACATAGTTGGTGAGCTTTCGAATACAACCCTCTCTTGGTGTCAACAGGGTTCTAAAAACCGGCAATGCTGGTTGATTTTCAGCCTGCTGACTTTCGGGTTTCTAGGTCTTGTCCCTACCACCCCTGATTCGTCGACTTTCGCAATGAACGAACCCATCAGAATGGAGTTTGCAGAATTGTGGAATCAGTCGTGGCCCGACATTGTTATACCTGAAGCTCCTTCGACATTTGATGGGCTGATCTAACATCAACTGCTACATCACCGGTTTCGTAACATCACGAGCGGTTCAGATTTTTCTGCAAAGCGCCGATGTACTGAGCCCAGGTCATCGCCTTGAGTTGGCCCAGGTGAAGCAGTCAAGATTTGTGCCATAAGACATCTTGGCAGCCGTCGTCACAGACTGGAGTGGTTGCTATAAGGGCATTCAGGTCAACGGCCTCCCAGAGAGCATATCCATGTCTTCAGACTGGGTTATCGTCAGAATTGACAACGTGAGTCGAGCCTCCAGGGGAAATCTAGTCGAAGGTGGCCATCTGGGAGTCTTCACCGCGTCCAGACTTATGTGATGCCGCCAACTTTGCACGAACGGAATGGAGTTAGCATAATTACGTCGCGAAAAGAGCTTAGGTGATGAGGACAAAAGGGGTGCTGCTGATACTCACATACATCACATCCTGTGCGCTCGCCTGCATTTTAGTGCACTCGAGGGTAAGCTTCGCCTCTTTCCTCGGCCCGAGGATGACTGGTTTCGCAAAGTCCTTTGGAGCTGCCTTCGGATCAACCTGGCGAGCGTTGACTGTTGAGAGGAAACGTTTTCAGACTGTGGAGACAGGCTGTCCTCGTGCAGGTCCAGTACACAATGGCCACGATGCGCGCTCAACGGGCAGTAGATAGCACAACTCGTCGAAATTGGATGTAGTCCCTCGTGACATTCTAGGGTGCGGTGGGTGGGAAGAAATGCACCATCATCTAGTGCAGTAGTACTAACATGTCGCTTTGCTGAAGGGCATGCCACGGTTCGTGGCTACGCAATCAGCTATTTGAACAGCGAAGGCTAAACTCATGATAAGTATAGCCACGAGCGGGAGTTATTTATTAGCAGCTTCAAGGCTGGTGCGAGATGAGATACTGAGGGCGATTTGATTTTATTGACCAGCATCATGCTTGTGCCCGTCTCGCTCAAGACTCCAGCTCCGAGTTTATACGGCGTTGCCATGCTACTTCACTTCGATGTATTCCGTCTTGTTCCCGTCTTTGAGTTCATCTTCGGTGACTTCCAAATCCCCGCTCATACCAAGACGAGCGCGGATTTCTTGAATGCGTCGCAAATCAGCCTGGCCGGCATTTCCTCCAAACAATTTGTCCATCTCCTCCATTGGAACGCCTATGATTGAAACCTGATAAGTGATCTATCGGACAGTGTAGCAGTGGAAGAGCGTGCTTACCTTTAGTTTCCGGGACACAGAAGTATGTCCAGACTCCCAAAGTGATGCAGAAGACCAGAAAGAAGTAGAACGTGCCAAACGTTATGGTGTGAAGCATTCTGGGCGTGATCAGTGCGACGATAAAGTTCGAGAGGTAGTTTGTAGAAATGGCAAGTCCGACTGCCTTCCCTCTGATGGCAGGGGGAAACATCTCAGACGGCATGATCCAGTTGACACAAGCAATGCTGAATGCGAAAGTGGCAATGTACAACCACACAAAGACACAAGCGGCCCAGCCGGCTGCATTGTGCTCGGAAAATCTGTCCTTGTACACAGCATAGAGTGTTGCCACAACGAGTTGAGCGATGGACATGCCAATGGCGCCCGTGATCAAAGTCTTTCGACGACCCCATCTGTCCAGGTACATGACCGCTGGGATGGTGGAAAGAAAGAAGACGATGCCAACCACTCCTGTGGCGAGGAGATTCACGGAGTTACCGCTTAGACCAATGGCCTTGAAGAACTGGGGCGCGTAATAGATGATGGCATCTTTTCATCGTCAGTACTGCTTTGAGAACGAGTCTCGGTGGGGTGGAAAGACGTACTGATTCCAGTGAACTGTTGGATCACTTGAAGTAGGCAGGCGATCATCGTTCGCTTTCTCAGATGGCGGACCGTGAATAACTCTTTGTACTCATGCAATGCCACATACAGTCTTGAAATAGCTTCACCATATTTTTCCACTTTTGTCTGCTCGTCAAACATTCTGGCAGCTTTGATCTCGAGAAATTCGAGCTTTAACCGATAGTCTGAGGCCGGAAGTCGTCTCAACCGGACAAGGGTTTCCAGAGCTTCATCTTCTCGCCCTGACATTCTGGTCAGTAACTCCGCCTGTGCGCTTAGTACGATTACATACCTTGGTTCACTAGCCATCTAGGACTGTAGGGGAGAAAGAAGGTGCCGACGGCGAGGATTAAAGATGGAAGACACTGCATAGCAAGAGGGATCCTCCATGCGGCTTGACTTTGTCCATCTCCAGTGCCCCCAATGTATTGGGTACCGTAGTTCAGCCAAAAGCTGAGCATGATTCCGAGTGTTATCGACAGCTGCTGGAGAGCCACAAGCGCGCCTCTGATGTTGGGAGGCGCCAGCTCGGAAATGTAGAGGGGAACAACCATGGCTAGCATGCCAATGCCAGTTCCGAAAATGAAGCGACCGACGAAGATCATTGCAGTATTCACAGCCCCAGCAACCAGAGCAGAGCCAACTAGGAAGACAATATTGGCAAAGAGGATTGACCAACGACGCGAGAAGCGGTCGGCAATTGGGCCGTTGACAAAAGCACCAACCATCGCTCCCAGTGTCATGATAGAAACAACCCATCCTTGTAAAGTGGGATCATTCGCAAGGGTTGGGAAGTGCTTCGCCTGTTACGTCGGTAAGCTTCTGGGCAATCACACATAGTGGTTTCTACTCACAAAATTCGGCATAACCAGAACGTCAGAGATCACGCCCTGGTCGTAGCCGAAGAGCATGCCTCCGATAGACGCGAAGCAGGCAAGGCCGAAAATTCGAGGCTCCTTAATAAGCCCTTTATATCCAGCAGGGCCGTACTCGATGGCCTGCTCTCCAGCCACAGCATTGCCAGAGCTTACACCAACCATTGTTCCCGGTAATGTGTTGGTCGAGGGTAGGTGGACACAAGAAAGGTTCTGCGGGTGTAATTCGTACTTCTGTATCTGAGAAAAAGATACTGGATTTTCTAATCCCTTGTATCAGAATGCCGGGGTCTCCAACTGATACATATAGAAGTACAAATGTCTCTCCACGTTCCCATCTGGGGAGCGTCACTCAAAATCTGGAGTTATCACCGAAGTGATAGCCACCGGGGCATGTCCCGAGCCTGGGGCCACCGTTCGGCTCAGTGGCTTCTTCTCGTTGCAGGCCCCGTGTTGTTGTCGTCGAGATCGGCAAAGGCGGCACGAGGTTAGGGGGTTAGGGGATCGTGGGGAGAGTAAAAGCAGACCACAACTTGGAGTGTGCGTTCATCGCAGTAATTCAATCCGCCCTGCGGACATACCCAGTCACGCCAGTCTCAATACCGTGGCAGCACGGCACAAAGGGTAGATTCATTGGCTCGGCGAATCCTCCGAGACCCATTGTATGCCGGTGTCGTCGCCAGCCGGTGTCGTCGATCCTGGACGACCCTAGCGGACGGCATCCCTTTCAAGCAATGCCACAATGCTTAGAGAGTCTTGAGATTTGGCTAACACATGCCAGATATCCATTCAATAAACTTTTGATCTGAGTAGAACCGTCTAATATGATCGGAGGAAACTGGCCAATCCAGATCAACTACGAATGGTCATCGAGAATGGGATAGGAGAGCTCTTTCAAAGCCTTAATGAAATTGAACGGTGTTGGCTGGCTAGCCCCAGCCAGGAGATAACGGCATGCAGATGAACAAGATCCAGTGGTTTAGCAGACCAGATAGCGGCCAAGATCAATCGGCCGACGGTGCTGTACATAGTATCTTGTTCGCCGACTGGATGTGAATAAGTTATTCCGCGATGGACCAGCTGGGACCCGTACGCGACTCAAGTGTACGGGTCCGATGCGACACTCTAAGGGCTGCAACGCAATCACACGGCGGCAGTGTGTCCCCCACCGCATCCTGTCTGCAGTAGTGGGTGTCAAGTGCGGCTGGAGGTATTCGCTGGTTTGCCAGATATTCTGCGCATCTTCGAAAAACCCATCCCCAATGTTGGTTCTTCAGCATTCGCATGCAATTGTGGCTACTTTCCGTCAGCTCGGGAGCCTGCGTTTCGAGTTCGGTATCACCAAAATGGTACCCCGCTTACCTAAGTAGATGTGGTAGATGCATGACTGAGCTTCCCCCCACAAAGTGAGATGGTCTGATGATGGGGAAAACAACACACCCGCACCCTCAACTTTCCTCACATTCTCTCTTCTTTCTTCGCGGCTACGTGACGGCGAGGATGTGATCTGGGGTGAGATGAAATGGGCCGCCGGACATTCCAGCGCCTGCTCAAGCTACCAGTGCTTCTTCAGCCACGGCCTGTCCCGTCTCACCGCAGTCCATCAGCAGCCTTCTTCTGTCAATCCCACCGACCCGTCTACCAACACCAGCCTTACCGTTACTCACCGGCCCGATATCCTCCTGCATTTGGTCCATCACGTACTGTCCGTTTCCTCCGGTCGCTGCTATGGGCCACTCTATTCTCGATGGTCGGCGTCTACGCTGGGGTTGGATACCTAAAGGGGGTATACAGAGGGCAGACTAGAGTCAAGCTGGGCTCGCTCGCGGACATTGGAATAGCAGCAGAAATCATGACGGAAATGGATCAACACCCCAGCGTTCAAGCACTGAAGGCTGACCCCGATTTTGAGGAGATATGGCCCCTGGCGACCAATGCAGAACAGACGGAGAAGATGAAAACCACAACCGATGGCAAGGACATCCACCATCTTGTGTATACGGCTTTCCGAGGCAGTCGTGGTGTTTTCCCTCGAGCCTTTTACAACCGTTCCCGCCACATTCTGGTCATGGTCGCGGCCTGCAGCTACGGATGTGAGGGCGAATATGGGCATCTACACAACGGGGCTATTGAGACTTTGATCCAGGAATCAATCCGGATACTTGCACAGTTCTGGTTTCCTCCCGACATGACCTACAAGCTATCAGAGCTCTACGTGGCCTTCGGTGAGATCACTCACCCGAACACTATATGGTGCATCACCTGTATGCCATTGGCGACTGTTGGCGTAAGTGGCCTCTTCCTCCCAAGAGATTGGTGCCATTCAAGACACGAGATCTATATTCTGTCCCTTTGTGCGACGTTACACTTTTCTGACAAGATGCAGAACCTGGCCGAGGTCGTCGACGAAGCCAAGACCGCAGAATCTCGCGGCCAATGGTCGAATGTCTGGCCAGATTGGTTCAATCCCAGAGACTGGAATCAGATGACCAGTTCAATAGTGGCGACAGTGAGCCCCCTCGATGGTCATCCTATAAAGCAACCACAACAAGCCACCGCCAACGCTGTCGGCCATTTTCAGGTGGAGGACTCGGAGGATTGGCCACCGGCTCCGCCACCTCACAAGGAGAGCTTCTATGGTTGGACATCTCGTGAGCAAAGTCAGGAAGCGAACCCACCGAACGACAGTGAAGAAGGCTGAAAGTGGCAATTTCTCAAGTGGCAAGGGTCGATGGTATCTCTCGGCTGCCTGGAGACGTCGACAAGAGCCCTCAACTCTCTCAACACGGACATGGGTTCCGCAATGGTAGGAAAGTATGCTCTTTGAAAATCTGACAGCTCTGGATCTAAAGATGGGACGATCAACTGGACCATCCGCTCTGTTTCCTCAAGACCCATATTATCCACGTCTCCTGAAGCCGGTGGGGCCCATGTCATTCCCCCAGTCCATCCATCTGAGCAAAAGTGCGACGAAGGCGAATCGAGCTTTTCGCCAATAGCCCGTTCGAATATGACCATAACCCTGACCAATTGGTCAAGCCAGTGGCCTCACACCTGTCCTTGCCACGATCTTCCGAACCCAGGCTTGTTCACGTCAACTCTCGACGCAAAGTCAGACTTCCAGGCGATTTCCACCAACGACAACGTTACTGGTCTCCGTCACTTGTTCCTGGAGAAGAAGAGAAGCTTCTAGCACTTGGTACCATCCAGATGAAATGATTCTGGTCGTAAAACTGGCACAGAGGAACGCGTATGCTTGAGCGATGAGGGCCACGTCTTCGTCTTGGCCGCGTTCCACGGCGTCTCGTATGACTGACCGTGTGGGAAAGACCGTATGTCTCGATGGATGCACTGTATTATATTGTAGATTAGTATCCATAAAATCCTGCTGAATGAGCTGAGCTTGGCTGTGAAAAGCAGAAACTCAGTCCGGACACAGGTTTTTCTTCCATAATGATACTACAGTAATATGAACAGCGCGATGAGATCGAGTCCCGAGCCAGACTGCGGCGGTTATTACAATATACATTATCCACTATAAGTCTTTTGTACATATACAGGGAGACATAGTCCCTATGATCTGCTGACATCCCGTCGGTCCTGGAGACCTTCGCCCGCCCAGTCCTTGACCGATCACATTTCAGCCTCCTGCCAGCCCAGGGAGATGAGGAATCTGTCTCTTTGGCTGGCATCATTGAACATATAGTCAGGGCAAAGCGACACTCAGAGCCCCGTTATCACACAGAGTGAAAGTCGTGTAGAGCATCTTTCACTGTTATCCACTCTAGTAGGTTCCAAACTTACGCCGCTCGAGCAACTTGAGGTAGGACTGGTGGCATCAACTCCGTTCCGCGCGAGAACATGTAATGCCCTCTTCCACCACATCAACATTCCACACGCTCCGTTTCGTTTCAAAAGCGACCCGGGATTTTTTGTCTTTACCGTAGTTAAGCCTTGACACTTACGTCTTCAGCACCAAACCGCATCAGCCGACTCTCACGTTTGCCTTCCATCCCGGAGCACAGATCTCGCATGGGACCGATGAACATCTCCTTGCCGCTTTCAAGGTTTCGGACATCACACGTCCAGCCTCTCTTCTTCAGCCATTCGCCCTGCTCTCCTTCCCAGAGATGCTTCCTCACCTCGTCTGCCGTGATGCGCTTGACGCGTAGCCTCTTGACACTGACACCACGATCGTCTTTCGGCTCGTCATGTGCGCTGATCCAGCACCTAGCCATCAAACCGCGAGCTATTTCGGCGCCGCCCTGCATTCCGGTCATAATATTTCCACCCAGAAACCATGGGTTCTGAGCATGGTCGAAAGAATGAAACAGCAGAGTCAGCGGAAGAGCTCCAGTAAGACGGACAAGGTGATTCTGGATGTAAGGCTGCAAGTCTGATAGTGGCAGCCCGTGAGGTGAATAGATCACAGAAATCGCTTTGGGCCGGGCGGGTGTGACTGGAGACAATGCGGGCATGGACGATGTGCTGGAGAGGGACTTTTGATGGGATGGGCCAAGTGACTTTCGGTGGTGAAAGATAGTGCTGGTGGGAGATATAGCTGATGGGATGGGGGAAGCTGGAACAGACGAGTTTGGGAGGGTAGTAGCTGGAGAATCGGGTGGAGTGGGCAAGGTACTGAGCAAGGCGAATGGTGGCTTGTCTAGCTCGAAGTGGAAAGGGATATCCACACGCGGCGACCGATCACGTATGGTCACCGTTTGTTGTACAATGTCGCTGGCTTCTGCTGTCTGGTCTAATCGAACCGCCGGCTGCTCAAAAGGTGGGAGAAAGTCTGAGGAGGCAGTGTTTGAAGCCCGCGACAGTCGGGGTCGGTGAGTCTTGATTTGCGAGGACTCGGCACTCTGTATGGAAAGGTGATCTCTGCGTGGCTGGTCGAAAGACATTGCCCTCGCATTAAGAGGTGACAATGGCACAGCTGGACTCGACGGTGGCACAGTCATTGGGCTCAATGGCATATGGAAGTATTTTGTGGTCTTGGGTAGATCGATTGTCGATATGGGCGCCACGGCTTTTGTCCTTGTAGCTGGCTGGTATGTGATCCCAAAGGCATTGTGCAGGCCAGTCATATAGTGTTTGGCTGGGATGAAGGCGATATTGACCTCTCCCGGAAATCCCTCAGGACTCAGGGGAGGTATGCGCAGTCGCAGGGACCGACCAAATTTGACCTTTGGATCATACTTGAGGAGGCCGTGGACTTTGTGCGGGTCGAAATGATTCCAACTCTTGATTGTCTTTGCTGCACTGGGTTCAGCAGCAATGACCGTCTTGCTCTCTGGCGAGATTTGGAGGAGCGTCTCTTTGTGGCAATGGTCGGGCTTATTTTGTGACACGATAACCACGTCGGGTTCCTCCACCTCGGAGAGATGGTGTATGGCGCTGGGGATCCTGTGCTCGGTCCTTGCGAACCAGGGCGCAGTGACGATGGATGGGCCTGTCAGCCATGGATCGATCAGGACGGAGAATGCACCACTGGTGGAGAGGAGATCTGTTGAAGGAGCAGTTACTTCTGGAGAGAAGATGAGGAGGAAAGTCGAGTCGGCATTGAGGTGCTTGACTGTGACCGACATGAGGTCTGAGATTGCAGGATATGACCACGGGGACTGGGTTAGGGAGATTTCATCTTGATTTCTGAGGCAATAAAGACAGGCGTCAAGCCCTCGAAAGAGGCACTATTAGGGGAAGACATGATGTCTCTCTCCGCCGTTGATGCAGTTTGTGGGAGGCTTTCATCTCGTCTAGAAGGCAGCGGCAAGACTTGACCACTTGAAAGGACTCGTTCAACTGCACCCGAGATTTGATGAAGTCATGCTGCAGGTCCAGCCTAGGCTTTCCATTCAGGCCCAGTAGGTCCCGACAAAAGCGCCTAAAGGAGCCCCTACCGTCAACCTTATCTCCAAGATTGCGCCCATCATCGCCTAAACCTTTCCAAAGATGTTTAGTGGTGGATACTGTAGGTGACTTGTGTGAATGGTGGGTGAATGGCAACATCGGCTTAGTCAGCGTCCAGCCTTGCATCCCTACTTACAGTACCTGCACAACGGGCGCTCATCGAGTCCAGCCTCACCCAATGCAAAGATATCTGGTACAGGGCTCAATCCTCACGAGTAAATGTGCCTGTCTAGAGCCTGTTTGGAAACAAAGGCGCATTCCTTCCACCCCGAAACAACCTCAACATCTCCTCTCCCATCCACATCTTTCTCGACATGGCGATCCCCTTCTCCAAGTCCGCTGCTCGTCCAGCCTGGATAAGTAGTCCCTTCCCATTCGCCTCCATCCCTTGACTCATCAGATACACCACGGTATCCGCAATCTCTGCAGGGTCGTTGATCGGCACACCGACCTCGCGCATCCTCTTGGCCCAATCCTGGAGCGGCTCTCCTGGCTTCCGACCTGAAATGATATCGGTGAGGGTGATCCCGGGCGCCACCACAGAAATCGCTATACCCAGTGTCGCGGTGTCGTTCTTGAGCGCTCTCATCAACCCGACGATACCTTCCCACTCGTCAGTAGCGCATTCAATGAGCTGGAAAAGCTTTGATCTCACCGTGCTTCGCAGCACTATAAAGCGGAGCACCCGCACTTGCGAGGTACCCCGCCAAACTGGCCGTCATTACGATACTGCCCCCCTTCTTCTTGCCTGGCGCTTTGTTCTTTATGTAGTGGATTGCCAGTTTCGCCGTGTCGTTGGCGGCATGCATATCAATGTCCAGCGTCCGCCGGTCGGGCTCCTTGAGTAGCCCATCTTCGTCTAGATCATCTTTGAAGAATTGGTCTTTGTACTCCGCAATGCCAGCGTTGACGAAAACGGCATCGATTGAACCAAACCTCTTGACCCCAGCTTCAAAGCCAGCTCTCTGAGACTTCCAGGACGTGATGTCGCATTGATGGTATAGAAATCGAGGCGACGATGTTAATGACTGTGGTGCTGAGGAATGTGGTCTTGCCCGGTCAAGTACAATGACATTGTTGCCGAGGTCATGAAGCAGTATTGCTGTTTGCAGGCCAATGCCACTACTCCCTCCAGTGATCAGGATGGTGCTGCCTTTAGGACCTGTCAGCTGGCTTCGGGATATAGTAAATGCTTCGGTCGCCATACTGGACGTTGTGAACAGTGTCTAAGTCTGGTCTGAATGGTGAGTTGGGAGGTGTTGGGTAAGGCTTGTGGGCTTTGGACTTCCGTTCCCCGCATGGATAAGCACTCGAGCACTCGAGGCACTGGCCCGGTGCCTCGGTCCGTAAGGCTCAAAGGAAGTCTTTTAGCGTTCACCATCCCGGCTACCTCCACTATTCCTGAAGCCATTCGACGCCTCGTTATCCTGTGACAATACCTTCAATCAGCGTCCATGGATCAGAGAGCCCGCGAACCACAAATTGAGCCCAGCTCCAGACTCTCCAAGGGATCAGACGTATCGCATGGATTCGATGAGAGCACGCCTCGCAAACGACGAAAGATCGCTCTCGCTTGCGATCAATGCCGAGTGCGGAAAACTCGATGTGACGGTGTGAAACCCGTCTGCGGAGAGTGTTTGCAACGAGCCAACCGCTCAGATCCCTGCAGATATAAAAATGCACAGACAGATCCAGAGCAAGAAGAGTACGTCCGAAGCCTGCATCTTCGAATCCATCAATTGGAATGCGCAAACATCTCCTTGAAAAGCCGACTCAAGACTTCACAGTCTGGAGACACGGGCCAAGCAGCTGGATTGACGGTCACGCCAGTTTCCGAGAACGCTGCTCAACATGTATTCACGAATCCAGCTCCCCAGCCGGCAGCACCGCCCCCAACGCGTGCACATTTGCAGGAGGAAGAAGTCGGCCCAGTGGACGCTATGGGCGCCAACTCGACCATCGAACCCGATGACCAAGGGCGCGACAGTAGATACTACGGAAGCTCATCCACCGTGTCATTCATGCAACAGGTTTACGGGACCGTCCTCAACGGCGGCACATCCTCCAACTCTGCTTCCCAGCTAGGGAACCCACCTCGAAAAAATGCTGTTGCCAAACGTGACAGGGTCTGGGTCCTCCAAGACATGGAACAACTTTCTTTGCTTCCACGACCACTGATGGACCGCGCGTTGAATTGCTATTGGGATAGGGTCTATCACTTGTATCCCTTCATCCACAAACCCACTTTCATGCGCGCATATGAACAGCTATGGCAGCCCAATCCATCAGAAAGCGAGCTCAACACACCTGAAGCCGGACTTGGTGGCTCCCTCGAGTACGGCCCCCATAGTACCGTCTTCCATTGTGCATTAAACGCAATGCTCGCGTTGTCAATGCAGTTCATGGACACGCCCCTTAACGATCGCCGGAAACTCGAAGACTTGTTTGCCAAGAAGGCACGAGACCTGTGTCACCTCGACCTACTCGACGACGGTTCTCTAGCTGTCATCCAGACCCTACTCATCATGACACAATACCTCCAGTCGACGCCGTTTCCCAATCGATGCTGGAATTGCATCGGCATCACCTGCAGGCTCGCGCAAAGCCTGGGCTTGTACGTTGAAACCCTTCAAGCAGTGAACAGAATGAGCCCCCTGGAGGTCGAAATGCGCCGCCGAGTCTGGTACGGCTGCGTCACGCTCGATGCAGTGGTGAGCATGACGCTTGGACGACCGCTCATGCTCAGCAACTCGAACCACATTCCTCTCCCTCAAGCCGTAGACGACGAATACCTATCGAGTCCGGACCGCCAGCCTGCTGGGCATGTTTCGTGGGTGGAGTTCTTTGTCCAGACCATCAAACTGTACAACATGCTCGCCGAGGTTGTGTCGCACATGTATACGATTTCTCCTTCAAGACAAGCGAACCCTTCTCGCAATAGCGAAAAGTGCACCGGGTTTGGTAGCTTTGCATTCATCCAGGAGATGGACACCGCAATATCCGCGTTCGAGGATGGGATTCCTGATCACCTCCATTGGGAAAGGAGACAACGTCTACCAATGCATATCAAGGCTGTCAAAGTCTTTGAAATGCAGACATCGGTGTTGCTTGCACGTTTCTTGCATCTTCACATCTTGCTTTACCGTCCTGCATTGACTCGCTACTGCCAGCAAGTCTGTGCTCGGGAGGTTTCGAAGACCCCGATCTGTGAAGGAATGAGTACTCGTAGGAGCGATGTTTCGCTCATCGTCGCTCGCGGCTTGACCACGGCGTGCGTCGACAACTCCATCCATTTGATCGAACAAGTCCACCTTCGCTCGACCACGGCAGCGACAGGCGCCTGGTGGTATAATCTGTACTATGCGCGAACGGCAGGCATAGTCGTTCTGCTTGCGATGATCTGCGATAGCATCATAGAGTCCGCCGGCTGGGCGAAGCTGGCAGAGAGCTGGAATAAATGCAAAGGCACCCTTTCCGCTCTGCAAGTTTTCAGCCCTACAGCAGCAAGCTGTCTACGTGGCATGGAAAAGCTTCACCAGCATATTTTGATGTACAAGCACAAGCAGAACCTTGAAGCCAGCATGAACTTTGGGGTCGACCTCAACGCCAGTACCACTCCCAGAGTTGGCGAAGAGGATTTGCTTCCCCAACCGGAGACGATCGCCCACAGACAACCTTTCGAACCCATCAACGAAGAGCTGTTCGAGGATCTGGGCAATCTTGACTGGCCAAATTATTTGGAGGCATCCATGCTGGACGATATCTTTTCCTTTGATTTTGCAAACATGAACCCTTCAGCCTGAGATGGATGAAGATGTGATCACCGGACCAGCAGCCGAGAATACGAAAATTTCCAGAAATACCAATAACACCCAATGTGCTCACCTAGCGATAGATGGCCACCGGGGAAAGCAACGCATGAGAGCCCAATAGCCCAACGGATCCAACCTGCAGCCACTCATCACGGCAAGCGTCATCCCAGAGGTCCTTTGCACTTATAGTGCGAGAACAGGAGTCTGAATGGGCCTTCGGGCGATCCGTCACCAGCACTCTGTTGAGGCGAACGAACAAGGAATCTCCCGCTAGGAATCCCGACGACGCTTGCTTGTCTCGAGGGCCATCTCAAATCTGCCTCACGGGCGTCGGAAATAAGCAGTCAGCGGATTTCCACCCCGACACCCATTGCTGATACCATTTAGGTACGTCTTCGTCGGAAGTCCTCCAGAATGGTGGTCTCTCGAAATTTCGGATCAGAGCGCAATCGTGCGGCAAAAGATGACTGAAAACCGATTCCAACTCGTAGTGGTGGGCGTTTCGCGGCAGTGCATACCACTCAGGACGTTCGTCAGGTTCCATGGCCCAGCAAACCGTGGTACGCACGTTGATGAAGTCGCTCTGCCAAGAAGTCTGTCCATTTAGGATATGGGGGAAGCCGGTTGTAATCGAGAGGCTCAGGATTCAACGCGACGACGAAGCGATGGCCCAGTGCGATATGTTCAAATGCGTCGGCTCGAACAAAGTAACTTGTAGTCGCAAGCTCCTCAAAAGGTTGGTGACGGTGGAACTTTTCCACCATCTCTATAGCGAACATGGATTCCTCCAACACAAGATCAGGCTGCTCGGGTTGCTTGAGATTCTCCTGGACAGACGGATCGACCAAGTAAAACGGTCTCCAAGTCTCCGTATCAGTTGTATGCTTGAGCTAGGGGTGTGGTCTTCCTTCCGGACGATTCCCTCCATGACCCAGCCTCGCCTAACATACTTGCGCAGCAGAGTCTCGAAGTAATCGTCCATTGGTTTCAACATATGCGTCTTCTTCTCTAGGAGCGTCTCTCTAGGAAACAAGGAGTATGCTTTGTTCCATGCGACAAATGTTGACCACGGCGGTCGTGTAAAAATTGGCGAGGATAGCCTGGATAGGCATGTGTTTGGTGACTATGAGCTGGATTTTGGCCTGTGTCCGATCGAGTCCTTTTAGGCGCTTATAGGTCCTGCACTTCACGCCGTTAGCTGGTGGGCATAACTTCGAGTTGTGGTATGTGTACCTCAACCATGGGCGTGATTGCATAACCAGCCATATCACCACTGGACTTCAGGCGATACTTCTCCTCTTGCTGAAGGTAGGTGTAAGTCAGCTGCGGCAGTGCCTTGTTCCACGAAAATGTCCCAGTCCGACTCAAGCCAGCATGTCTGAGCAAAAAGTTGCAGGGCAAAACCGCCCGAGATGAGAGCGCCATGTTTTCCAAGTTGCGAACGAAGACCAGTAGGGTTCTTCACGAACCGCCTCAGACGCTGATCTACGTTCCATCGTCTTTGAAAGGCATCTCGCATCTGGTGACATGTCTGGGACAATGCTATGGGACTCTCGGGAGGCAAGGTCGACCAGAAGTGGTCCGAGACTGGGTAGAGGCTGAGCACACCCAGCAGAGTCGCGGGTGGTCGCTCCTGCGCAGGAACAAGCTCATCAACACCCCCAGATACCGGCGTGGTATTTGCCAATGGCCGATGACGCTTTGTGTCCCTTGGCAAGTCGGACGAGGCTTTCCGTCGTAGAGTAGCCATTGGGTGAACGAGAGTGCCGTGTGGAGGAAGCGGGAAGTGTCTAAAACGAACGCGTCAAGTCCATCAAATACGCGTCGAACTTGACGCGTCGAACTTGGTGGAACAGGCAAATCCAGTCACGTGATCAATGAGCCGATAGAGCGTTCGCGAGATGCGACAGGCAAAGGCACCTCATTTCCGGAATTGCAATCACGATGCAGAGCCCCTCTCCCAAAACGCATTCATTGAACTTTCACTCGTGGATCATCTCCGGACCTGCTCATTACACATGCCCTTCCTTCTTTGATGTGCAGGCAGTTTCCCCGTCCAATTGAACACTACCAATCAATAACGAATTCAACGGCTGCAGGTTGTTATCCCACCAAATATCATCTCCAGCACAGCCCTGACCAGTGAGATGTGACCATCAGGTTCTGGAAAATGCAGAAACACTTCATCACGTGTTGTGCAACGTCCTTGTACGACGACCAACCGTCCTTAAGAAAAGGACTGCAGAAACTTGGAAACCACAGACCCTTTTTACTCATTCGCCCAGCTGACAGTTAGCGAGACATCCTGTGGTGGCAGCTCGACAGCTGTCAAGGCGTAACTGGCGTTTGTTAGTGGCCAGCCATGTACGTAAAGAACTCCGGTAAAGCCTGCCGGTGTTCGGATAGGTCGAGTTCCCCAAACATTGACATTATTCTTCGCTCACATACTGTGACGTAGTTGATCGTCTGCAGGGCCTTTGCTGCAACTCTGAAGGAAGTTGGGAAATGCCATGTGCAGAACCACAGAAACGTGCTCAGGGCAGAGTTCTGTACGCTCCTGGTGCCACCCCTACCGCCCACATGTTTATTGCGAACACCACGGGGTTCATCATCCTGCATGGCCCTGAACCAGTCCGAACCAGGAACGATCGGCCATGTCCCGATAAAGGCTCGTGAGGCTCCTCCAATCACTCGTGGCACAAGCCCACAACACCTGTCGTGACCGTTGAAAGCCACCTGCAAGCCATGTCGACTGGTCGTGACTTGGTGTTCCCTACTCGGGCAAGGAGCGACGTCGTGGCGGCCCAATTTTCGCTTGTGCGACTATGGTAGGTTGGACAGGATCCTTTCCAATGAACTGGCAACCGAGCCTAACTGGGCGGACGTCCGCGCGAAACCCCCAAGAAATCGCTGATCATTTTGAGTCAACTGGAAAGGTACGATTGACCATATAACCCTGTCAACCTTTCGACCCTGCCCAGAAGTGGTAGAGAAATGTAAAGTGACTTCATGTTCATACCACATGCAGGCAGAGAGCTTCCACGATGCTCTGGCCCCTGCCTGCCTGGCTGCACTGGTATCGAAAGCCTTCATATCGAGACCCTGTGACCTTCTCCAAGTCCGTCAGTGCTGATATCGAGAATGGCCTCGGGTCAAGACCTGGATCCATCAGCTCTCAGTCAGATGCCGCCATCCCATCCGACTTGACCCTGGACTGTGTCCTTGCCAACAAAACATGTACGCAGGAGCTACTACAATGGTGTTAAGTCCAACGCTGACATATATTACTCTGATAGGCAGTCCTCTGTCCCTGTACGATTTCTACATGTACCTCAAGCACATAGAGATGTCGCCAGAGAACTTGGAGTTCTATATCTGGTAAGCGTTCCCACTCAGAGCCAAATTAACCTCGGTGTGCTCAGACCATGTACAGGTTCAAGGACTACGAAGCTCGCTATAATGAGGACTCGCACCCCAACTCGCCAAGTCAAGTGACGCCGTTGCTCGTTACGCCCGGGGCCGAAAAGTCTGGCCCATACTCCTACTCGGGGGTTGCACTTGAGGAAGTGGACCAAGGCGGCCAGGATCCTGGTACAGTGTCTGGACCTGCACAAAAGACAACAAGGACTGACATTCCCTCCAGATTTTCAGCAGTACATCGAGACCCTGGTGACTTCCCAGGAAGCCAAACGATGCAAAGCATTCTGGCCACGACACAACTCCGACAGGACTCTGACAAGAATGTACTCCAACCGCGCAGAGCTCCAGAACATCGTCGCACTGTTTCTCACGTCACAATCAGCCAGAGAGCTGAACATTCCACCTAGCATGCGCACCCAAGCTCTGGCCGGCCTTGCGACTTCCGATTCACCAGCCTCCCTGGCACCCGTTGCCGACCACGTCTACTATCTCCTCCGCAACTGTTCGCACCGCAACTTCATCCGCTTGGGCGTCAAGAATGGCACGTTCGAGACACTGTGCATGGTAACCATAGTCGGCATCCTGTTCACTACGCTTGGCCTCTTGACCATGCTTCTCATCGCATTTGCCTCGCCTTCGATCCATCACTCCTCCAGATGGAGGGCCCTTGCTTCCGCCCCTTTCTGGATCATTGGCTTTTCGTTCCTGTTGGCCGGCTGGAGAGGTTCCTGCTTCCTGCTTCTGCTCTTCTCTCGTCGGCAGGAGTTGCCGTGGGAGCGGCTGTCAGACAGCGGCAGTATCAAAACGGCTGGCAGCGCTCGCTGGAGCTTGGTCAAGTTCGCCAAAAAGATGATGATTTTCGAACGGAAGATCAAAGTGAAAGACTATGGACTCCGTCAATTGCAACGGAAGATCGTCATCCAGAGTGTTGCTGGTTCTCTCATTGCAACCGCAGTGCTGGAGGTTGTGTTTCTTGTCTTACCCATCTGGAGATGACGGCAGCTCTTCTTGGCGCTGTAGAATTATACTGTTAATAGGACTCCCCTATTGTCATTGGCGTTCATCCATGTCTCAGAGGCAGTTGTGACACCTAGCGAGTAAATGGGACAAAGTGGGTTGAAGGACTCGCAAGAAGCACCAATGTAGAACATGAATATAATAGCCCCTTTTTGCAGACAGAGCATCGCAGTACAATCAATGGATACGTATTTCGAGCCCCTATACTGTTCAGGCTGCTTGGTAAACTCTGAAGCTGCCGAACTCCCAGTAGGCGTTGGAATAGGCACTACCAGGTTGGTTGCTCACATAATCCACACACGTGCCTGGACAACCCGACTGCGTGTTGTAGTATTGCGTCTGTCCGGCCCAATCTCCGCACAGGTCGATGTCGACAATGATGCTTTGGTTTCGAAAATGGCTTCCGATGTCACATTCTGTACTTGGGAAATCTGCCAGAGCCTCAGGCCATGTCGAGGGATCGGGGATAACGTCCGTTGAGTTGGATGTGGATGTGGTAACGTCAGAGGGGAGGTTGTCACGATCGAAGAACCACACTCGGATGCCAGCATCCCTGAGTTCCATAGCGTAGACACCACCGCCATTGTTGTTGAAGTCCTCTCCAAAAGTGGCAGTAGAGCCCTGTACACCGCAGCCACTATCCCCGTCGGTGGAATTGAGACAATTCGTTGTGAGCGCTTTACCAGTTTCCTTCCGTTTAACACCCATCTTACAATCTTTGGTGGTGTGGAGCGTGACCTGATTTCCTTCCGGTGCAAGATTGGTTGCTTCCATGACATCGATCTCGCCGTTGGTGGGCCAGTTGGACGGATCCGACAGCCACAAGGCTGGCCATGTTGAGCAGCCATACGGCGAGTGAAGAACATCGAAGATGAAGAGGCCGTCATTGTAGGTGTTCTTCGAGGTCACTCTTGCCGATTTGCGACCAGTAGTCGTGTCAGTATCGGAGAGGTCGACTCGGAGAACAGCCGATGTGGCAGTGGCGTAGGTCAGATTCAAGGCGACTGATCCTGGGCCATCGACATAGCTTGAGCACGAGAACATTAGCATGATAGGCAGAGATTGCGATAGGAGGTATACTCACTGCACAAAACCTGCTGCTGGGTCGTAGCCGGTGAAATAATCGAAATTGTCGAAGAAACTGGATCCAGAAAATGTGTCGACCAGCGAATAATTCAAGGTGGAATAGTCTGGGTATCGATTCTCTCGAGTAACAACGACAGCAACAACAATGACAATGATCACAATAATTATAACACAAACGGCCAAAATGATCCAGCATTTTCGAGACCAGTTCTTAGGGTTTCCTCTTGAAGTCGTGGCGCCCTTCTCGTAGAACCCGGACGCGTTCGCCGCTGGACTTTTCGAGAGATATCTGGCATTGCTATCGGGCTGCGTGTATGGCGGAGGCTGAGCGTTGAGATACTCGGAGTCTGAAGCACTCCCAGCATACGGGCTTGAGCGCGAAGGGTAAGTCATCGTCGGAGAGTAATAAGAAGCAGTCACCCGTCTGTGTCACTCAGCAGTGCATGGAATAAGAAAAGGCTGTAAGTGCGATTCAGACCATAGCATCTGTTAATAGGGACTGCGACAACAACACATGCAGGGATCTTCAGCAGAAAAAAGAACACAGCCCGTCTCCGAAAAGGTCGAGAGGTGGGATTCAGCACGAACCTAGTGCAAATCTTGTCACAGGAGTGACGCATGAGACATACATGAGGCACACAGTGTATGTTGATAGGGAAAGAGGGAGTGACGAGTCAGGTCCAATATTGCAGGAACAACGCTGCGCGATTGCGCGTCGCAAAATGTAACTGTGGATGATGGACGCGCAAGCGATATGAGACAGGAAAAACAGGATGGCAAATGGCAAATGAGGTGAGGTTCCTGCCGCCGAAAATAGCATTCTCACGTGATATACGCACGTGATCTTATCTCTCGCGTCTTTTCTGTCTTAGTTATTGCTGACTTGATGATACTCTCCCCCCGAGATTTGATCAATGCGCTTTTCATACTGTATATTTTCAGAGCTCAATACTCCTTCTGGTCTGCTCTCCTTGAGAGAAAGCTAGGTGTCATCAGCCCACATTCCAGTATTGTGATGCTCAATCCAGCAGAATATATCCATCTCTCACAATTTGCTCGCCCCCTCTACTCCCGCGAACCACTTCCTCCTGTTATCGTCAAACAGTACTCCTCTCGGCCTTTCGTGCTTTGCATCTGTGTCGACGCAGCCAGTATATAAGATGACCAATCCTTCAAATTGAGGGTTCGTCAAGTAAAGCGGACTCCCGCAGTCTCCGCAGAAATAACGCGATAACTCATTGCCAGACTTGGTGTTGCTGTCCTTGTGACATTTGACTTTGTCCTTGCCGGAGGTAAAGGTGAGCTTGGATTTGAGAATCCTCAAATTGTTGGCGAATGCTGAGCCCGTCGTCTTCTGGCAGTTGCTACAGTGGCAAAGAACCGTGCCACGGGGTGAACCGGTGACGGTGTATTTGGTTGATCCGCAGAGGCAGGAGCCTGTGATTGTGGTCGGAGGCGATGCTGGCTTAGACATGACCAAAGAATCAAGCTCGCCTTGGATAATGGGTTAGTATCAGTAATCGATTGTAGTCAACAGACGTCTGGAAGCATTAAACTCTTATGTCACAAACGAGCCCATACTGTAGAGTCAATGACTTATGCGGGGAGCATCTGATTTTACCTCGGCATTGGCTTTGGCGGATCGTGCTGACTCATTTCTTGGCATATCACGTGGTAAAGACAGAACATCCACAGAGTCGTTACCAGTGTGTCCGAGTTCAAACAAAAACTCGATATTCCCCTACGTGCCCTAGGTACATGGCTTTAATGTCGGCGGAGGCCAAGAAGTGACAATATGTCTCGTCCGTATCGTCGTCCACATGCTTCGCCCTGACCCAGGTCGTTACAAGAAAGAGTGAAAAGCCCACCATGCCTTATGTGAATGGTGAACAATCCTATGCAGGCCGCAACGCTGTGGCTAGCCCTGGTCTCAAATCCACCCTCGACCTCAATGATCGTGGCGGCGTCTGGATCGAAACGTAGAAGGAAGCGGACTCAACTTGGCTGGACAGATGTGATCTCTCAACCGCTTTTCGTGCCGAAGCCTGAGGGTCTCCTAGCCACTCAGTGTGGCACGGGTCCGCAATGCCCGAAGTAGCCAACCGTCTCCATATTTACAGCTAATCGTCAATACCAGGGACCATCACTGGTCATTCCACAACTACATTCATTTTGCTGAACCTTGGACAGCCCATGGAGCGTACAAACTCCAGGAGGCGCAAGGCTGGCCTTTCAGGTACAATGGATGAGAAAGTCCAGGAGAGTGCTTCGATACGAAAGTCATTATCATCACAAGCGAACCTTAGTAGCCCGGTCGTGCCCATACCACTCTCACCCCTGCAGACGTGGTTGCGCTATTTCATCTACCTGATTGTCAGTCTACTGATATTCGGCTTTCTTGGTGCGATCCTCTTCGGTCAGCTCAAAAGTGCTTCTCGAAATGCAGTCAACGTTGGGGAAGCAGATGCCGCTCAAGAAACGCCGGCCGGTACACAAGTGCCCGGAGATCTAAGGATCATACTTCACCCTGAGAATCACGCTAGCCGCCCACCTACAACACTGGTGTACAACTGGACGATCACAAAGGGCTATCGTCGCCCAGACGGTGTGGCCAAAGAAGTGTACCTGCTCAATGACAACTTTCCCGGAGAAACCATCGAAGCTCGTTCCGGAGACAGAATAATAGTGAATGTCACCAATCAGCTTAGCAATGAAGGGCTCGCCATGCATTGGCATGGACTGAGGATGATGGGAGCCAACGAGATGGACGGTGCCGTCGGCTTGACGCAGAACCCGATCCCGCCGAGCGGGAGCTTCCTATACGACTTCACCATCGGCCAAGAAGAATCTGGCACCTTTTGGTATCATGGCCACGAGAAAACCCAGCGGGATGATGGCCTCTACGGTGGCTTTGTCGTTCACCGTCCATCGGAGCAATGCAACGAGCGACGCAAGTACGATTATGACGACGAAATCCTGCTCCTGGTCGGCGACTGGTATCACCGGCCGAGCAACGACGTCCTCAGTTGGTATATGAACTCGAGATCGTTTGGCAATGAACCTGTTCCAGACTCTCTGGTCATCAATGGCTTGGGTAATTTCGATTGCGAACTGGCGGTACCAGCACGGCCTGTCGACTGCTTGTCGCCGGAAACCCGGATCGACCTTCCTGTGCTGCCACTCAAGGGTGGCCAGCGCACCCGTTTACGTCTAGTCAATACAGGATCGTTGACAGGGTTCTCAGTACGAATCCATGGTGCCAGCATAACACCCTTTCAAGTTGACGGCGGCAGCGAGATAGCTATGGCAGAAGCGCGAGGTATTGGGATTGTTTACCCGGGCGAGCGGGTAGATGTGGTCTTGCAGATTGGTCCCTCGACCAACCAACCTTTTGTCGAAATCAAAATGGACGATGAGAACTTCAAGTATCCAAATCCAGCTCTCAATCCTATCCAGAACTTTCCCGTCCAGACAATCGCAGACAATGTCGGTATGGCACTGCCAGTTCCGGAGGTCGAGCACTACAATCTGCAGGCGGCCTCCTCAAATTCTAGCTTACGGGTTGCTTGGCCAGAACAACCGCTAAAGTTCGTTATTTATACCACGACACTGAAATTGGCAAAGCATCACAACATTCCCATGGGATTCATAAATCACACCAGTTGGTCGCCACAGGCTGAACCGCCGGAACCATTGATATCGATCTCTCGATCCCAGTACGATCGGAACCAGCTCTCGCCTCGCATTCCGCTGTTCAGGAAAGGAACAGCAGACACTGGGCTTTCGAAAGGTTGGGTCGAGGTTGTCATTAACAATCTTGATGACGGGGGCCATCCATTCCACTTACACGGTTATTCCTTCTACGTCGTGTCCGTCTTCCCGCGCCCAGTAGCATGGACCGGCACGAAGCCTCCCTTCACTCCAGGGGGATCAAGCATGTATAACTACAACCCCTTTACCACACAGCCCCAAGATTCTCCTGCAGGCGAGTACAACCTGGTCAATCCGGTCATGAGGGACACTGTCTTCGTCCCGCAGAGAGGCTATGCAGTGATAAGATTCCAAGCCGACAACATGGGTATCTGGATGCTGCACTGTCACGTGGGCTGGCATCTGGGAAGCGGTATGGCCATGAGCTGGGATGTGCAGTAGACCTTGGTATTTCTTTCCCCTTAGACTATCGCCCCACAGAGCCAGCAAAATTTGCCGATTCGAACTTCACGGTACCAACACGTTTGCAATCCAAGGTGTTGCGGTGAGCGGGCCAGGACCCCGTTTCACAGCAAGTAAAGTTATATGTATGCAAAGCACCACCACGAATCATACAGGAGCGGCAACCGCAAGGAAGGTCGGCATTTTGCGTTGATCTCCGTCAAAGACGTACACAAGCGAATGACACTTGGCACTCTCGCAACGTGCGCCGAGACTGGGACCAAACCGATCAATTCAAGGCAAATCCCAGCAATGCCAAATCCTAAGAACTGCACGGCGTGCACGATATTCCCGCTATTTGGCTGCAATGTCACTTGGACTGATCCCGGCATGAATACCGTAGCTTGCCCCGTCACACGGGACCTGAGCATCAACCAAGGACTGTCAAGCTTTACAACACGGGCCCAAGCTCCCTTTTCGAACGCCATCCCCACGTGCGTCGAGATCTTGATGCGCATTATCATTCACGGCCTTCTGATAGGTAGAGGGTTCCTACTACGCCAATGGCGGAGTAACGTTCCAAGCACTTAGCTCTACCTCGACGGAGGAAGACTGCATGTTTATATAGCGTGAACCTCATGCCTGTGCGACAGCGAGCCAAAGACTCTCAGGGTCCAGCCAACGTTGATCAGGTCAAAGATGGTGATGCTCAAGAGCTTTGCCCTGATGTGCTTTGGCTTCGCCAGCCTGGTGCGAGGTGACTCTCTGGCAAGCATTGACCATGTCGTACTGTTCATGCAGGAAAATCGAGCTTTCGACCACGTGAGTTTCGGTTGGGCGAATTGACGTCCATTCTTGCTAACATGCGAAGTATTTTGGCAGCATGGCTGGCGTCCGCGGATTTTCGGATCCCAACGTTCAAGTCAACCCAAATGGAAAGTCTGTTTGGTATCAGTATGTCAGCACGAATGCCAAAACTCCAGCACTGTCATTGACACAGCCATAGACAAGTCAACAGCAGCTTGACTAACGATACTGACTATCTCCTTCCCTGGTACCTCAACTATCTTGGAGATCATTGGCTGAACGCCACTCAATGCATGGATGCTGGTTCAAACGGTTACGAAGAGAACCACCTCGCCTACAACTTTGGGCTGAACGATCACTGGGCTCTGAACAACACACCGTGGAGTTGGGGCTACTACAAACGCAGCGACCTTCCAGTTCAATATGCTCTTGCAGAAGGCTGGACAATCGGCGACATGTACCAGGAGAGTGTCATTGCTTCAACCAACCCGAATCGTGTCACATGGGTCAGCGGGTCTATCAACGTCCCTGGCTCTCCGCAGAAAGCTGATCAAGGTGGTGTCTACATCGACAACCACGAAGTTCCGGGCTGTGAGTCCCCAGGCCTCAATTGCTACCCATTGTCATGGACCACCTGTCCCGAGATCTATCAGAAAGCGGGAGTGACCTGGCAAGTCTTTCAAGACTCCGACAACTTTGACGACAACCCACTTGCTTGGTTCCAACAGTTCCAAGAAGCCAAAAATGGCACCGTTCTGCAGGAGCGTGGCATGTCCTATCTTGGTCTGCAAGACTTTTATGACCGCGCCGCAAAAGGGACCCTTCCCATGATATCCTACATCATTGGTCCCACCGAACTTTCCGAGCATCCTCCTTACTCCCCCCACGATGGAGCTTGGCTACAACAACAAGTGGTCAATGCTGTCACCAAGGGTAAAAACTGGAACAGTACCGCCTTGATCATCAGCTACGACGAAACAGGTGGTTGGGGCGACCATGTTTCTCCGTACCATTCTCCCAACGGCACAGCTGGTGAATGGCTTCAAGATCCTTACGACCTGTTTGGCTACACTTTCTCCGGCCCAGGCTTCCGTCTTCCTTTCTACATCATCTCTCCATGGACCCGTGGTGGGCACGTGTTCACCGAAAAGGCTGACCACAATTCTCAAATCATGTTTGTCGAGAAATGGTTGGCCGCAAAAGGACACAATGTCGTGACCGACCAGATTCCAGCCTGGCGCCGCGCACACATGTCCGACCTGACGGCTGCGTTCGACTTTTCTTCACCAAACACGTCCGTGCCTCCCATCCCAGTGGCATCCACACCTCACAAGGACAAGACCGGTGTTTGGGACGGCTCTTCATATTGCGAGGCCCAATATGCCGTCCAGCGCCCACCTGTGCCGTATGCGAACCAGACGGAAGAGAAATCCCTCATCTCGGAAAAGGGGTTCAAAGCCGTCCGCGGCTATCTCACTGAAGGCCGCTTCTTGACGTTCGAAGCTTCCGGCTTCGCCTTGTCCAATCCGGGCAACAAAGCCACGAGGTTCGCCGCCTCGAAAGCCACACCCTCCCATTCAGATATTGCTCAACGTTGGGTCATACACGAGACTGCTACGGATAGCCGGCTTTACACGATCAGCAGTGCCGTAGACGGGCGATATATTGGCGCGCAGATGAAGCTGGTGGGCAAGGATGAGGCGCTCGTGCATAACATCACCTATCTCGGTGGTGGAAAGGGTTACAATCTGCGCAACAGCAAAGGCAGGTACATTACCATCAACAGCAAGGGGAACGTCGTCATGGCCGGAGCTGGACAAGGAATTTCCATTTATAGCGTGACTTGAGGGTCGTTTGGCCTCGACATGCAACTCCTTCCCCAGCACGCCCCATGGGATGCCTAAAGTCTCCTTGCCCCCTGTCAAAAGCACACGATGGCACTTTCTTCTTCTTCTGCGAGCAGGGACCTGCTATTATCATATTCTATCAGATTATGAGCACAAGCCAAGATGCGGTTATTCTCGGACTGTCTCTAAAACTCTTGCATTACCGCTGTGGCTTGCGATCATCGTGCTGTGCACAATGCCCATTCTATCTTTCGGACTACTACAATATATTGCCTGTGGTTATTCGCGCTGGTGCATATTCTATCTTCGATGCGCAGCCAAAGCGACCTGCGTCGGTGGCGCCTTATCGTGGTCGGCACGTTGGTTGCCCTTCTGGAGTGCATCTGCCAGACGCTGTGCGATCTCCTCATCGACTCTCCTCCACATTTCTGTTGCAGGTCATTGTCAATCATACAACTCAACCATGCCAGGTAATCTTGAGACTCGTGACTTACCGATCGTATCCTTCTGCACCTCCGGCAAAGCTTTACCAACATGTCCGGACAGGTTATGTAGGAATTCCTTGTCCTCGCCCGTGTCCTTGAAAATCTTCCACAGCATACGTGGCTGCTCGAAGTCTTCCTCGGTCACGTCGGAAGAATATGCTTGGACCCGGCCGACCCATTCGTCATGCGCGACATCCGCGGGACCACTTCTGATCTTGCGGAACGAGGAGCGAACTGTTTTACGTCGCGCGTGCGTGTGTCAGCCATGCTACCGGTCTTTTGCAAAATGAGGTAAATAATAAGGCGGCCGGTACTCACCATAATCCGGATCGGACCCGTAGTTCCCGTCCAACCTCATGGGACCGTCGCGTTGGTAGGGCGAGTACACTCTCAACGCCCGATTCGGGGGCAACTGCTGATAATTCGGTCCCACACGGTACCGCGCGGCGTCCGGGTAGCTGAACATTCGTGCGTGCAACATGGTGTCGGCGGAAGGACCGATGCCTGGGACCAGGTTGGACGGCGAAAAGGCGGCCTGCTCGATCTCCTGGAAGTGGTTCTCGGGGTTGCGATTCAAGGTCAACTTGCCGACGGGGATCAGCGGATAGTCCTCGTGCGGCCAGACCTTTGTGATGTCGAAGATGTTCCAGCGGTACGTCTCTGCGTCCTTGGGGTCCATAACCTGCAACGACATTGTCCATGTAGGGAAATTGCCTCGCTCGATCGCATTGAACATATCCTTGACGTGGTAGTCCGGTTCCTCGCCGGCTAGGCGCACCGCATCCTCCTGTGATAGGGTTTGGATGCCGGCGTCCGGTTTGAAATGGATCTTGACGTATTTGAAGCTGCCGTCCTTGGGCTTGCCAAACTTGAACGTGTGGTTGCCGAAGCCGTTGACGTTACGGAGGGAAGCGGGCACACCGCGTCCGCCGAAGAGCTGCATCAGACAATGCACTCCTTCCTGGTTGTGATTATGGAAGTCCCAGAACATACTTGCATCCGCGACCCCAGTCTGCGGGTGTCGTTTATGTGACCGGTTCAGGCTGGGGAATTTTATCGGATCCCTGATGAAGAAAACGGGCAGGTCGTTGCCTACGAAGTCCCAGTTACCTTCCTCGGTCTTGAATTTTAGCGCGAATCCTCGAATGTCTCTCGCCGTGTCGGAAGACCCCTTCTCTCCAGCAACGGTCGACAGCCGAGCTAGGACCTCCGTCTTCTTGCCAACTGTGCTGAGGAACGCTGCCGAACACCAATCCGTCACGTCATGGGTGCATTCGAATTCTCCCCAAGCCCCAGCGGCTTTCGCATGGACGACTCTGCCAAACACACGCGAACGTCAGTAGATTGTTCGACGGTGACTACTAGCACTGGACCTGTGCGGGCTGGTCGGGACAGGGCAGGTCAGTACCTTTCTGGAATCCTCTCCCGAGGGAAATGAGCCAAGGTCTCGATCAGTTGCGTATCCTCGAGCAAGGCGAGGCCGCCACCGCGAACCTTCGGTCCGCGCAGGACCACTGAAGAGGTTGGATCATTGACCGGCCTTCCCTCTGCGAGAGTGTAGACCGGAGGCTCCGTTGACTGCTCAGATGGTCAGGTACAGTATCCTTGTTGCCGGAGTAGGGATTGTCACGGAGAGCCACTTACATCTGACATGACGGGCTTGGTAGTCTTGGGGTTCCGCGCTTTCTGGATCAAAGTCTTTTTTCCCTCACACGAGTCAATATAGCCAGATTATGGGAATCCCCAAGTATGGTGTTTGAAAGTGGCGTAGGATCACTGATCCGGCTCAAGGTCATGATGAAATCAGAATGGAGTTTGCTTCCGGAAGCCACTTCCCTCTGCAGACAGTGTACCAAAGGATGTACGATAAAAACGCCATGACGCGAGTGCGACATTGCTCGGACTTGCCGACCACTTACACAACATCGAACAACGCGCAGTCATGACATGGAGAGGCCGAGGCTGAAGCTGAGGCTAAGCTCAGTGAGTACCCTGCCGGCCAAGGAGAGGATACAATACAAAAGAGAAATTGAACCGACACGTGACTGGTAAACGAAAATATACACCTAGATATCCACCGTTGCTGGCTGATCAAAATGAAGGCGGTCAGCCGAATTGGGCAGGTAAAATTACCTGATATGGCAGTATGCGGCAGTAAGAACTACAAGTAGGTAATGAAGTTAACTTAACTTACCTGGCACCTAGTAACCAGCGAGCACAATAAGGGACTATGAAGGAACGAGTCACGTGAGCCGTCAAGATTGAAGCGTTCCGGGGGACATGGGAGGCTGTGGCGAACACGGGCAATATTCGTAAATACGTTAGTAACAGCTCCCTAGGTGGCTCCAGCATCCATCCAGTACAATCGATAGCGACAACGCCAGTCGGTGCTATTGTCGATAGGACTCTCCTTCTCTTGTTCTTTCAACCTATGTACCCATCCTGTTACCCTGCCCTCAACACTAAGCAGACACCACCTTCTACCGCCAGCACTCCTTCTCTTTCTCCTCGACCACCTAAACAGTCGCCGCCCCCTTCTTCATCAACTCCGCCACGAGATTCCAATACTCCACCCGACTGCGTTCCCGAAACTTCTTTCCCCAGACAATCATGATGAGAAAGGCACTACTCGCGGCCATGCCAATGAACGCGGCACTGACAAAACAATTCTGCAGGCCCAGATTCTCTACCCAGGGGGTAATTCCATACCCGATCGCGAAACTCATCGTGTTCCGCACAATGATGACCGTCGTCATCGCATCGCCGCTGATTTCATGATATGTATCGATCAGATAATTCACGCTCAACGTGATACCAAACACGTTGCACGCCGCTAGCGCGCCCATGGCTATCACAAGACCTGACCAGTGCACATGGTGCGCCGCGCCGACCCCCCAAAGGATCAGCGTCGCCGGGACAAGCACGACGCACAGTGCGAACGGCCACAACCGCTGCTCAGGCTCCATGATCCCGCCATTCCGTCGGGCCAATTTTAGCGTCAACCAGTCGCTCAGGCGGCCGGTCAAGTACGACCCCACGATCACGCCGAGACAAGTGGAAACGTAGCTCAGGCCGACCATCGAGGCTTTGAAGTTGTATGGCGGTGCGGAGAGGATAAGGCTGGCTGTTGCGTTAAGGACGTTGAACCAGATCTACCGTAGTGTCGACATCAGCACCCATCCAACGTACAATGACTGGTGTGACTTACAAGGTAGCTCCCATAGCTAAACCCAGCGTAGAATATCACGGGCCACCGCATATACTTGAGCGACAGGCTGGCTCTCCCGACGACGTCTTGGCCTGGCGAGGGCTGCCAGAGGGACAATTTCTGCAAGAACGACTTGTTACTGCCGGTCTGAATCCTTCCCTTCTCGATACTGGCTAGATCGGGCTCTCCTGTAACAGTGGCCTTCTTCTCGGCAACAACCTTCTCATCGTTCGGCTCAGTGAGAACCGGGCTCTGTGCCCCGCTCTCAATCTCCACGATACCAACAGTCGACCGTCGGTAATTCGTCTCCTCCATGAAGAAGAAGCAGAAGACCAGCGCACAGCCGAGGAACATGGCGGGAAAGTAAAACACCCATTTCCAGTCCATGCCGTCTGCAATGAAGCCGCAGATGACCGGGGCGAAGTAGTTGCTTCCGGCCAAGAAGAGTGCATAGATACCCATGTAGGTTCCTCTTTCGTGCGTGAAGTACTATGAGGCTAAATTAGCATACGGGATAAACGTCCGTGATGCGGATTGGACCATACCACATCGGTCACCGATATTTCAGGTAGTGCTTCAATCGGAGCAGCGAAGAAACCATTGACGATGTTCTTCGCGATCCACATGCCGTCGCTGCGAGCGTAGGGACTGCCTGCCATCAGTATCAGATTGGAATAAATGGGGCGAGAACTTACCCCCATAGTGTACATCCAATGCAACCGACAATGGAGAGAAGATATGTCAACCGCTTGCCGTAACGAAGAGCAAATGGCTGCCAGAAGAGGAGTCCCCAACCTGTTCTACTCAATCAAATGACCCAAAACATTAGATGTGATAATGCATACCACATAGTAAAAACAAATACCCTGATCACGTCCATTAGCATGCTCGCCGTCTTGGGTCCCCTGCGCTTTGTAGTCATGACTGACCTGTGCCCTGGTTCAGAGTGCTGATCGATACACCCGAAGCCTCAGAAAGCGGGACAATGACGGAGTAGACGACAGATCCGGAGATACCGACGAACAGGGTATATCTGAGACGTATTAGCAGCGCAATAGCAGCCGGAAAGACAACATACACGTTGACCGAGATGGTGGACAGAAGTTTGCGTTTCGGCGACCAGTTCAGGGGATCATCTGGATCATCCGATGGAGTGGGCACAAGGACGACATCGCCTGTGCCGCCAGCATGGCGGGTGTGCATACTATGCTCCAGATCGACCAGATGGACGGTCCCAGGGACGCTGTCGACCGGAAGATTGTAGGCAGCCATGTCGAGAAGGTGGGCTCCTACCAGAGAGGAGATTCAACAGATGGAGAAACAGGAGATGGACTCTGGTTTCAAAGACCACAAAATGCAGGAACTCACATTCAGATATTTATGTCGGCGCACATCACCGCAGAACAGGCTCGACTCGGCGTCCGCATTCCGGCTTCAAGGGAAGATACCATACTCTCGTTGGTCTTTGATAGCCGCAAGATAGCATGTAAACACACGCTAAGCAGAGAACCCAGTAAGAAGCTTGAATGAAGATAAGCTACCAGCGTGCAGACTCGCAGCATGGTAAGGAGTGGAAACAACGGGCAACATCTTCAAACGAGCCAGACAATCGCTGTGATGCATAGGCTAAAGCACCAATGCACTCGTGCTGCCATGCAAGATAAAAGGATGCACATCAAGATATCTCAATATGGTAAGAGAGTTGCCACTTATCTGGACAGTGTCCGCCCCTTTGACGGCGTTATCGTATATAATTGGCTCGCAGATGACCTGCTGGTGGGCCAGGGTCGATGCGTCGGAGGTGTCCACAAGCTTGTCTTCACGTCGCGCAATTCCGCTCGATTGGCATCTTCTTTGATCTATGGCTAACCGAGGCCAAATGGGTAGCAAGGAACGGTTCCGTCCGCACGTCTGGTCCGCGAAGCTGGGATGTTTGCAAGATAAACGATCTCTGGTTGTGAAGATGTCGCGGAGAAGCGGCATGCCCAGTAGCTGCTTAGGCCGACATCCATAACATTACTGGACAGTTTCATCGAAAAACCGCCTAAAGACTCGGAAAACAAATGACTGATGTCTTGCCAAGGGCCACCTACCGCTAGTTGCGGGGTACGAAATTTAGACCAAGGTATAAGTGTAAGTGTCTGTCCGAGAAAGGCAGCTCAGAGCACAGATTCAATTGAGCGTTCGATCGTCTCGTGCCGACACAATGGTCCAAGATTGGAGAGAAATTGTCGCAAAGAAGCGCGCCGAGGTTGCGAAGCAACTACCGCAAGAATGGCGACTCCCTCAGACTATCTTGGGCGAGATCAACGCCAATGCCGATATTGGTGTCCTCGACATCCCTGCCAAATCTGGCGTGTTGACTTCTAAGGAGGTGGAAATCACAGAGAAGTATGATGCGGTCGACCTTGTTGCTAAGATGGCCGCCAAAGAGCTGTCGTCCTCGGAAGTCACTCTCGCATTTTGCAAGAGAGCTGCTGTTGCTCACCAAGTGGTCAGGGTCTCCACTGCTGGCTCAAGCGTATCTCTGCTGATGTGACCAGATCAACTGCTTGACGGAGATGTTCTTCGATCAGGCTCTCGAGAGAGCCAAACATCTGGATGAGTATCTGGAGAAGGAGGGCAAACCCATGGGTCCACTGCACGGCATGCCCATAAGCCTGAAGGTAGTTCCCGACCCCGAAACACCAATACATTGACTGACAAGGCATACTTTTTGCAGGACTCGTTCATGGTGAAAGGAATCCACTCGACTATTGGATATGTTTCTTTCATTGAAAGGCCTCCGGCTGAGGTCAACTCTCCCCTAGTCAATATTCTGCTCCAAAATGGTGCGGTACTATACGTCAAGACCAACATTCCACAGACATTGATGGTGAGTGACATTGCCGAGTATGAAAGGGGCTAGGTGACCTGCGAAGTCAAAGTCGTCATCTGCAGGAGATTAAGCCGATTCCATCAAGGACGTTCGTGCAGTAGACTGACATTTCCATTCCGCAGACGGCAGACTCGGAGAACAATGTCTTTGGCCGGGTACTTGTAGGTGCAACTTCGCCAGAAGCTGAGAATGGATATCTGACCTTCTTCAGAATCCCCACAAGCTCAAACTCAACGCTGGAGGTAGCAGCGGCGGAGAAGGGGCTCTTGTGGGTATGCGTGGGTCGATCCTGGGTGTAGGGACTGATATCGGAGGCTCGATCCGAATACCTGCAGTGTGCTGTGGCACCTACGGCTTCAAGCCGTCTGTTGGTCGGATGCCTTATGGAGGTCAAGCAAATCCGTCCTTGGATGGCTGGACAGGTATCATGCCAGTTGCGGGACCACTGGCGCAGAGTCCTCGGGATTTGCGGCTTTTCCTGGAGGCGGTCATTAAGTCAAAACCATGGGACTTTGACTATGCAGCCCTCGCAATGCCATGGCATTCGGTTCCAGAGAAGAAGACGCTTACCATTGGCGTCATCCTTGAATGTCCTACCTGGCCAGTGACACCTCCTATCATGCGAGCCATGAGAACAGCCACAGAGAAGCTCAAGCAGGCAGGACATAACATTGTCATGCTTGGGAACTTCCCTTCCTTCAAGGAGGCAACGGAGTTGTCGTGGCAGTTTTTCGATATCGACAATGAGTGCACGGGATTCAAGCATATTGATGCATCTGGAGAGCCATGGGTGAAGTCTGTGGCCGACATGTATACTCCGCCGCCAGAAGGTAGAAAGATCAAGACGCTGCGGGATCTCTTCGACATGAATGCAAAGCAGCTCGATTTCCGCCGCGGTTGGTTAAACATATTCATGGGCAACAGTTTGGACGTCATTCTTGCACCGGGCGCCCACACGACTGCAGTTCCTCATGACACTTTCCGGCTTCCACCATATACCGTCATGTGGAATCTTCTTGCGGTAAGTGCGGGTTGGCCGAGGTGTGAAAGGAATCAGATTGCTGACCTCGTTTGAAGTATCCTGCTTGCATCATTCCATACTTGAAGGCCGACAAGAGCATTGACATGCCTGATGCAAGGACTCCAGATTGTAAGTATTTCGCAAGTTGATAAGGCATGGCGCATCATTCACGCTGACTTATTCCAGACGATCCTGAAGTTGTGGATGGTGCTCCGTGCAACGTTCAGATAATTGCCAGGTCGGAGCAAGACGAAGAGCTAATGGCTGCTGTAGAAATTGTTGCCAAGGTTCTCGAGGTTTGATGTAGATTTATAGGTGGGCGTAAAGCGTGAATAGGTGCCCTGAAATGCCTTATATTTCCCGGTGCTGGAGTCACCCACAGCTTGATGCAATGGGAATTATTTCCGCGCAATATAAAGTCAAATTCTGAGGGCAAGACCCCGGTGAAACCCTCCTCCTTCAGATGCAGGCGTTCTCGGTTCCGCGGGCGGGGTGGGGATTGATTGGTGCACTGAGAAAGCGAATCTTTATGGTCAAGTCCGGCTGAACTCGACCTTATCATCGTGATAACGTTCCCCTCGCCTCGACCTCAAACTGCCAGAAGGCTTTATTCAGTTCCTACCGCCACATAGACTCTCCCTTAGGAGACCTTTATGTCGGCTGGCATCATCGAATGTCTAGCGAATGACATGTCTGTACACTCCACAACTGAATCGGTGTAGTTATGGTTGGGACTCTCCGCACAAAGACTGGATGCTGGACTTGTGAGTTCCCACTTGGCTTCAGAGCGATGACAGAGCTGACAATGGAAATTGTAGGCAGAGCCAGACGGAAAAAATGCGACGAACAAAGCCCGAGCTGCGGGAAGTGTGTCAAATCGAAAAGAGTCTGCTCGTGGCCTGGGAAGGATGACCTGTTGGATCGTAGACACCAGCGGGCTTTCAAGTCACCAAACCCACCGTTGAAACGTCCAGCGGCTGTTCCAGTGCAGCGCAGGCCTCTGCTGGTGTCGGAGTTGTCTTCTGTAGGCAAAGCATCGCCATTCTTCGTCTGCCGAGAAGTCTCCATCAACACGGACCTGTTTAATTCAGACAAGTTCACATCGGATCTTGAGGTCGATTGTTTTCGACATTTTCTCGAGGAATTTTTGCCGTTGTTGCTCCTTTCTTCCGCACATCCTGGATTTCAATCGGCATATATTCCAGAAGTGGTTCATATGTTGCTTGAATTCGACGGTTTGAGGGATGTGGCATTGGCTTGTGGTGCTTCGCATTTGCACGTGTCTACAGCCAACCTTCAAATGCACGAAGCCGGGATCATGTATTACTCTCGCGCGGTTTCCAAGGTCAATCAAGTACTCGGCAACATCGATTGGAGCCGCGATCGGTACAATGATGCGATCCTGATTTGCATCACTTTTCTGTATATCCACGGGGTGAGCCTGCCTTGTTCGAGCGGTCGGGAGTTGTTGATCGACATCAGCGTCACTGACTATGTTGTATATCAGGTTTTCGCCATCGGCACTAACCAGGATATTCCGAAACATGTGAATGGTGCCATTCAATTGATGAAGCTTCGTTGTGCCAAATCGCAGTCGTCCCCTCTAGCACGGCCAATCCATCGAATCATCTGGGAATCAATACTATACCAGGTGTTCCGTCAGACTGTCCGGCACCCCTTTGCAGTGGACTTCCAGCCGGACTTTGATTTTGTAGCAAGAGCGGAGGGCATCCTGCAAGCGCTGACGTTTCCGGATGGTTCGCAGGCAGACAACAGCCCGGTTATCGGTTTTCCGCTGAGCCTCCAGAAGTTCATCATTGCAATTGTTCAGCTTTGCAAACGCCCTTTCGAGCCCGATCGACATGGGCTCCACAAGCTCCATGAAGAAATGGAATATTGGGAGGGGTCCATACTCCAGCAAGGCCACTGCATCAAGCAGGAAGGCCACGGCAGCTCAACGTGGACGCCATCGGAACGAGCCCGACTGTTTCAGCAGCACTCAACGAGCTTGCATATTCTTGCAGCGTCTCTCCTTCTTGACTGGGTCTCCAGGTCTCAGGAAGTTCCTCACAAATCCAGAACGAATTTACCTCCTCCCAATAATTCCTGGCAAGTCAGCAGAGCTTTGCAGATTATGCGATGTCCACAAGCCAGTGAGGATTGGTCGAGGTGCTATCTCGGGTCATGGCCAGCATTGATCTTTGGCTATGCTGTTGGCACGCCTGAGAACGTCGCCTTGATTCGCTGGGACCTTGAGCAAAGATTTCGGAAGCTCTACTCTGTAGAGGAATTGGAGTTTCTCAGTGAATTGGAATCCATCTGGCGTACCAGAGGGATCTCATCCCGTGGACATAGTAGCTCGACCGGAAGCGAGTGCGAATGACTTCAATGCTGTAAATAACGATTACATCAGTGCGCGGAGTCCGTGTGCCATAGCAGAAACGTAACCGCCAAAAGGCACCCATTATCGTATCGTATACTGTATCGCTTTGAGTAATCAAGACCTGCTAAACCGAGAAAGGAGCGTGCCGCTTTAAACGGAAGCTTTGTAAGCATAAAATGGCGAGAATCCAAGACTAACACCTGCTACTTCGAGGCATGCTGACATCCAATAACCCCCTTACAGCCCCGGACTTTGCTTCAAGAATACTTGCCAATTTATATCACTGTCGAAATGGCAGGTGACAGTGTCCGGCATTTGGAATCTCCGCCCTTTTGGCCTGCTCGAAATCGACGTCGGACTGCCGTGACCACCTCTCGTGAAGCCGTATAAAATGTCCTTCCAGGGTTTCTGGACTTGACACTGAACATTCTCAGGTAGGCCGATTACCCTGAAACACAATCTTGAAGGAGCTTTCGGTCGCTTTCTCTATGGTAGAATTCATTGCTGAGACAAAGTATCGCCGCAGCCATCGGCCAGTACGACTCTCTTCACGACCTAGATACAAACCAAATCGTCTGCAATCACCCCCAAAGATGGCCTTCTTTCAGACTTCAGACTGGCATGAGGGTGAGAAGGCCATTCACAAACGTACCCACGTCGAGTACAATGACAACCCGACCAGCCCATTCCTCTACCCACGGGCAGCCAACCAGGTCGCCCGCTACCCGCTCATGGCCTTCGGCGTGCTCGACGAGAACGATAGACCATGGTGCACTGTCTGGGGCTCAGGCGAACCTCCCATCGCCCAAGCCATAGGCCAAAGTGTCCTCGGTATCCGCGCAACCGTCGATGCAAGTTTCGATCCGGTCGTCCAGACCATCTACAAGGGCAAGGATGACGGCGAAGTCCTACATGAAGAAGGCCAGAGCAGACTCATGAGCGGCCTGAGCATCAGTCTCGAAGAACGAGGCCGCGTCAAACTAGCCGGAAACATCATCGCCGGCTCTCTGAATGCCACAACTCCATCTGAAGAAGGCTCCAGAGACTCCGACGACACAGGCAAATCCGGTCAAATTCAACTCGTGGCCCAAATCACCCAAACCCTACCGAACTGTCCCAAATACCTCAATAAGAAGCGGATCGTCTCATCCACCCCAGAACCGCGCCTCCTCTCGAAATCACACCATCTCTCTGAGGCAGCCGTGGACATAATCCACAAAGCCGACCTATTCTTCGTCACCTCCGCCCATGCCCACGAAGACATGGACTGCAATCACCGCGGTGGTCCGCCCGGCTTCGTGCGCGTCCAACAACCCAACGAGTCCTCCGCACCAAGTACGATAGTGTGGCCCGAGTACAGCGGTAACAACCTGTACCAAACGCTCGGCAACCTGGAGACAACACCGCGGGCAGGATTAGTGTTCCCAGACTTCGAAACCGGCTCCGTGCTCTATGTGACTGGCGACACCGAGACCTTAGTCGGCCCCGAAGCCGCCTCCATCATTGCAAAGTCAAATCTCGCCGTGCGCCTGACTATCACTGATGCACGACTTGTCGAAAATGGCTTGCCCTTCCGGGGTATACCAACAGACGATGCCACCCAGGGCCGCTCGCCGTACAATCCGCGCGTACGTTACCTCACGACCGAAAAGGCCGATGCATTATCAAAGTCGGCCAACGACGAGCCTCCGACGACGGCGCAGCTCGTGGGTAAAACCAAATTGGCACCTAGTATCACGCGCTACCGCTTCGCGCTGTCTGACCCTGCGACGTTCGGGCTGTGGAAGCCAGGACAATATGTCGCAGTGGACCTGAACGCTGAGTTGAACATGGGATACAGCCACATGCGTGACGATGACCCAACGAGCCTGAATGACGATTTTATACGAACCTTCACTGTCTCCTCGGTGCCCAACACGTTAGGGGTCCATGGCGAGGAGTTTGAGATCACAGTCCGACGTGTCGGGAATGCCACGGCGTGGCTCGAGCATCAGCGCGCCGGAATGTGTGAGATCGGCATCAGAGGGTTCGGCGGCGAGTTCTCATTCGACCAGGCCGATGGGAAGCGTGTTGGCTTCGTGGCCGCGGGAATCGGCATCACGCCGTTGTTGGGCCAAATGGGCGGTCTGGACCTGTCGAGGCTGAAGATCTGGTGGAGTGTAGGGATTCGTGATGTGGGATTGCCGCTGGATATCCTCAGCCAGTATCCTGAGCTCAAGTCTTGCTTGACGCTGTATCTGACCCGTGATGAGGCCTTGCTGGGCAGCGAAGAAGAGAAGGGCAAGCTCCAACAGCTCGTCAATTCGGGGGCGATGGTCAAGAGACGGAGGATCCAGCAGTCGGATCTGAGTGACGCAGAGAAGGGTGTGGATCATTGGTATCTCTGCACGGCGCCGGCGATGAGGAAGATCATTCAGCAATGGATGCCTGGGAAGTCCTTTGTCTTTGAGAATTTTGACTACTGACGTGGTATGACATGATGCGGTGTTCTCAGGAGCGTGCACTTGTAGTGTTCGCTATTGATCCGCGCAAACACCGCCCTATATACTCCGTTTGTACCGGCAGGACCAGTGAATGCCTGGCCGTCGGTAACCTTCATATATCAAAGACACCCAATTGTCTTCAACAATTCCTCATCGGTGTCTGGTCAAACTAGCATTCGGTTAGGGGCGTACTAGTGACGAATTGTTGTCGACATTAACCACCAACAACGCAAAATTCATCCGGGTTCGACTCTCACTGTTGGCTATAGTATGTCACATGATACTCTCTCTCTCTCTCTCAACTAGAAGGCTGCTTTGCGTCAGATGTGGGGAGGGTGATTCTGGGGGGTATGAGAGCGCAGCGCGGACAAGAAAAAGGTGGACTAGCGCTGGTAGGAGTATACAATTGGGATTCAACGGGATTTATCAATTTCAACAACTACGACCATCAACACCACTGGATCCGGATTCGGATCGAGAAAAACCACCTAACCCACTAGGGAGTTTCCCTCACCAGCCACCTTCTAGGAACATCGGTTCCTAGGAGCTGGCTGGCAGAGTTTTTGCCTTTTTGTCTTACCACTCACTACTACTCTGTACCCTCCTCCTTTTTCACTCGGTTATCTAGTGCATAGACCTCAAAAATCCTCGCACTTCGTCACGAAAAAAGCTACGACTTCTGTATGCATTCCATCATGTTAGCCGCATCTCTGCCATTCTTCTCGAGCCTCTCTTAGAAGGGTCCTAAAAGGCCCTTTGCTGTGCACAGGAGTGTGTTACGTACCATAAGGATGCGCCTCCCTTAACTTGTCCACGGCGTTGCGCACTCTCGCCGTCCCTACAACGACCATCTCCACCCGATCCTCCTGCACATACTCCACCACCCCGGATTTGCCGATATGCGGATCGGCATGCACGCTCGGTTTAAACTGGCCCGTGCCGGAACTGATAAAGCAAGTCTCCGTATACTTGGGCGGAGCCTCAGCAACGTGTCCTGGCCCGTTCGGCCATGTGCCCGCGCCCGTGGACCAGACCGCCTCCAGCACGGACTTTGTCGAAGGCGTCGGGACGTAGAACGTCATTTTATACAGCGTCTTGTCGTCGTCCTGCGGTGATGGTGCTGACATGTTTTGCGACGCGTTCGGGCGCAAGCGGCGTAAGAGGCGTTCGTCTTGCCGCTCTTGTAGGCTGGCGACGTAAAATGACCCTTCAGGGATCCGTAAGTTCTAACGAGGTGAGTGGGTGGACCTGCTTTGATCTGCGATATGCGGAGAATGATGGGACGAAGAAACGTACGGGGCATGGGACAATGGATTCGGCCTTGCACACGGGAGGTCGTCCAGAGGGTTGAGTTCGAGAGAATGGTGTGGTCGTGTTAAAAAGAGCCAACCTATGTGAAGTGGAGACAGCTTGATCGACCAAATGCGCTTTTGGCTCTACTTGGACGGTTTCGCCGGTCAATGTCGAACGACATCGAGTCTCACACGAGGCCAATCACTTAGACAAAGAAAAGCTCTGTTTCAGCGTGGGGTATCTCTTGAGCTATGTAGAATGAAGACGCCGTACCAGCTATTCGTCAATGCAAGCTAGAATAATGCTAGACCAAATATGCACCACGTCCTGTGAAGGTGGCCTCGCTCTGCTAAAGTTCCGACTCGACTGAAGAGGTACGAATCTGCACAGCTGTTGTAATCAAACTAGAGCTCAATCAAGCTTTCTTCTACAGCGACACGCTGCGGCTGATGCTCTTGTGATACGGACTGCTGTTGTGGGTATCCTGGCGTATGTTGCGGCGCAGAAGGGAATTGATCTTGGCTGTAGCTAGGATATGCAGGGTATGAAGATGGCAGGGATTGCTGCGGAGGTGCCTGTTGTGGTTGCTGTTGAGGTGGGTATTGCTGAGCCTGATTTTGATGATAGCTTTGAGGCTGCGGTTGTGGTTGCTGTTGCGGATAAGGTGGTTGTTGTGACTGAGGTGGATATTGTGATTGAGGAGGTGGAGCTTCTTGCATTTGCGAATGCGGCGTGGGAGTTTGCTGAGGATCAGGCGGCGGTAATTGAGGGTATGCAGATGGTGGCTGTGAGGATTGAGGTGGGTATTGTTGATGGTACATCTGAGGAGACGACGGTTGATTGTATTGTGGAGCTGGCTGCTGCTGTGGCTGGTTTTGATATGGGTACGATGAAGCTTGGGTCTCTTGCTTCTGACTCGAGTAAGAGTATGATCGTTGAGGTTGTGGCATTGGTGTTTGTTGTGGAGGCGGAGCATATGACTCGGCTGGCGCATTGCTGAAGTAATAGTTCTCTGCTCCTCCAGGCCCAGCACTCATGGGAGGAGGCGGACCTGTTGATATTGATGGATACATTCCAGAAGCTTGAGGTGCAGCAGGTGATGGCATGCCATAGCCCGGGTAGCCCGGGTTCCTCTGGTTGTAGGTGTTGTTCAATCGCTCTTCAAGCATGCGATCATAATAGCGGACAACGGTGGATAGCTTGGAATGCAGGTCAAGCAGGGCATCATTTTTGGACATTGTCTCTCCCAACGTCCGGGCCAACTTTGGTCGGAGTTTGCCGATGCTTTCATATAGCTCTTGGATCTGTGGTTCACGTAGGATTGTGCCTGGTGGCTGATGTTGTAGCCGGTCTACGAGGGTCGAGAACAAGTTGATGTTTTCCGCTTCCATCACTGACAGCTCATAGTCGTTCTTAGGCATGACAAATGGTTGCGTTGAGCTTGCTCCGTCAGCTGCAGATTTTTTGATTGACGCTGCGTGCTTCTTGGCCTGTTCTTCGGCTTCTTTGAGAGACAATGCAATCGCGGCTTTCAAGTCTGGATCGTCCTCTTCCTCGTTGGAAACGCCATTTGTCTTCGCCGGCTCTGGCTTCGATTGTGGCTGCGGAACATAACCAGAGCTTGAAATTCCCTTGGCCTCCTCCAAACTCATCTCCAAAGCTCTTTTCAAGTCTTGGTCGAAACTGCTCGTCTCTACTCTTGCACTTCGTGGTTGCATCGTACTAGGTTTCGGTGCGAAGGATACTCGACGTTCGGAACCACCTGACTTCTTGGTCAGTTTGTCGTAACAACCATCGTCAACTCGGACGGGCTGCATGATGCCTAGGTGTGGGAGAGGAATCGACTTGGAGGAGCATTGCTGGTCGAAGACATTGCCGCAATTTCGGCAATGGTGCTTGCGATTTGTGAAGGTAAAGGCCGTTCGACAGCGCATGCATACATCACTGTCGGACCACTCTGGAGGTGCGCTGCTATCCACCATACTGCTTGCGATCTCCGTCTTAGGAGGAAACAGGAATCCTTCTCTCTGCAGACTCTTGTAGACCTCGTTGATGTATGACAGCTCGTATCGACCTTGTGTAGCACTAGCCCAGGTCTGGATCACCTCGAGGATCTTTGTCTTGACGTCGTCGTTGACCGCTGCGACCCCGTACGCTTTCAACAACGAGACGAGATTGTCCATAAACTCTCGGGAGGCAATCTCTGTCAGGAAATGTGACCCTCCATTCTTGACGCAGGTATCGGTGAGCTTCAAGGCCGAGATTTGCACATTGGGATTCTTGTTGCCTATCCGCCTCTTCAATGACCGCATGGCATCTTTAGGCTGCACTGTTTTGGATCGGATGAGGTCGGAGATTTCGAGGCTCGTGGCGATGTCTTCCAAGCTGGAGGAGGTGGCCTTCTCAATCTGCTCATCCAAGGCAGAAGTGCCTGAAGTAAACCATCCAGCCATGGCTTTGGTTGTGCCGCAGACGGGCGTAGAGATGGGTAAGACTGGAGAGGAGGGGTCAGAGCCGCAGTTTTCTTCGGTATGACGGACGCAATCAGGATACTGTGACTACGGGGACTCAGCGGAGAGAGCAACGACCTGTTGTAGACAGTGAATGTGAATTACTGGTTTGCAGTGGTGTACAAACATTATGCAGGAGCAGGTTGAATAACAAAAGCCGGCAAGGCTCCCCACAAGGCTGCTCGGTGCTTCACGTAAGAGGGTGCCTGCGTCAAGCGGCGGGATGAAACTCCAGGTCACCGACATGGGATCTGGGCATTTCTGGGGTGGCGCTCTTGCTACTCTCTGCGGCTGGTTTGATCAGCGCATGGAATCTACTCGTAGTCGATTACTACACACCACCTGTCTGCAAATCCTCCTCGTTTACTCCATACCAGCCCAGATCTCCTACTCACTCGCTTCCAGTCAGCTCGATCTCAGCTGTGGACTTCCTCTCCCATCACCTTGCCAGCGCTCAATCTTCAACGCGGAGCCCGCCCACCTGCACCACCGAGGCCGGTACCGAAGAGATCACGCCTTGCGGGACTTTTCTCATGGCCACTTGCGCAATGATCCTCCGGTAATATACTTCAAACAGCGCCATGGCGGCGTATGCTTCTTCCTCACCATTCGGGAGTCACTCCACTTCGACCTCTGCCAACACAATACCCTCATCGAGATCGAGTTGGACCGAACCAAATATCTCGAAGCCTGGACCTGGTTCCGAAAGAGTGTTTCCACATATCAAGGACATCATACAAGACGCAACGACCTCGTTTCAACCAGATGATTCGCTTACTCATTCTCTCAATGAGGTTGAAACTTGTATTGCAACTGCGAAGGCCTCGGTCGACTTTCGGCGGCCTGATGTGGCATACAAGAACTATCTACGGGCTTACGAGATCGCTGTCCAGCGCATACCAAAGCACAGAGAGTACGGGTTTTGGGATAACAATCAAACTTGGAGTACGAAGTACAAGACTGCACTGCGAAGGATTAACGAATTGCAAAGTCAGATGGCACAAGTGAGGGAAGTCATTGAAGAGAACAACAGACGACATGGAACACAGCCACGCACGGTCTCGAGAAAACCAGTATATTCTACTGGGTTTGGTGTGCCTCCGGCACTAGCCCCTGGCCGAGGTCGACCTCCGTCCTCTGAGAACGAGAATAGGTCCAACATCGAGCAGTCGTCTCCTCACCCATCAGCCGATCTTCCTGATGCGTTGCGCATACCGCGAGCACGTCCATCGAGTAAGCCGCACAAACCAGAGAGTCTCCAAGGACGATCTCTCAGTGAACACCAGTCCAATGATCTGAGTCAGCGCTTTGCTCGGTTGAGAGGTCCAGGAAATACCCATGAAGATGCGACAGTCCTCGCCATGCCTAAAGCAACCGATTTCCAGCTAGGCCTTTCGAATCCCCCCAGGCCACAATCGTATACACCATACACTAATCCAAACATCAATGGGGTGTCCAATCACCGATTAAACGGGCCTCGGGACATGCCAGGCTTTGGGAATGCCCCATCGCTTCCGCCGAAGGTGCCTCTTACTACCGACATGGTCATGCCAAAACCACCGAGCCCGACGTACAGCCCAATCACGACTACTCCTATTGCCTCCCATGCTGGTGGCAACCGCTTGTCAGCCGAAGGTGGCCGCCCGCCTTCGGAGAGAAAGCAAACTTACTATAATCAGTCGCAAAACTCATCAGCAACTTCGCTACACCTGCAAAGAACACGCGATGACATTTTGTCTCCCTATAGACCAACCACTCCTAATGGAATAAATACAGCCATTATCGCCAAGAGTAGCTCCAGCGAGATCCCTCACAAACCTTCAATAGACGCTTCAACCTTGGTCGAGTACATGAAGAAATATAATGTGCTTTTGTTCGATATTCGGGAGAGAGTGCTCTTTGATGATGGTCATATCATGTCGAGTTCAATCATATGCATCGAACCCATCTCGCTCAAAGAGGGTGTGTCGGCGGAAGAACTAGAGGAACGACTTGTACTGGCTCCTGACATTGAACAATCACATTTCTCCCGGAGAAACGACTTCGACATTGTTGTGTATTATGATCAGGACACGAGCGACATTTCTTACTTGAGGGGACCACCGTCCATGACAAGGGCTCCTGCACTAAGAGCACTCTACGACACACTTTACGAATTCAACGACACAAAGCCGCTGAAAGACGGGCGACCACCAGCTTTGTTAGCCGGTGGTATCGACGCGTGGATCGATTACATGGGTACCCATTCTCTTGCGCGGTCAAAGACTGCTGCTACACTTGGCACCACACAAAGAAGACGTGCGGTCGGTAGTCCTGGTCGACCCATTGCACGACAGCGCCTGGTCTCTGCCAATTCACGTTATGAAGTCCGCAACAGACGTCTTCGCGACCACAAATTTCTCGACGAAAGCGAGCAAGAAGCTTGGCGGCAACAGGCTCTACAGGAAGAAGTCGCACCAACTGAGAAACCCGAAACGTCAAGCGATGAAGAGTATCCTGCAGTGGAAGAAGAGCCACCACCGCCGTCACCATTTGTTCCTGACTATGAGACCTTCCTCCGTCGCTTCCCGTCAATAAAGCAGCAGCAGTCCATGATCATGCCTGCACGACGACCTATGCCTTTGCATCCCGCAGCACAACTGCCTCCAGCTGCTGTACATCAGGTCCCGGCAAGACCCCCTCCCGCAATCCCGCGACCGAGTTATTCCGGCCAAGCTGATATTAATGCACCACAACCAGCCCTTGCAAGAGTGACTTCCGCAAGCCGGCCACCGCTATACTCATCAGCGACCTCTGTCCGTAATAAGCGGCTCCCGAAGACTGGTCTAACCAATTTCGGTGTCACATGTTACATGAATTCAACTCTCCAATGCCTGTCTGCGACAACTCCATTGTCTTCCTTCTTCAATGATAGAATGTACGAAGGATATGTCCAACGAAACTGGAAAGGCAGCAATGGCATCATGCCCAAGCTATACGCCAACCTAATCCAAGCAGTCTGGCAGGGCGACAACGAAGTCATTAAGCCCTCCACATTCAGGAACTTCTGCGGCCGCATGAATCGCGAGTGGGTGATCGACCGACAACAAGACGCCAAAGAATTCTTTGACTTCCTAGTCGACTGTCTTCACGAAGATCTGAACGTCAACTGGGAACGCACGCCCCTCCGCCCACTCACCACAGCCGAAGAGATGCAGCGAGAACGCATGGACATTTCCCAAGCCAGCCCAATCGAATGGAAGCGCTATGAGCACCGAGATCACAGTTTCCTGTCGTCCCTGTTTGCGGGCCAACATGCTTCCCGCCTCCGCTGCCTGACATGTAAGCGTACATCGACTACGTACGAAGCATTCTACAGCATCAGCATCGAAATCCCTCGCTCCGGCTCCGGGCATATCTACGACTGTCTGAACAGCTACTGCCGCGAGGAGAAACTGTCGGAGCTCTGGCGCTGCCCGTATTGTAAATGCGAGCGCGAAGCGACGAAGCAGATCATCTTGACGCGTCTGCCGCAGTTCTTGGTCATCCACTTCAAGCGCTTCGCAGCGAGTAAGCACGAGAAGGCGAAGAAGATACACACCCCGATTGAGTTCCCGCTTTACGGACTCAGTATGGACGACTTTGTCATTCCCCGACCACCGAGCATGCCGGATGGAGATGGGCACGTCGATATGGCGACCACGCCGCCGTACCATTACGATGCGTACGGTGTATTGAGGCACCTGGGGAATAGTGGCGACGGGGGCCATTATATCAGTATCGTCAAGGACCAGGGGAGAGGGTGTTGGCGAAAGTTTGACGATGAGCGGCATATGGATTTGGATCCAAACAAATTGCCGGCCAGGGATAGGCTGCAGAATGCGGAGGCATACATCGTATTTTATCAGCGGGCGCAGGCGAGGTAGAATTGAATTGAAGCGAAGCGAACGTTTTTTGGTGTGTTGGCTGTCCGTCTAAGTTGGTCTAGCATTGGCATTCTAGTCTTGATGGTCTGCAAAAGACTTGTGTGAAGCAGAGGCGGGCTTGAATTGACGGCCTCTTTTCTGGTGTTGGTTCCGAAATTGCCAGGCTGGCAGACTGAAACAAAGCAATGCATGGTCATGAGGATTGGCGAGGGACAAGGGGTCTTTTCAATGGACGGGTTGTTGGGTTATGAAGGTTATGAAGCGAATAGTAAAAGCAATGCCTTGAAAAGATTGTAAATCCACGTCGCTAATCGAAATACTTGGGGCCTTTCCTTTGACTATCCGCCCCAAAGGGTTGACGAAGGTTCATGTTGATGAAGGGCGATGATAGGCGTCGCTTCTTGTGATATTCGCTCCGCTCAAAGTACGGTCCGAGTGTAAGTCAATTGCCCTGTTGAGAATCTGGCATTTTGGAGCATCTATTCAATCAAGCCAGCTGCGACGGTCTCTCCATTGGCCCTCAACACAACCCTGGCAGGTGCCTCCAGTGGCACAGCTTGGTCCAGCTGAACCACAACGCGGACAACAGTTCCAGGTTGAACGATCTTCGGCTTCTTCTTCAGCACTGCTCCTGAAGACTTATCCAGGACAGCGACAAGTTGCGCTATCCGACCAGGCACGTGTAGGCGGCCTTTGTGGACGTCGATGTTCATCGGCGTTAGATGATCAAAGGCCAGCATCTTGGCCTTGAACTCGTTGAGGTTCTTGATTGGCGTTAGGGGACTGCAGAGGACGTCTCCTGTCTTCAAGTGAATGAGATCGACATCCGTCAGGTTCAGAACCACGTTCTGGCCTGCGATGGCCCAGTCCTGTGGTTCATCATCCACCTCGAGGCTCCGGATCTGTGCCTTTTCGCCGCTGGGCATGATGATCACCTGCTCGCCAACCTGGATGTTGCCTGCCTCCAAGCGTCCTGAAATTGACAACGGGTTCTGCACGCCTCCTCGGAAGACGTCGCTTATCGTCATCCTCAGAGGCTTGTCTAAAGCATGTGTCGATGGTTCCGACATGTCGAGTTCTTCCACCAACGTCGGTCCGGCATACCAGGACGACCTCGCGTCCGAAGCTCTTGTAAGGATATTTCCGCCTTCGAGACCCGAGCATGGGACGAAGGAGATGTTTTTCGGTTGGAATCCAGCGCTGGTCAGAAACCCCGACATCTGCTGACGGATCTCCTCAAATCTCGCCTCGGACCAGTCGGCAACATCCATCTTGTTGACTGCGACGATAATGCGCTGAACTCCAATCGATCTGACAAGCAAGGCGTGCTCTTTTGTTTGACCTTTCAGCCCGGACTCGAAATTGCCCGTCGATGCATCAATCACAAGCACAGCGAAGTCTGCTTGACTGGCACCAGCAATCATGTTAGGTACGAAATCTCGATGGCCTGGGGCATCGAGTATGGTAAAGCTGGTCTTGTCGGTTTCGAACTTGTTACTGGCGATGTCGATGGTGACACCACGAGCACGTTCTTCGGTGCCTTGATCCAGAACCCAGGCGAAAGCAAAGGAGCCCTTGCCGATTCGTTCGGCCTCTTTTCGATATTTGTCCATCGTTCTTTGGTCGACAGCCTTCAAGTCGAAAAGGAGTCTGCCCATGAGGGTGCTTTTGCCGGCATCAACATGACCTGTAGAATGTTGGTAAGAGCCAGTCAACAGAATGGGACGTTAACACTGACCAATAACGACAAAGTTGGCGGCATTTTTCCGTTTGATCTTCTTATACTCCGAGACCACATCGATGTTCTTGCTCTTGACTTTGGGAGTGTCCTGGATGGACAGTGCTTGGACACCTCTGGCGACAGATGTTGTCTTGGGTTTCGGTGTCTCCTTGGCTTTAGGTTTGACTGCGGGTGTCGCTAATGAGGCGACCATGTCAGCTCTTCTTCCAGTGGGTTCTAACGTCAATTCCGACCTTTTGCATTCTGCGCCCTCGACACAATGTCGTCTGGACTGGGTTCTGCAAAGGCGGAAGATTTAGCAAAGACATCAACAGGGAGAATGTCAGGCGATATTTGTAGATGTTGGTCAAGATCGTGGGTGGTCATGATGCTGGCAAATGCTGATGGACGACCACGGATATTAGATGCCACCACAGCAAAAGGATCAGGCTCCGTTTTCGTTTCCAGAGAGCCACTCTCTTGTGGCTGTGTTGCAGCATCAAGCGGGTTGGCGGGCTGCGAATCAGTTTCAACCTCTCTGGAACTCTGATCAGAAGAGTCTGCAGGACGACTGAAGGCAAGTTTTCGTTTAGGTCCATGACTGATGTGAAGCTTACTGAGGCGCGCCGCGTAATCTTCCTGTGAGCTTGCTGTTGTTGTTGTGCTGGACTCGGAGCGCTCGTTCTCCTTTTGTCTGCGCTTGGCCGCCAACGCAGCCAATTTGGAGGGCTTTGATGAACCTCCTAGGAGCCCACCACGGGGATAAAGTGGCTCAATGAGGATCTCAGCCTTGCGATGCTCAGGGACGCGCAGCCATGGGCAGTCCTTGAAGAATTCTGTGGCGGAGATGGGAATTGAACAGAACGGAGGGCGGGCGGATTCTTGTGGCCCATCAGCACCTTGTCCGAATATCGCTGCATCGAAGCAATCATGACCAACACGATCCGATCCGAGTCTTGTGGGCTGTGAAGTTGGATAATAAGGAAGACCAAGCTTACTCTTTGAGTCATTTGTTTGCTTCTTCGACGGTGTTGCTGCAGGTTTCTGTTTGTCTTGAAGGGGGTCAAGTCAGTGGATATCATTTCCCAAACGGACGAGGGAAGAACCTCATACTTTTCAGGTACACCACGGACTTTTCGACATCATAGTAGTAATGCCAAAGAGTTTCTTGGATCTCACTGTCTGCCACCTGGAAGGTTGGACCAAGAGCCTCGCGGACCTTGATGGCGCCCAGACGCATTTGCTCTTTGTCCTCTGGGGACATTTCACTGTCACCGCCGTTGTCGTAGTTGTCGTCATAGTCGTCATAGTCATCAAACTCGTCGTCCAGAGCAAGGCTCTTGACGCGGCGGTTACTCATGGTGTCTTAAGACTGTAGATACGTGGAGGAAATCCGAGGAGAAGACTGTGGTCTCAGATTCGTGTTCCAGTCTAAATCGGTTGTGTGAGTGGTCCGAAATGTCACCGCCCGGGTAAATCGAGTCGAAGTGACATGAGCTGATGTGATGGTGAAGTCGCGGTGGTCGCCTTGACAATCAATTTCAGGATACACCTACCAGACTGAATGACTGACATAAAATCCTGAAGGTCCTTGAACAAGAGATATACTGTGTAAGTACCATGCTTGGTGGTCTGAAGGTCTTCATCCTTATTACAGGTCCCAGTCAAAGTTCGGCAAAGTTGCCCTTGGAGCAAGGATCATCAACTAGGTCGAATCAAAGGATCACTAGTTAGTCAGCTAACTAGGTCGAATCAAAAGGCACCCAGATGAAATCAGGCCGGGAACCTTGAAGCCGCCCGCTGAGGACCTTCATGGACCTCAACTGCTATTAATGTAGACAGACTTATGCCTTCCATCAGGACTTCCACCACATTCACGCGACATGTGATGCTGGAAGTCTGTTACAACATGTCTACCCTCACCACTTCCACAACATTGCCGTAGTGCGACAACGCCATGTCGACCTCCCTCATGCACGCCCCGCCCTTTGGTCAGGGTGCCTCCCCCTCGGGCAAGTCGACCTTGACTCAGCAATTTGAGCGGACAAGCGAGCCAGTGGCTCAGCGCGGCTCTCCCCCCGGCAAGTCAACCTTGACCCAGCAGATCGAACGCCGGGACGACGGCGAACGAACTCCCAGATCCTCGAAGACGCCATTCACATGCTCACCCAAACCTCGCTCGCTCTCCGACGCTCCGAAACCTGTCCTGTCTCCCTCACCAGCCTTCCGAGAGCCTTCACGGCGAGTGTCAAAAGATGACTCGGTCATTACCGACCCTTCCACTCCGACCAGACCTCCCCATCATATTCGCGGTCTGAGTCTGCATATGCCTGCGAAAGATGGGTCGGATAGCAACTCTGGTGCGGGTATCCCACGCATACCTCTGTCGCCGAAGCTGGATTCGTCACAGATATATGGTTCTCCATCTTCCATGCTCCCAAGAAGATCCCGTGGCCTGGATTACACCCGAGCGTGCACCAGTCTGCATCAGACCACTTTGGCAGAGGCATCACCAGATGCTTCACCCAATATTGGCAGAGGCATACAGATACCTGCAAGACGAAGCTTAGCAAACAATGTGCTTGACTCACCAAGCAACCAAAACGGTCCGTGGTCTTTGTCACACGAACGGACAAACTTGTCAAGCTCTGTCAGCAGTATTAATATGCTTGGATCTGATTCAGAGACGGACGCCGATACAGATTCGGATGACATGGCCATTGATCGGGAACTCGACGATGCTATCCTCAACACACCCGCCGCATCAAGACTCAATGCAGGGGCGACGATCGGACTGATGAACAGTCCGGGGCTGGAGTGGATGAACAACACCCAACCTTCGCCCGCACAAGCAAGTCTAATGAGTTTCCAGCCACATTTGATGAGCTTTAGGAGGGCTCGGATACGAAAAGGCAAGAGTCAACATAGTTCAAGCAGTGTCAGCATGAACAGCTCCAAGCCATCCCCAGGGCCATTGTCACCAGGCGTATTGAAGAGCGTTGAGAGCGCGGGTGGCAGTTATTTTGGTATGGGGTTAACCAAACAACAAGTCCAGTCTCGGCGGGAAAGCCTGAGTTTGGGTACAAACGATCTCCACTTGTCGGACAGTGAAGACAACAACACCAGCAAAACTGGCAATCGCGCGTCGCTATCAGACATGGACGGTTTTGAAGGCCCACGAGGGGTCATCAGACGTGCCGTTACTCGGAGAAGTAATCTGCTTCCAAAGCCAAAGGGTTTTGCACGAATCCGTGCCCAGCTTTTGGAGGAGGCAGAACCTACCAAAACCGAACTTCGACGCGAGGCGGAAGTCATTCGACAAGTCCAAGAGAATGATCCGACAGTGTCGCAAAATACCTCCCCGATTATCCCGTCGAACAATAACTTCACAGCCGAGCCGGTGCAGGACTCTATTGAAGACATAGCAATGGATGCAACAGTTTCGCTTCCGCCTGATAGCTTCAGTCGTCAAGCAGAGAGGAATTCGGGGGGAGTGCAATTCTGGAACGGGTTTGATGGTCATGGGCGGTTCAGGACTCCCCCACCAGGCTTGCTACCTCGCGAGAGCTCATCGGCCGTTAGCGACGAGGCTATGGACACTCCAGGCTCTTTACTCATCGACAACCCGGCTCTCAAGCACTTCAACCGTTCGAGATCCAGGTCGGTTACCCCGCTTGCAAATTATCCACCAACTGCTGGAGAGGTCGCGCGCCGCGTTAACAACAAGCGACGTCGGGAAGAAGACTTCGATCCCTCGTACAGTAAGCGCCGCGCGGTGTCTCCTGGTATGAGCGTCCAGAGCAGCCCTGTGCTTCCACAGAGTCCCATCTTCACCAACGACAAGGCATGGTCGAAACTGCCACCAAAAGCGAATGGTCAGGGTCCGGGTGATCGCAGCAACAGTGCAGGCAGTATGAATGGCATGAATGGCTCGAAGAAGGTCGGGTTGCAAGGCATGACCGAGACCAACGAAGGCATGATGAGTATGAGTATTGATTGATCTTCTGGAGATGATGGTCTGAACAACAACAGTAGCGAGGCGTTCGGGGGAAGGTCTATGGACACTTTCTATATTCTGCCTGCTTTTCGGGAGTCACTTCCTCCACGATATGGTAGCTTGTGTCAGGTGATGATTACAATCGGAAAGTTACGATGACTTGGTGTTGTGCTCATTTCTACGCTGTACGTGAAATGCCTCTGCTCCAGAATCTCCTCAGGTAAGAGGAAATAAATGACCAGACGCGTGTAATCTATGCAACTCCTCTTGTGCGAATAACGTACATGCTACGCCTATGCCAGGATTCCACAAGGATATACCTCCGTACAACTATGCAAAAGCAACCCTCATGCCTCATTCTAAGATAAGCCAAGGGCCTCATCTTCCACCATCCTCCTGGTACTCTTTCTCTCGGGCTCCTCTTCTGTCTGCTCCACGTACCAGGCCAAATCGCTATCTTCTTGCATCTCCCCCTCCCTGAAGCCATTGCCCCTGAGGGTGAAGGGGCTTGCACTGTTGTAGTCAATGTCATAGTCCTCGCCGCGGATCTTGCTGATGAGCCGCTTGAACAGCACGGAGCCCCCAGCAAACAGGGCCGTCACGCAGCCATTGACCCTGCCGCGTTTGTACCAGCTACTACACGAACCCGTCCAGACCGGCGTCTTGTGGATCTCGTCGCTGTACCGGACGAAGGCGTCGACGGCGGCCTTTCTTGGGCATAACGTACTTGGTCAGACATTCGTCAGGAAAGACTATATGAAGCACCGCAGCTGGGAATTCCCAAGGAAGATCTAGTGCCCACAGGGGCTTCAGTACAAGGATTCGGGAAAGGAAAGCACCTTGAGGGCAAGATAGACACAGTGATGGACTTTGTCGGGACCAATCAGACTTTCGAGGAGCTCAAAACATTGGTAAATCTAGGAGGCTGAACTCAGGTTCTCACTATGCATAGCCCCAGCTAACTTCACCTGTGCAGTTCGAATAGGTGGCAAGCACGTATGCATTGGCATGCTTAATGTCGAAAACACAATCAACATGAAAGCGGGTGTCAGGAGGAGACTGAGCATCATTTTTCCGTACGGCGGACAGCTGAGGGATTTGAAGGCTGATTTGGATCTGATCGGCAAAGGTGCCATCTGCCCACAGGTGGAAACAGGCCGTCTAGGAGATTTTTCAAAGGTATTCACGGATCTTTGTGATGGCAAAGCCAAAGCCCACATGGCCTTGCTAGGTACCCCCTAGTACTAGTGTTCGTCCAACCCATGAATTGTTCTTTCTATTTCGACCTCACACTCGCACCCTTTGGCAGACCAATACCCACGGCGTGTCAGTCACTGAATACACACCACTGGCTCAGAGCTACTGTAGACAGAACTCACCCCTGGACACACGCAATTTACTCTAATTCCATCCTCGGCGTGATGGGCCGCCATGGCTCTCGTCATATTCGAGACCGCCCCTTTACTCGTCCGATAGAGCAAATGAGGTGTGCCACCCTTCAAACCAGCGACACTACCCATGTTCACCCCAGAATCCGACTTCTCCTCATCGCCGGCACCGCATACTTTGCCATGAGCACCATGCTCGAGACGTTGACCTCCAAACCCTTGGCCCAGGCTTCCATGTCGACCTCGACCGCCGTGCCCGGCGCACCGCCTATACCGACATTGTTGATCAGAATATCCAGACGACCGAACTCCTGCAGCGCCAGCTCGACCACCCGTTCGCAATCCGGGGCTGAAGTGACATTGGCCCGGGCAACAATGGCCTTCCCCCGACCGGGCTTGGAATTGACCATGTCCACGGTCTTGCTCACCCATGCCCAGTTCTGGTCGACGCAGATCACGGAACAGCCGTCGCGGGCCAGCAGAATCGAGATGGCCCGACCGTTGCCTATGCGATCACCTTCACAGCCAGCGCCGGTCACGATTGCGACTTTCCCTGCGAGTGACCGGGAGGGAGGGTCGCTGCTGATGTCCAACGACATTCTTGTAAAGTCTTGTTCTTAGAATAGTGTTGTGCGTGATCTCCAATTAGTACGACTCCGGTTTGGGCACGACGTCGAACTGGCCCCTATTTACTCCCCTACCGCACCTCACTAGGAGCTGGGGATGGTGTCATGACGGTGTCCTCAAGTCACCACGAGTCATGGATGAAGTCTTCCCGTAATGGGAACCTGCTAAGCATCGGATGAGGCACCATCCCCGCCACGGCGACCAGCGGGGCACAGTATGCTGGTGCCGGATCTCGGCACAAGTACTGGACCTACGAAGTAACCACGTAACTTGGCCGGGTGCCGCGGCAGGCTTCTGTGTCTTAAGCGGTTCATGCAGGCAGCATTTGGGGCTACAATCACCTGAATCTCACTTTTCAATCATGTGCTTGGAGACAGGAGCGCGCTGACCTACGACGACGAAGGCTCCGGCAAAAGAAACAGCCCGTTCGAGATTTTGCTGTAGCCTGCTGATGTGCCGCCACCCAAGGACTGGATTTCGAATTGGTTGCCTGCACCAGCGGGAGGCGGGAAGTTCTCCTTCAGCATGCGCTTCCATGGTGCGGAAGATAGTTTGTCAGATAGAGACTGGACATGCTCTGTAATTGCTCGGAGGGATGCCATCCAGGACGCAAGTCACTAAAATGCTAATAGAGTACTATGGAGGACAGGGTCAGCCCACGCCAGTCCTAAAGACGTAAAGCACCGTAAACCAAATGCCCAATTAGAATAAGATCCCTGCAGCGTGCCGAGATACTCTAATCCCGCCTGGCGCCTGCGACTCCACGTATTGGGACGTCCTGCACCCATATCTGAACAAGTCACCATTGAAGCATTCCTGCAACTTTGCTCTTGCCTACAGGCCAAGGGCGGTGCCGACACAATGAGCTCGACAGTCGACATCACGTCGTCTTTTATTCAGGGCGCCCCTCCCTCCGAACTCGCCGATGTGGTCAAAGACATCAAGGCTCTCACCTCCGACGATGACCCAAGCCTGATCGCCAAATTAAAACCGGCCTTTCAGAAATACAACGAAGAACAACTGGTGGCTGTCAAGCTGCCCGGCGCGAATGATTATGTATGTCCTCCTCCTCCTCCTTCTTCTCCTTCGCGGCTGTTGCCCTCCTTGTTCTGCGGAACGCCGTGAGCCGCTCGAGAAAGTACCTCCAATGCTGACAGCGCTTCGCTGGCCTTGTTAGGTCTTGATATCTTCGTACAATAGACTCCCTTCCTCCTCCTCAGGCTCCCAATACTACGACACCGCATCCTCTACGTCCTTCGAGTTCGACCATACCACTTCGAAAGCCAGCTCTCCGCAGTCATACACACACAACACACAACACTCTTCGCTCGTCCAGTCGATCCTCAAATCCCTCACGAGCCACTTTGCGGAACACTACCCGCCGAGTTCCTCCTCGGCGTACACGGCTTGCGCGACGCCGGACGACAGTCAGATCGCAATTCTCATGTCCAGCACGAAATCCTCGCCCAAGAACTTCCTCAGTGGCCAATGGCGCAGCGTGTTCCTCTTTGACCCGGTCTCGTCGACAGTGTCAGGGAGCTTGAAAGTCAACGTTCATTACTACGAGGATGGAAACGTCGCCCTGACAACGAAAAAGGAGGTCGAGAATGTCGACATAGGTGGCAGTGACGGCGCAAGTGTGGTCCGGAAGATCGCGGCGATTGAGAAACAGTACCAAGAGGAGGTTAACCGGACGATTGTGGGGATGAATGAAAACAGTTTCAAAGGGCTGAGGAGGCAGTTGCCTGTCACGAGGCAGAAGGTCGAGTGGGAAAGGATAAGAGGGTATGCGCTGGGGAGTGATTTGAGGGGGGAGGCAAAGCGATGATCGCTTATCAGTACCCGAGCTCGCTGTGCGTGCGCCCTGATCACCACACTATTCGAGGTGTCCCGGGAAAAAAAGAGAACCTGTCAATCTCCCAAGGTACACTTCGGTGGCAGTCCGCGGGAAGAGACCAACATGCTTCATTGACGCCGCTACGGACGCTTGAGCGTTGGCTGCAGGGCTTTTCAGAAAGCCGACATGGATCGAGAAGGGAAAGCCATGCAAACGGTTACGGATATCGTGTCTCATATATCATGACACCTCCACTTTTCCTCCTGTTTATGGCAGTCTCTTTCCCTGTCTCGTCGCCTGCGCAACCTGACTTTGCGTCGTGTCCTCGGCATACCTCCTATAGGCCTCGACGTACTGCTCTCTCTCACTCAGCGTATCCTGCACGCTGTCTCTCTCCTGCACTGCCTTCGCCCACTTCCTCCACCTTGCCCAAATATTCTCATCTTCACCTCCCTTTCCTTCGTCTGGAATCCCGACGCCACCCTTGTACACATCGAACAAGAACAGCCTGCACAGCCACGGCGCGAGCATGATATCGACCATGCTGAACTGTTTGCCCAGGAAAAATGGTCCCTCGGGATCGGCCTCCTTGATAAATGTCTTGATCCCATCGAGCAGCTCTTGCCGCGCTTCGTCAAGTGTGTAAGCTTTCTGCTCCGTGTGCTGCATGAATTTATAAAACGCCGGCAGGATTTTTGAGCTGATATGATCGATCCAGATGCGGCATCGTGCCCGCTCGTATGCGTCGGGTGGCAGGAGTGACGGGCCGTTTCGCTCCGGATCGTTGTATACTTCGTCCAGATACTCGCATATGACGACGGACTCGTAGAGGGGTTTTTGTTGCTTGCCGGCCTTGTCAATGGGCACGGCGAGTGTGGGCACGAGGCCGCGCGGGTTCAGAGCCAGAAACTCGGGGTCCTTTTTGTACGGATTGATTTCAAAGTACTGATGCGGAATGCGCTTTTCGTGGAGGGTGATCCAGGAGCGTTGGACGAAAGGGCAGAACCAGCCGCCGTAGAGGATGAGAGGGTTGGGGGACGAATGAGCCTGTGCAAAGACAGCGGCGCGGCCGGAGGTGTGTGGGTGGAGGGAGGTGTCGACACTGCCCATTTTGGGGGTAGTATGGAAGAAGGACTGGAGGTGGCGGGGATGGGTGCTGCGGGTTTTGAAAGGATTGAATGCAATATGTCTCTTGGAAAGCAATACCGAGGAACTTGAGAGAGTCTTGAGCATAGCAGAGAGGCGGGGACAATACAACAACACAGTACGCAGAGGGAGGAGAATCAGGTCTGATACTCGTAGCGGAATCGAATCATTCAACTTGGTGCGGAGATGAACTGCGAAAGAGTGACGTCGAGAGTCTGCTTACCTAACGGAGCCTTCCCCCCAGGCGCCTTTGAAGCCAGGTTGGTCACGTGGTTATTGTACGAGGGAAAACGAAGGAAGCAGAGAAAGCCACACTGGGCAACGTTGGTTTACAGCTGCTGGATGGCTGCCATTTCTTGTATCCACTTCTCAGTAAGTGACTTGCCGAATGCTGGAAGGTTCATAGGCAAGGCTGAAGGCTCTGGGCACTCCACGCAAGGCTGAGGACAGATTTTATGATGTGCAATTTTGCGAGCATGTAAAGGGAATGTACTCTGGTAAAAAGGCAGTTATGGCCACCTCTCACCGGCTAAGAAAATGCCAAGTGTCGAGATCGACTTCTGTCTTTGTCTGTGACTCGATGGTGATGCTGGAAAGATCTGGCAAGGAAAAGAACCCGGAGACACAAAGGCCAGGCTGTTCAGAAAGGGGTTAGAAAGAGATTCTTGGCGGCCCCTGAAGACTACGGCGGCACAGTGGGCGAGTCGAGTCTCTTCTCCAGCGAGCCAGTGGCGGCAAATCCAAAAGGACAGCGTATCGATAACTCGCTGCGCTTCATAAATATTTCTGTTCCTCCATCATCATCCTCCCTCCTCAACACCACCACCACTTCCTTTCTACCACTTCTCCTTTCCTTGGGCGTCTTCAGCCATGGCGCGACACGGTTCAAGAGCGTCTTCTGCTTTCCAGTGGACTACCGTCTTCTATCTCCTCCTGATTTTTATTTGTCCTTTGGCTCTGATCGGCTCAGTACATGCCCAAGATCAAGCTCCCTTAAACGACTCAGACTCCAACTATGGCACCGTCATCGGTATCGATCTGGGCACCACTTACTCCTGCGTCGGTGTGATGCAGCACGGAAAAGTCGAAATTATTGTCAACGACCAAGGAAACCGAATCACCCCCTCATACGTGGCCTTTACCGACGAAGAGCGGTTAGTAGGCGACGCAGCAAAGAATCAATACGCTGCGAATCCTACGAGAACAATCTTTGATATAAAGTGAGTCCATAAGAATATCCTACGCCTTGCAACATCTGCTAACTTCTCTTCCTAGACGTTTAATCGGTCGCAAGTTCGACGACAAAGATGTCCAACGAGACGCGAAGCACTTCCCCTTCAAGGTCGTTCCCAAAGATGGCAAACCTATGGTCACAGTCGAGGTTGCTGGTAAACCCAAGACATTCACTCCCGAAGAAATTTCCGCCATGGTATTGGGCAAGATGAAGGAAGTCGCAGAAGCATACTTGGGCAAGAAAGTTACCCATGCCGTTGTCACGGTGCCGGCCTACTTCAACGATGCCCAGAGACAAGCAACAAAAGACGCTGGGACGATCGCTGGTCTGACGGTTCTCCGTGTGGTCAATGAACCAACGGCTGCTGCCATCGCCTACGGACTCGACAAGAAGGGCAAAGAGAGCCAAATCATCGTCTACGATCTTGGTGGCGGTACTTTCGATGTCTCCCTCCTTTCAATTGAAGATGGCGTTTTCGAGGTCTTGGCCACTGCCGGTGATACTCATCTCGGTGGTGAAGATTTCGATCAACGAGTTATTGATTACTTCGTCAAGCTCTACAACAAAAAGAACGATGTCGACATCCGGAAGGATCTCAAGACGATGGGTAAGCTGAAGCGAGAAGTCGAGAGAGCCAAGCGGACCCTGTCTTCCCAAATGTCCACCCGCATCGAAATTGAAGCCTTCCACGACGGAAAGGACTTCTCCGAGACCTTGACCCGAGCTAAATTCGAAGAGCTCAACATGGACTTGTTCAAGAAGACACTCAAGCCGGTCGAGCAGGTCTTGAAGGATGCCAAGGTCAAGAAGGTTGACATCGACGACATTGTCCTCATTGGTGGTTCTACTCGTATCCCCAAAGTTCAGTCCATGATCGAGGAGTACTTTGGTGGCAAGAAAGCCAGCAAGGGTATCAATCCCGACGAAGCTGTGGCTTATGGTGCAGCTGTTCAGGGTGGCATTCTCTCAGGCGAGGCCGGTACGGACGACATTGTCCTGATGGATGTTAACCCGCTTACCCTCGGCATTGAAACCACTGGAGGCGTCATGACCAAGTTGATCCCGAGAAACACTGTTGTTCCTACCAAGAAATCACAGATCTTCTCTACGGCGGCCGATAACCAACCAGTCGTTCTGATTCAAGTTTACGAAGGTGAACGATCCCTTACCAAGGACAACAACCTCCTCGGCAAGTTCGAGCTGACTGGTATTCCTCCGGCGCCTCGTGGTGTGCCACAAATTGAAGTCTCATTCGAGCTCGACGCCAACGGCATTCTCAAGGTCTCGGCTGGCGACAAGGGCACCGGCAAGTCGGAATCCATCACCATTACCAACGACAAGGGACGCCTGTCACCCGAAGAAATCGAACGAATGGTGGCCGAGGCCGAGCAATTCGCCGAAGAGGATAAAGTGGTCCGAGAAAAGATTGAAGCCAGAAACAAACTCGAAAACTACGCCGTCTCCTTGAAGAACCAGGCCAACGACGAAGAAGGTCTTGGTGGCAAGATCGACGACGACGACAAGGAGACTCTGTTGGAAGCCGTCAAGGAGACCCAGGATTGGCTCAGTGAGAATGCCGATTCAGCAGAGAAGGATGACTTTGATGAACAATACGAGAAATTGTCACAGGTCGCATATCCCATCTCCAGCAAACTGTACGGCAGCGGCGGCGGTGCAGGAGGCATGCCGGACTACGGAGACGATGATGACGATATGGGCCATGATGAATTGTGAGCTGGGTCGGATCGTCCTCAGCTGGGTCTGGCATGATTCCTTTATGATACCTGTAGCAGCATTTAGACGTGCTCGACTGGGGATGGTCGAGTATGCGAGGCGTTTTTCCATTGTCTTTTACGTCCAATACTGGAGAGGTTTAGATACCACAAAACGCAGATTTCAAAAGCTTCATCCACTATTGCATTCTCCTTTCACCTACTTCCTCTCGACACGGTCGCATTCTTTCTTTTGGGCTTCGCGACCATTTGCGCTCTTTTTGGAGGAGACCATCATTATCGCTGCTGATCCTAAACGTGTCCTCTCGAGAACGGTACCAGTTCAAAGGTGACGAAGATTGTACCTTTTTGCAGGGCTACTTCATGGCGCGCAGAGAGATCACCTCCTCTAGATGCCGATGGTGGTAGCGCGATCTACAGAACGCCTCTGTAAAAGGACTGTCCGCCAGCGAAGACAGTATGAAAGGGAACGGCTTGAAATAATGCCCATTAATCCAATCGTCCATTCCTATCTCGCCAACTCCTGAAGAGTAGGAATGAAGTATAAGAACATTGCCCTTCTTCCTCATGCCAGTGTTGGTCAAGTCTATGAGTTGGTGTACCTCTCATGCCAATTCAAAGGACTCGGCGCTGAATCCATAGCTCCTCGACAACCTTCTTCCCCATCTTCGAGCAGTACGAAATGGAATCTTGCCGGACTGGTGAGGCTCGCGGAAGTGGATGCTCTTGTCGACACACCGCGCCACTACACGTGCAGGCGTAAACTGCCACACCGAGCCATATAATTTCTCGGCCTGGAAACTTATTTTGGTCATGGCATGGAGGAAGTCACTCCATGCGATCTCACCAGCCTGAGTATTACCACTTTTGTCGTGGAACATGGTCAAGAAGACTTTCCATTCCCGTTTCTTGACGGAGAAGATTGGTTGCTGTCGATCAGCCTCGGCATCGGTAGTTTGCACACTCTTGACTGTATCGCATGTTTCGAGTTCTGACGGTCCTCTAGATCCCCGAGTCTTGATTTTCATACGGAGGGGCTCAGGGTGGAATCGGCCGGCCTTCTCAGATACCAGCTCAGGCGCCCAGGTTCCTGTGCACGCTGTAGGTTCCCTGGGTGGAGGCGCCCTTCGAACGATCGGCGTCCATTGAGGCGTACGATGGAGTTGCCGCGGGTGGATTGCGATTCTGTCGAATACTTGAAACAATGTTTGTTTGCCGTATTTCAGGAAATGACTGTCGATGTTTTGGCAGAAAGCATCCAGGTTCGCCTCTGCGAGCCGCATTGCGTCGACATTCGATTCGTTGTGTGCCTTTTCGACAGGGTAATAGAACTTCTCAGACACCGGCAAGGTGGAATGCAACTTCAACGGTCCCTTCATATCTTCCTCAATAAAGACATCTGTGATGATCTTCATGTTTCGGGAGGGACCGTCATCGGAAAACTCTCATCGGAAAACTCCCCCTCTTCGAGTTTGACTGGAAAGACCATGGCCCAAGAATGAAGAGACATGCTCTCGCAACGCATTCTCGATGCCACCGCGAGCTCCGCAAAGATGCTCTTGGCGTAGGGTGACAGTCTCTCTTTCTGTTCGGTATCTTGATCAAGGAGGCGCTTTAACTCATCAATGAGATTTTGCAGTCCCATCTTCCGTACCCAATAATCCTCGCCGGCTCCCAATACTCGGAGAAGCGTGACCAGATGGTCCTGAGAATTGCTTCCCATCCTCGTCAACGACGGCGATAGACGCTGCACTTTCCCTGGCACGTTCCGAAGACGTTGTCGAGCAGCACCGACAAAGCGACAAACGAGGATCATAGCGAACATTTTGATTGCGGCTAAAATCTTGAGACAGGCGCCTTCGATTCCTTTCGGTAGTGGTTTGGATCGGTTGAATAAGCCAAGTTCGCCACTGGCCAGGTCGTTAAGGACCTTTGTTTCGCGGTAGAGCATATCCCAACTGACGAGGTTCTGATGTGCAATCGCCAGTTCGACCATGATGGTGTGGCTCCAGAAGACCTTCGCACTCTGGTTTGGTTTCTGACCATGGAATTGTGGTTGATTCCGCGAGTCGTGCTGTGCCCAATCTGTTATGAACCTGCCAAAATAGCTCGGATCCTCTCGCATGTCCCAGAGGTGGTCCTCTGCTGCAAGTCTTGCTGCTTCAACGAGACGTAGCAGGCGCCTAGTGTCGAGTCTTGTTGGTACTTGATATGGTGTCTCGGCAGCGATCGTGGAAACTTGGTAATATGCTTCGTTCACCATAATCGGCTCCGGTTCTGGTAAAGTAGGGAGTGTTGGGTCAACAAGCGCTCCTCTGGGGCTATCGTGCAAGATTTCATAGCAGCCATTCAGGAGAAAAGCCAGCATCTTGCATTGGATCTGATTGAAGCATCGGTCAGGATTTTCCTTAAAGCAATGCATCTCTTCAGCGGTGCCCAACTTAGACTCCACAAGCTGTCCATAAGTGTTCGGCCTTGAATGCTCGGACATCGACATGACATAGAAAGTGGTGCACCCATGGAGGATGATCTCTGGAAGCTTGTGAAAAGTCGCTCTTAGAGTCATTGATGCTAGGTCAAAATGAGCAAAGACGGCTGGCTGGTGGCGGCCCCGAGAGTTGAGGAGTAGCAGGAGGGACTCTTTGGGAAGCAAGTCCTCGAGGTTGATGTATGGCCATTTGAAGATTGAATTGTCTTGATGACCATCGATGTTATCCTGGTCCAGAACAGCCCGTACATCGGGACGGTGCCGGGCTGGCATGTTAGGCCACGCAGCCAGCAAGACTCTCTGGCGTTGATGTCCGGTTTTCTTTCCCCATCGTTTTCGGATGACTGGTTCTCCTTTCAGGAGGATTTGATTCAATGCCGTTCATGTCTCGAATATCTGTGTCAAGTATGCGCGAGCCCGAAGCCTGGCCGCTGCTAGGGTGATGAGTGTTGCTTTTCACCGGGTGCACCTGGTGCTGCCTCAATCGGGTTCGGATTCGCGGTTGTAGAGCGAGCCATGGTACTGCTCGAGATTGGGAAGGGGTTTGGTCGTCATAGTCTCGATGGTAGGAAGCGTTCATATGGTCATGTCGTCAAACTCGAGAAGGAGTATCGCCTTGCTCGTTAGATAGATTCCATAGGAAATGAAGACAACCGATGAACGCGTTCACCACCGACCTGAGTTACAGCGGAGTTACCAGTCGCTGCCTGAGGCCATTCACGTTCACAAGCCGAAGAAGAACCGAAGACCTTGGCAAGCAGGCCTGGTCACAAACATTACAAGCTCTTTCCTCCTCAACAACAGTCCATTGTTCACGGTGAACCTTCCAAGTTGAATCATGCTCTCGGAGAGGTAAGCGGTGGTGTACTGGTAGCATATCGCTGGATCCAACCATGTCTTCAGGCCTGGAGACTGTCATACGTCAATCTGTCCAAGTGCTGGCGGAGAAGACACCATCGCCTTCGCAGCGGCGTGGATGATCCACTTACACAAGGTACTTCGATCTGAGCATATATATATATTTAGTGACTCTGGTCGCTTCTTTCCAACACTGCATGGTGATGAGGGACAAGGGCGTTGTCAAACAGCTGTCTAGTACTGTTCCTGGCATTGGCCTTGTGCAGCCATCGTCCACCAAGCGCCAGAAGGCCAGAGCAATTTGCAATCAGTCCTGTGCGATGGGCATCTGGCTAGCAGGGTTCTGAGCTCAAATGTGCTTGTTGAAGAAGACTGGGACGCAGGTCGACCAGCGGCCGGCAACATGCTGCCCTGCGCTCTTTCTACCTGACATTGTGACTCTGGGACGTGTCGAGCCCGGCCAGTCCGGTACACACAATCAGCAGCATAATTTTTGGGAGTATTATGGCATGCTGATTGTCTAGGATTCTGCCTGAGCAAGCTTTCGAGCACAGTATGTGGAAGCGAGGAAGTGAGGAAGGTGGTGGCATGGAGCCAAGACCCACGTGATTTAGCATATCACGTGATCAGAAATAGGCCAACACATAATGGCCATTGTCCGACTCATTGTCATGTTTCCCTCAGCATTTCTGCCATTGCAACAACCAGCGGGACTCAAGACAAATAAGCCGTACTATTCTTTCAACAGTCTGGCACATGGCAACCCGCCCACAAGCTGCGTTTCACTCTCTAGAACATTCTACTTCCCTACTAGTTAGCATACCCGGAAGATGACCTCGACACACGACCTCCCCTTATCATACCCCCAAAAGACGAAAGCAAACACTGGATCATGGCCAGAATCTGAATTACGAACTTCCTCAAGCTGCTCCATGATCCCAGTTGCCTCCTCAAATGGTCCGACACCTAGTCCAGTCACTTCCTGCATCTTTCCGGTCACTCTTTCGTGGAGAAAACATTGGTAACGCACACCCACCCAACCAAGCCTCCGACATCCGTTTCCCATATCGTACCCATCCAACCGTATGTCTTGACATACTCCCTTCAAGTTTTATATTGTCAAGAGATGGCCCGCATCAGGAGCCACGACAAAGTGTAGTCGACCTCTCAGGGTCTACTAGTGCTCTGTGTCCATGGCTTTCAGTAGCGTTGTCACGGGTAGCTACAGGTTTCAAATCTCTCTTCTCGACCTGTTCCTTTGTTCGACATAGATCAGAGTCACATCAAGTGAAAGTGGTGGTAAGCTATTAGGACTAACAAGTGCATCTTGCATGGCATGTTGCTGTCACTGCTTCGGCATCATTGCTTCATTCGGCAAATTCCGTCTACATTGAATTGACCGGAGTGCTGGATCTTTGGTAAGTGAAGGATGAATCACAACACAACAAGAGGGACCACCTCTTTCCATTATTGCGACTCTTCATGTTGAGAAACTTTAAGACAGATCGACGTCCTTTCTTGCTGGCCCTACTTAAACCTCATGTGCAGCGCTCGTCATTGATCGCTTACCATCCACTCAACGGACAAGAAAGAAGCGCAATCACATCAGTGAACATGGTCTGTCTTCGAGGTGTACTGCTCTTCCTCCTCCTCTGTGCAAGCGACATCCTCGGCGAGGGTCCAGTATTTCACGTCCCTCCAGGTATCGACCCTGAAGGAGATCAAGTCTTACTTTTAGAACAAGGCTTCGAAGACGCGATAGTACTGGCGAGGGTGGCGGCGATAACCTTCGATCCTTGTGATGTCGTACGTACCTCGATCCGTCTGTCACGAATGGCCTACCAGACTGCGCAGAACAAGAAGATGATTCTAATATGGACACATGGCATAGTACTTCAATCGATACTTCAACGCTGAAGATAGCAAGTTCGTAAGCGACGTGTTCCGAACGATCGCGAACATACCCCTTGATCTTTCTATGGAAGACCTCAGCGGCAATCTCAATCCAGATCTTTCCACCATCGTTACCGGCAGCCTAAATTCGAAGTTCCCGAAATTGGAAATCGCGATTGGGGATCATCCTGACAGAGATGATCAATCCGAACGGTGTGAAGATGACCACATCGATGGCTTCTACTCCTTCAACCCCAACGATCCTACTGCAGGGCTCCTGTCCATCTGTATCGGTGCATGGAGATATCCGTCTCTAGACGACATCTTAGAGCCACCACCCAGTTGGAAAGGAACGCCCGGCTTTGAGTGTGACGGGCTCGGCCCTCGTGAGTCCAACCTGGAGTTGCCCCTGGGCGGAGTCATCCTCCACGAAATGCTGCATTGGCCATACCTTTTCCAGAACGACGTCCCTGACTGGTCCACCAAGGTTCCTACATTGCCACAGTACCCTACCATTCGTCAGATTCCAGATTACAAAGATCCAACGGGCAATCCTCCCGATGGTTATGGTCCGTATTACGCACCGCAACTCAAGAACGTGCCGAAGGGAAAGTGGGGACCCCAATATCCGATAACAACCAACAACGCTGACAGTTTCGTCTATTTCGCCACAACAAAGTACTGGTCCCTCAAATGCAACCGGGATTTCGCACCACCCGTCGACGAAGACGACGCCGAGCAACGAGATGACCTCTGGAACGAATTCCTTCCCGACGCATCACCTTCTCCTCCACACAAGCGTTCCACCCTTCGTGATCGTCTTCTCGGATATCGCTACAATGGCACCTCTCATCCCCACAGCAGAATCAAGCGTTGAAGTACTTGCGGACTGCCGTCACGATGCACCTGACGACGCGTTTACCAGATGAGCGGTTGTGGGACATTTGGGGGTTGTCACATGTCGAGAAAAGCTGCCAACTTGAGGCCAATGGTCGTGATGCTTATCGTCCTTCCCTGCTTGCTTGCGCGTGTGGTGGGGAAAGTGCTATGTTGGGCTTCCGCGATAGTGGACTCAGGGCGAGCCTTTGCAATCCAGTAATACGAACTCTAGCAACCCATGCTAAGAAGCGAAGGTTTTCTTGCAAACGGGTTGGTTTCACCAGGAAAGGCGAATCCCGGTCCGGGAAGGAAGAATGTCTTGCAAGAAGCATATTCATTCGCCCATTATCAAAGGATCGTAACTCATTGACCATCGAAGTCATCGTCACGATCAGACAGATAGCCCGAGCCATTGCCTTCTACCATCATCGGCTGTATCAAGGAATGAATAACAATCTACCTGCAAAAGGGGACTTCCACGTCTTACGCCCATCAAGTCTCTACATTCTATTTGTATTCTTTCTCAACATCATCTTCCCCGGCCTCTTGCTTTCTCCAGACCATTTCATCCCATTTCGCGAAATTCCGAGCGCGTGTAAGACCACGAGTGACCTCATCCTGGGGACCTTGGTGACTCTCCTGGTACTGAAATTGGTACCGAGATCCGTGGCTATTGCCAGCCTTCAAACCAAGTCTCTCACGGCGCCGCATTTCTGCATTCTTATTGTGCTGCTGCGCTGCCAGACGCTTGGCGACTTCATTCGCATCGTGCAGACCCACCAGCTTTCGTTTCGCTGGGTATTTGGCCATCAGAGACTCAATCAGACGATACACCTGCCACTCAGTGCTGCGATCCGATACATCATCCGCCTCTGAGATGCCCTCAGAAGCAGTCTTTCTCACAAATTCCTTTACAGGAGCCTCCGCGGCAGTCCAGGTGTTGGTGCTCGCAAGCTTGGGAGGGTGGTCAAATAGCTGACGATGATATTTGGCGAGAGCGACATCAAGTGGAGTCATACCTGTCGAGTTCTCCCAATGAAGCAGGCCTGGTCTGTACTCGACAAGGAACTCCACGACCATTCTGTACCCGCGTCGCACGACATTGTGCAGTGGATAGTCTCCGGCACCGTCCATCTTCTCGAGATCTTTCCCCTGGGAATAAGAGAGGATGATTTCGAGACTCTCTTCCCAACCTGTCGGAGCATTGATATGACGAAGGAACAAGGCGATGGGTGTCAGTCCTCCGGGCTCGAACCCAGCACAGCGTTCAAGAAACAACGAGCCAACAAGATTTTGGTCGAGCATGCCCAGGACAGATTGGAGCAAAGCATGCTTCTTGAAGTCAAAAGAATCCAGGAGGCTATGCAGGATGTTTCTTCCATTGTCGTCTCTGGTAGCCTGATTCGCGCCTGCAGCAATCAATTTCTTCGCCGCATAATACCGACCGGTCTGGAAGGCAAGATGAAGAGGAGTGCTTCCATTGGCCGAACGCATCTCCAAAGTCTGCGGCATCTTCTCAAGGAGGTAATCGAATGTTGGTTGAGTACCGTCCATCTTGGGTGGTGACAGTACCGCAAGATGGAGGGCAAGGCCGTTGTGAGTGGACAGCCAATTCGACAAGGTGCCTTGAAGACCACTCTTGGCTTGAGCCAGGCCCCGAATGTGCTTGTCGTTCTTGAATGAGTCCGCAAAATCCAGGTAACGATGGAAGGGGGCGTCTGACAGGAAGTACTCGGTAGATTCAAGGTTTCCTTCAAGAGCTGAGGCAAGAAGCGGAATGCCAAAGTCGGATTCGGCATTTTTCTGATGGGCACCCTTTCGGCTTGCATCCGCCCAATCTTGACGCTTCTTTCCATGTACAGTGAGACCTTGGTAGTATCTTGGTTTCTCATCAAGTTTCACACCCGAGGTCTGGAACATCTTTTGCAATGGTAGGCCGAATCCCGTTGTCCTAATGATCTCACTCATCAGCTCGACTCTGCCAAGTCTGATGGCAAGTTCAAAATCTTGTCGATTGATGGTCGGCACTTTCAGGTTGTCTTCGTCGTCTTTCTGGGCTGCAAGGTTGATACCCGTTTTGATCAAAAACTTCAGAAGGCGCAAGTCGTTGGTAAATATCGCAAGTCGTATGAGAGAGTGTCGACGCGTGTTGCCAATCTCTCCGAGGGCTTCGTGGAACCATGACCAGGACTGGGCTGAAAGATGGCCGTATGAGAAGATACGCGGCTCACAATATGCCCCAAGTGCTTCGTTGGCATCTCTCTCATCCACATGTCCTTGAAGAACACGATCAATCTTGCAGCTCCAGTTCACCATTGTTTCTGGTGAGACTTTTGATTTGACGTTATCGGCCAGAGCCACAACATCGTCGACGGTGAAAGTTTCATCCACTAACTGAGCGTGGACTTTCACGTCGTCAAGTACATCCGCGCCTTCGTGGTGATCACCGTATTCACTATCGTCGTCCTGATCGTCTTCAGTTGCCAGAATGTAATGGTATTGTTCCGAATTTTGGTCGGGTTGGTACTGGGCCGTGGCTATCTCGACAATGAGTGTGGCCAGATTGAAGTGCCCCCGGAATGCTGCGATAGCGAACGGGCTGAACCCGCGGAGGTCTGTGACTGCGACTTGGAGAGGTTTGGAGCCTGTCAAACACAGTGAGCGCACGGCTTCTGTGTCACCGGCCCAAGCCGCCTCGAAGAGCTGGACATATTTGGCTTTCTTTTCGGATGTCAGATCAGCAATCTGGAATGAAAACGTTGTCTCGTAGGGCACATTCTTGAACCTCTGTCGAGGATTGTACAAGCCAAAAGGATGGTGTGTTTCGTTTTGCGACTCCTCGAGCGGGTGCAACTCTGCGAACGGTTTGGCGCCTTTGTCAATGAGCCTTTTCTCCAGTTCCATCAAGTTGGAAATGGTGTCCATCACAGCAGTATCCTTATGCTGACTATGTTTCTCCGGACGCTTTGCCCGACTCGCAAGTTCTTCTTCGTATCTCTTTCTTTGATATCCTAGAGTAAGTCTCGCTTCGCGCAGATCATTGTGCGCCGTCCAATATTGGTACGATCCTCTGTCAAAATTGAGGTACTTGTCGTCTTCATCCAAAGACTTAGGCTTCTCGAGCTTCTCGTCCGTGGGTGGATGGAGGAAGTCTTGTAGAGATTTGATGCGCTCCCGAACGAGGTCCAGGAGAGACTTAGCAGCTGTGGCATTGCCTCTCCAACGGGAGCTAGTGAGATATGAATGCGCAGAAGTTGGCAGGGTGTTGACGTCCTCGCCAAGATCAACCAGCTGGTGAACCAGATCTACCATCTCCATGTGGAGGGCGACAATGATTGGCTGTTCCACACAATGCTGGTAAGTCTTCTTGACATCTTCCGGATCGTTTGGAACATGGTGGAACACATCGCGCTTGTAGGCTTGAGCAAACGACTCAAAATCAACGCTCGTTTGAGTACCCGCTTTGATCAGGCTCTGTACGATTTCCATCTTGCGACCACGGATCGCGGTAAGTAACGGTGTCTTTACGAACGGATTTGTGTAGTATCCCGAGACAGACACAAAGTTGCAAGCTCTTGAAAATGCAGATGGATCTGCATTCTGGATTGTGTCCAAGATCAACGTCTTCCCATGGTTAACTGCATAGTGAAGAGCTGTGATGTGTTTCGTATCGGCCTGCACAGCTGTTGCACCGTGTGAAAGAAGACTAGCAACGGTCTGGTTAGCTTGCTGCAGCGGGAGCTGGAGGGCCAAGACGATGGTGAGAATGGCACCGCGTGCCGATTCCCGATCACTCGGATCCCGTATCTTGACCGGCAAAAGGACATCAGCACCATATTGGTCAATCAGGACATCGATAACATCGATGTGGCCTGCAAGGATAGCGAGGTGAAGAGGAGAGAGAGGACTGTCCCACGCAAGGACATCGATGTCAAAGACATCCGGCTCATCCTTGTCTTCCGCCATCGCATCTGGGTCTTCCTCTTTTCCGCGTACTTTCACGAAAGAGCCTTCGGTCATCTCTCCGTCTTCATCCTCGTCCATGTCTTCGTCAGAGTCGAATGAGTCACTGTTGCTGCTGTCCCCCTCCTGATTTTCCGCCAACGGCTTGGACGCTGCGGCTCTGCGGGCCTCTTTTCTTGCTGCCTCCTTAAGAGATTCTTCTTCCTCGTTAGCTTCGCTCTTGTCAAGAAGATCTTTGACCATATGCACTTCTCCTCGGTGAGCAGCAATATGCAAAGCCGTCATACCATGGTACAGCCTTGACACAAGACGAGCACCATGCTCAATGAGGCACCGGACAATTTCTGGCGTTGAACACATTGTGGCCAAATGCAACGGAGTTCGACCTGTGTGGTCGCGCCGATTGACGTCAACCACCTCTGGCGATGAGAACCAGTCTGTCACGGCTTCCAGGTCATGATCGACAATAGCCTGACATAGTCTCGTGGTATTGCCAATGTAGGCCATCTCTGTCCAATCTTCATCGGTTATTGGGTTGAAACTGCCGATGGCCTGTCTGCCTGGGTCGTCTTTGAGGAAGGAGATATCGCCGGAGATGTAGATCTTGCTCTCTTCTTCATAGGCTGCAAGGTCTTCATCGGTTGTTGGTGGGGGGCAGAAACCGCAACAGTCGTGGATAACATCATTGACAAATCCGAAAAAGGCGGGATGGCGGTGGATTTTCGTCTCTCGGTCTCTGGGTCTGTTCCACTCGGCGTTGAACAACAGGTCCTTCGTGAACAGCAGTTTCTCGACCTTTTTGGCGTTGTAGCGAGGTCCGTACGGAATGCAGACAGTGTGGTAGTTGGAGACTTCATCCTCTTCAACCCACTCGGCGATATCGTCGGGTTGAGCATCCTTGACATTTCCTGGTAATTCATGGCGATATCTTGCATGCCATGGCACGGGTGGGCGACCTCTTTCCTCTCTGCGTTGAGCAAGGTATGTGTCTCGGTCATTAGGATGTGGAAGCTTTTCCAAGACAAGGAGTCGTGCTAGGCCTTGCACTCTTGTGAACGATCTTTCAAAGATAGTCGGGTCGATGCGAGCGCGATCGATGGCGGGCCAGTACACTTCAAATCCACGGTGGGAGTACTTCGACAGTCGATTTTCATAAGAAGGTGACCTCCTGGTCAGATCTATGGTGTTCACTTGCGTCATGAAGGCTGCGAGAGCTCGGGGAGATGCCCAGACTTGTTGGCCGTCATAGGCAACGCAAGAGCAGTCGACGTCAAAACCGGTAAGGATTTCAGAGATGCTCTTGTAAAGACGAAGCACAATTTGAACATGACGAGTTGGGTATTCCGAGACGATGGTTATGGCATTCTTGGTGCGGACAGTGGTGGTCTCGGCGAGGATACTGTCTCGAACTCTGGCCTCAATTTGTTTGATCTTCTCAATGGCTTCCTCCTCGTTCAGTCCGTACAGAAAGATATCGACATCGGAAGCTGGGGCGAGATCTTCGTGATAGTACGTCCGAAGGGCTCTCTGAATGTGTGTGTCAGTGAGCTGCTTCGGGCAAGAGCGCAGTGCTTACCTTGGATGCGTTATGAGGCTCATCCACAGGCAGGAGAGATGTAACAACAGCACTTCCGGCGACGACCACGTTGCTCCAATCAAGATCAATCAGCGATGATTCCGAGAATACATTGAAGTTTGTCTTGAATTCCTTGAGTGATTGCACAGTGGCGGGAGAGTCATGCTTTCTACGAAGCTCATCTGGAAGCGAAAGCAAGTATCTCTCCTTCTCGGCGGCTGGCTCTTGTGTGAGATTTCTTGCTCGGACTTGAAGAGGGTCGCTACCGAAGACAGGGACCAGATGGTGATCGGTTGCAGCAGGATGATCAGGATGTTGGGCAAAGACTTCTCTCAACTTGCTTTCAAAGGCCTTGAAAGGTTTCACCGCCTCAGTCACTCCAGCTTGTGACTTGGGTTGCTTGTTGAGATAGGTCACAAACTCTGAGACCGGCACAGGAAGGGTAGGAAGCTCCATCACCGCAAGAGGATGGTGCTGGGGATGCAGAAGAAAGGGCAAAGATTGAAGGTGGATTGAAGGATGATATGAGCAGCTGAACGCAGCACAGGACAGTTTCGACGGATTTCACTGCGCTGACAATCAGGCAAGATCGCGGACAAGGGATAGCAGGGTCATTGGGAGATAGCGTGGACAACAAAAGATGATGCTTGGGAACCGCGTCGTTATATCTGGACTCACCGCCAGATTGCACGAATATGACACGCAGGCACGTGGTGAATCAGATGTAGGCAGCCGGCAGTAGCCTAAAATACTTGTTTCATTTTCAGGCGACAGAGCGTGCCGCTTTGCTGCTTGTTGGCGTCGATGCCAGGCTTGAAATCTTATACAAATCAACGTCTCAGAAGTCATGGAGATTGGGGGAATGAGGTGCTCCAGGTGGATACGGTTGCCTGATCCTGCCTAACAAGCCAGGCTGATTGGACTCTCATCGCCAATGAAGGCCTACTGTACGACCTAGAAAAGACTGGAGATTTCACGTAGTGAGGCCGAGACGATCAGCGATGGCATCGATGAAGCACCGCAGACCCAGTTATCGTTTGACCCAGCGCAAGTTGATTCCGAAATGAATAGAAGAAACGCGGTCGCCGACGGAAGGAATCTGAGCTGCTGGGTTTACATACCCGGCCCTACATGCAACACGGCGCACCAAGAAACCCCATGCGCATTTTTCCCCGATCCGGCCCGGGCGAGGCATTGGCTGAAATTTTCAGCCTTGCGACGACAACATCTACACGCGCCAGTAGCAAAAAAGAACACCTAGAACAGAGGGCCACTGACATGGTCCTACTTCTCAGGTCAGCAAGATTTGCTTGTCAAGCGCAGAGAGCCTCGATACCAATAAGACAACCGAGACTAATCCCCCGAATGTTCAAATCCCCATTCTCTGTTCACTCTACTGACGCATCATCTCCCACCTCGACCAAAATGGCCAACGACCACATATTGACCTTGTCGTGCCCGGACAAGCCCGGAATCATCCACGCCGTTACGGGCATCTTCGCCCAAAACAAACTGAACATTCTGGACCTGCAACAATTCAGTGACCGCGACTCGGAGAAATTCTTTATGCGAGTCCACTTCGGCCCAGCCGAGGACACCGCGTTCCTGAAACCCACCTTCAAGGAGCTGGCCGACGACTTGAAAATGGACTACGATCTACGACCGGTGGCGCAAAAGCCCAAAGTCATGATCATGGTGTCCAAGATCGGCCACTGCCTGAACGACCTGCTCTTCCGCCAAAAGACAGGCCAACTCAGCATCGACGTGCCGCTGATTGTCTCGAACCACGCAGACTTTGAGCCCCTGGCGAAAAGCTACAACATCGACTTCCACCATCTGCCCCTGACAAAGGACACAAACTCCAAGGCCGAGCAGGAGAAGCGGATCCTCGATTTGGTCCAGGAGAACAACATCGACTTGATCGTCTTGGCTCGGTACATGCAGATCCTGTCACCGAAGTTGTGCGAGGTCATGTCCGGCAAGATCATCAATATCCACCACAGTTTCTTGCCGTCTTTCAAGGGCGCAAAGCCCTACCACCAAGCTTATGATCGTGGCGTCAAGATCATCGGCGCCACCGCGCATTTCGTCACGGCCGACCTTGACGAAGGCCCTATTATCGAACAACGAGTGGCCCGAGTGGACCACAGCATGACGCCCAAAGAGCTTGTCGACGAAGGTAGCAATGTTGAAAGCCAGGTCCTAGCAGCAGCGGTCAAGTGGGTTTCTGAGCAGAGAGTCTTCTTGAACGGACACAAGACTGTCGTGTTCAACTGATTTTGCAGGTGTTCCTGTGCATTTTTGGGTGGCCAACACTCGATCAAGCTGTTTGGACATGGCGGAAGACAAAAGTTGAGGCATATAACATGGGTCCGTTGTTCATATACTCGGGCCTTGCGCACATCGCGCAAGTATATATACACAAAGATGTCGATACGACTCTCGGCCCACGACTTACTGCCTTTTCCCCGTTCAGTATGCTCTCGTCTTGGGGCTGACAAAAGTCGCCCCCAGTTTCGAGGTTATTGCGGTCTTTGCTGTCCGAGGCACCTCTTCCCTTCACAACTCATCCTTTCCCTCTGTGTCTGTCTTCGTACCGTCCCCCGTTGCCAGCACCGAATCCTTCACCATCAACGCCAGAGTATCCACCAGCAAATCACTCGCCGCCACACTCGTGACCTCGGCACTCGTATCATATGGCGGACTAACCTCCACGACATCGGCGCCAACCAGCCTCACACCTTCCAAACCTTTGATGAACCTTTTAACCTCTCGCGTCGTCCATCCGCCCGATTCAGGCGTCCCCGTGGCCGGCGCAATACTCGGATCAAGCACATCGATATCAATACTCAAGTAAACCGGAGTATCGCCCACCACCTTTCTCACACGCTTTACGATTCCATCCATCCCACCAGGCTCGTCGTCGATCTCGTGCGCCTCAATTATCGTGAACCCCACAACATCCCGGTCAATCACATAATCATTCGGGCTAAACAACTTTGTCCTCAATCCGCCATGCACGCTCGTCCCCTTACTGATACACCCTTCCCGACTGGCGTGCCAGAAGAACGTCCCGTGCGTGATGGCGCTCTGCTCACTTACAATACCCGTGTACCCGGCATACGGATCCCACGTGTCCAAGTGACTGTCGAGATGGATCACACTGATCGGGCCGTAGACTTCCTTTAGACTCCGCAAGATCGGCAGGACGATACTATGATCCCCACCGAGGCTGAGCACGCGTGGCCTCTTCCAGCTCTCTCCTGCTGCGGCTGTAGTATTGTGCCACAAGATCTGCCGATAGCCCTGCTCCATCTGGCGAAACGCGTGCTGAGCGTCGAACGGCGTGATCGGGATGTCGCCGCAATCGACAATGTTGAGATTGCCCGCCGTGAGCGGGTCGATGCCCCAGACCGTGTTGTAGCTGCGACCCTTTTTCTCACGGGAACTGGCCGCACGGATGCCTCGAGGTCCAAAGCGTGCTCCAGGTCTGTAAGATGTCGATGTGTCGTATGGAAATCCCACGATCGCAATGTCGAGAGGAGAGCTATGCGCCGCGGAAAAACAGCGCTGCCAGGGGAGGTGGGCGAATGTAACAGGCTGACTGAAGGGCAGGTCCTTATCTAGATCCTCGAGTGTAAAGTCATAGTTCGGACCAACGGGAATGGACGAGAGTGCCGGCTCGTCGGCGTGAGAATGCGAGTGCGATTGGGCAGCTGCAAGAATGGAGAGGATGGCCGTGAGGGCAAGGACAACTGCTTGAGAGCGAGCCATGCTGCGTAATAGCTCGCAGGCCGTGACCCTGCTTCAATGAGGTGTGATCTGGAGGGCCAAAAGAACGAAGACTGGAACAACGAGCACAAACTTACGGTTCCCCCAGCGGGCCACGTACATGCTTTATACTTCGCACCCACTTCCCCTCCCACGATTCATTTGGTTCGAGGGACCACAGTCTCTGGCAGCTTGGACAAATGGACACCACGGACCGTGAAAATATTGACGGACAAGTCCTTTCCCCAGTGGATATTGGTTGTGAATCTGCAGCTAAGAGCCTGCTGAGATCTCCGTTTCCCCACAATGCACCCTTCACGTCTCTCGTGCAGCCTCGTGCAGCCTTGCCATGCCCTTACCTGGGCGGTACAATCGAAGTCACCCCTGGTAGAAGGAAAGATTTCGCACATCTATTTCGACCATTGCAATGCGCCACAGACTAATAAGTACTTCAACAATAGTACGCAGAAACACTTCTCATACAGCCTGGCCTTCCCACAATAAGTTCAGGGTATCATGCTTCATTTCGATTCCTCCCCAATGCAACCATGTCTCCGGGTGCCCAGAAACGCCGACCTGCTCATTTGATGTTCATGTGACTATGGTTTTCTCGCATCTGCCAGTTCGATCCTCCGATGTCGAGCTCGAGGCCGAGCCTGAGGCCGTGGGATGTGGGCATCCCTCCACCAGTTCATCGTCCTTACTTCAGCGCGAGGATGCAATTGATGTGCTGGTAGCGCTGACAATACTGATAGCAGCGGATGTCGATTCATTTCTGTGATCGTTCGGGCAACTGCATCAGGGTGATCATCACCACGGCTGGGCGTCGGTGAAGGCGCTGGTAATGGCGGATGCTTCTCTGACCCTTTGTGACTTCCATCGTTGTCGTCGACGCCCTTGAAGCTTGTTTGGACAACGTGTCTGCTTTCGTCGTCAACTTGGGGAGTCGGTTTCTTACTCGGCCTCGACATCGACAAAGTATGCGCTTCCCGTTTATGTCCATTCCTCTTCAATCGTTTCGGCGCGGCCTCATCTTCCGGTCGGTCCGATTTGACACTCTTCAGACGTAGTCGATCTTCAAGTTTGTCCAACATCAGCACTTTGCCACGAATACACTCACTTTGTCCCTTGTGTTGTGTATACTACACACCAACAGCAAGACAATCTTTCAGCACACTCTCCAAGCCCGACCGATCCTGTGCACCAGCACCCTCCCAGCCATAATTATCCGGGTTAGCATCCACATCCATTGCATCCTCATTCTTCTCCACCATATGTCCAATCCCATTCGCATACTCCCCTGCTTGCGTGCGTGCATGCCACTCTTCATGATCATACCCAGCACTCGCATTCTCAATCGTCCATCCCACCAACGGCATCTGATTCCAAGGCTTTGGCCCGACCTGGCTGGCAAGCTGTAAATCCGAGATCCCGATCAGCCGTCTACTATACGCGGCAGCCGCTTCGCACGGCAGGAGATCATCATCCCTTGTCCTCATCAACCGTCCACTGTGAACCTCTGCTTCCTCCTTTTCAATAATCTTTTTATACCTACTAGTCATTATGCCACCGTTCGCACTGTTCTCAGCGTACCTAGGTCCGTTGCTCCTCACGCGATCAAAGACCTCGCCTAGCACGCCCTTGAGATACGTCTCAGCAGCCAAGCCCACGTACTCGGCGCACTGAATCGAGCACCCACTCGCAACCGCCTCTTCGTAGCATATCGGTACGATGCGCGCATGTATCGTCGCCGGATCGGGAAACTCGAGTGTCTCACAGAACAAAGGTTGCAAATACCGCTTCCGAATCTCCAGGTCCCAGTTCGTCTTGGTGATACCGCCAGCCACGCTCGCGTTCGTCGTCACATTCTCGGGAGCCTTGATGCGGCCAACCATATATGCGTCCTCGTACAGATTTCTCTTCGCTGTGGCATCCTCGTCCTTGTCATTAATCACCGTTTTTAGCCGTCTCCTATCACGAGCCGGCAAAGCCATGACTTCGCTCTTGAGTCTTTGTTCGCCCGCATCGCTGGTCACCGCAGGTTTGGATGATGCCGCCAGTGCGGACTTGTCGGTCGTCGCGCTGACCCATGCCGCCAATCCGGGTTCAGGAGAATCGCGCGACGTATTACATAGGACGGCGAGAATAAGCGAGTTGTGCGCATGTTCGGTCTGGGGGGTTGTGTAGATGAAGACGTCGCAGAGGTCCCCAAATTCGCGGGCGTTCAGTTCTCCTATTACATTCCTGTCAGTCACCTGGATCCATGGTAGGCAATGCAGGGATGTGCATACCCCGAATAAACCTCGTCAGTGCATCATAGTATGTTTCCCAGTTATGCCCTATTAACGACTTGAGTTCCGCGTAGAGGGGCTCGAGGTCGATGCGAGGATAGTTCTGGGTGGTCTTGGTTGGCTTCGTCGTTGAGCTGGGAGGAGGCACTTTCGCGTTACTCGTTATCGATGTAACGGTGTCTGATCGTGCGAGCGCTGCAGGGTTGAATGTCTCGTCGAATGTGGCCATCGTGGAGTCGGCGAAGGCGCTAGGGAGGCCTCAGTATCACGACGAGCGCCTGGGGAGCGCGGCGCTATTTAATTTCGTGCTCATCCAAAAGATGGACAAAGCGGTATTGTTAATTGCGCATGGTCGGTGGACGAGTTCGAAAAAGCAATGGGTTTCAGGATGCGCGCCGTGGAAATGGTTTGGGAGGACGGATCGAAGTGTGGAGTGTACCGAACCTCACCCTCAAGACAGCCCGTCCCCACCACTTGGGAAGTTTCTTTGCATTTATGGTGTCCAGCTTATTGTGGCTCCGAGCTGGTGAAGGATGGTCAGGAGAGATCGCTACGAAGACAATCTTCTGACATAGGTACGCCATACAAAGAATCATGAGGATAGTGTCCAGCTACATACAAAGGGGTCTAATGTTGGACAGCCTCATGATCGCAAACCATCCAGCCTCGCTCATAAACGTTGTCTTGAAGTCTTTTCTAAGTTATCTTGACCTTCCATTTCTTGATTGTAGCATCTGCACCCGCGCTGTAGACCGTATCACCCTGCCAGACCACGCCGTTAACTCCTTCCTTGTGAGCGTTGGTCTCCTTGACTCTCTTTCCTGGTTCTTTCAGACTCCAGACGAACAGGTTGGTATCAAGACTTCCGGACACAGCCCCTGTCCCTTCTGGGTTCCATGCAATGGAGGTGACCTTTCCGGTATGAGCACTCCAGCGGTCCGTCACAAGGTCAAGAGAAACCGAGCCTGTGATCAGGCCAGTGACTCCACTGCTGATCTTGTAAACATAAATCTTGCCAGCTGCAGTGCCGACTGCGACCATGGAGCCGTCTCGAGAGAAGCATATCGCTGTTAATGGACTTGCTGAGACCTCTTCAACAACTGCAGTCTGCTTTGGTGCTTTTCCTGGTGTTACTGTGAACAACCGCAGACTCGAATCCTGCGAGCCAATGGCGACTGTACTGCCAGATGAAGCTAGAGAAGTTGGTGTCGATTTGAGCGGGAGTTCTCCGTCTTCTTCTCCGTCTCTGTAGACAATCACACTCTCTAGCTGAGCAACGATGACCAATGAGTCCGAGGTGCAAGCCAAAGCTTTGGGCTGTGAGGACAGTTGTGTAGCTTTTCCCGTAAAGGTCTTTGCACCAACATCGACTGTTCTCAGCGAGTCGTCCCAGCCCACTGAAAAAACCTGCGGGTGCGGACCCGGCGGGGTGGCTGCGAGACCCGAAATGATATTCGTATGGCCGTCGCCCTCGATGGTCTCTGCGCTTCCACTGGCAGCATCCCAAGCACAGAGGCGACCTTCGTAGCTTCCTGTCCATAGAGTTTCGCTGTTGGCCTCCCCTGAAGATGTGAGTGCTGTGATGTTTTTCTGATGGCCGGAAAGAACCTTTGTCGGCTTGCTTGAATTGGTGTTCAGATAATTGAGGTTTCCGCTGAGCGATAGAGAAATAATCAGACCATCCGATCTGCCTGCTGGCCAAACAACGCCGACTTGTTGATCTGGAACAGAAACACCATCGCCAAAAGACCAGGCGTGTGTCACCTTTCCTGCTTCGACATCCCAGGTCTTGACCGTACGGTCGCCTGAGCAGGTCACGAAATTCTTCGAGTCTTCTGACCAAGAAACGCCGAAGATGCTGCCCTTGTGGCCTTCTGATCCATCCACGATCTCTGTTTTGACCTCTCCGGTCTTACCATCATACAGATAAATCTTCCTGTCACCACCCACACTCAGCAGGTGGCTTCCGTCCGGTGAGAAGGCGACTCCGTAGATGAAATTGGTATGGTTGCCGCGGCCTGGAATGTCGTTGAATTTGAAGGGTGCGCCGTGGTAGAAGACTAGATTTTTGTCGTCTCCTGCTGTTGCTGCTCGCAGAGGTCGTTGCTGTCTAATGCTAACTGCGTTGACTTGCGCAGAGTGGCCGCTTATTTCTCCCACCGTGTTGCCCGAATCCGCCGTTACACAATGCCCGAAGCGCTGTTTCCCATCACCCACTGCTATTAACCGCTGGCTGTCGCCGTCCCATGCGATGTCATTGATCCGTCCAGATATAATAGCATATTCTCCTTTTGTAACCCCGGATCCATTGGGTGAGCAGTCCCATACTCTGACGATGCCTGAGGCGTCCCCAGATGCACAGTAGAATCCGGAAGGTGCAAACCTCGCAACTGTGGTTGCTGCTGTGTGTTGGGTATATTGAGTAGATATGGCAGGGTCATCGATAGAACGAAGGAAGATTGATTTGTTCGACGCGTAGGCTATTCGTTCGCCCTTGGAATCAGCAGACAGCGGGGTAGGTTGGCCTCTGGTGGTAGTAGGGAGGGCGGCATAGATGCCATCTTTGCTTGAATTAGCGCTGTCGCAAGAGCAGCGGAGCAATACTGACCTGCTGTAATGGACATTTTGTTTCATCTAGGTGTCATAAGAATCAAGAGCGAAAGAATGTCCTGGGCTCTCCCTAAGCGAAGTAAATACGCGGTGGAGGAATCGTGAAAGCCTGTTGGACGACGCGGCTGACAAGGCTGCGGGCAGAAAGCTGGCTTGCACACAGGGCCTCAGCATACATTATGGCACCGCAAATACGAAGATCAGAGCGTTCTGTTAATTGCTCTTTGGGGTCCCTTCTCGGTCTCGTATTGCTATTTCTACATGGGCAGGAGCTACCGGCGCACGAGCTCATTGGCCAAACCATCCTCCATGTTGCCTCGTTACGGAGTACGAGCGGCCTCTTTACGTGCAACCAACAATCTGCAATATAACCAGGATACCGTCATATACATACACACAGCACCTGAGTGCATCTGATTGACGCAACGCATAGGCGGGCCGACGTTACGGTCGTGTCGCAGTCCGTAAAAGCCCCCCAGACTTGGAGAGATTGTCAACGGCAAACTGGATAGGCCTGGTCGTCTCAAACATGGGGATGCTCAAGCATTTGTCAATCCCTGCCCGCCGGTACGTCCTTTAATATAGGTGGAGGGCAAATCAGTATCCCCCTCTTCTTTTTTCCATCTGAGCCTTCAGGATCTGAGGATGTCTGTGTACAGCAGGCATCAAGCCGAGTGATATCGCCCTTCGTATGGCCTTCGCGATTTTTCTTTGGTTGACGGGTCGTAAGCCGGTCGAGTTGGAGTGTCGAATGCGACCCATCTCGGTCATATATTCAGACATTATAGAGAAGTTCTAGGCCAATTTTAGCTAGAGAGGCCTCGAGTGAAGCACAGCACCAACCTTGTACAAAGTGAGAGGGTTGACAGATAAAGCATCGAAAGCATCAGTCGTCGGCCGGGTTCGTTGTCTCCATTTTCGAGCTTCGGCACCACTCAAGTCATGAGGCGCATAGACATCACCAACCTTCCAGAAGCGCGGCAGTTGTCTTGCTAATGCATGGTTTTCCTGCTCTTCCTGTTCCTCTCGTTTCCAGGCCGGCTGCTTTGAGGTATTCGACGCGGTTCTCGGGAATGTCTCTGGATGATGTCAGGACGGTTTTAGTATTTGGTGGGCAGTCAGGAACGTACGGGCAAAGGAAGAACGCAGTGAGTGGGTGTTTGCGCGGCTCAGCTGCAGGCCGCAGTTGGAGGTCAGCCGGATAGACATGATGTGATGTCTGAGGAATGATTGGAGACTTAGAGACTCAGTCAGGACCGCGATCGGCAAGGTCGACGCATGTGAAGCGATTGATCCGGGTAATTCGTAGACAATGCGTGACTACTCCTACACAGTAGACAACCAGCAGGTTACTCGGGCTACTCTACTTTGATACTCGGGACTTTTCCTGCCAAGACCCATGTGACCAGCGGATCATATGGATAGCAGCTGCAGGACAAAGTGTAACGAGATGCCGGCAAAAAGGTCGATCGTCGCTCTGCCACCGCACCTCAAAACTAACGACAAGTCACTTCAGTTAGCGGCCAACGGCCAACGGCAAGAATTTCGGAAGTGCGAGGAGGATGTGCTGACAACGGCGCTTTCACGTTTGTCAAACCATCATCTACCTTGAAGAAATGCTCTGCAGCTCGTGAAAATGGTCTGAGGCCCGTCCAGAAAACAGCACCATCAGCACCCTCTGATGTCATTCTGCTGGACCGGTGTTTCTGGTCAGCATCCAGCGCCTTTCTCAACTTCTTCGCCTTTCCACTTGTATCTACACTAGCTCATCAACGCTGATTGAACGGAGTGGTCGGAAACACGATTGTGGCAACCATCGACAATCAAGCATTTCGTCTCACCTGACACATCGACGGTAGTCTCCACGCTAATGAGCTAATCACGATATTCTCACGGAAAAAAATCACGCCCTACACGACCTCTGGGAGCCTCGCTTGTGAGCCTTGCAGATGATCTATTTGCCCAAGGATTCATGGACCAATACTCTTTGCAGGTCTCTGCACATCACCAACGCCTAAATGCTGAGCTGGGGAGCTTGCCAAAAAGGAAGTCAAGCCTATCATCGTGGATGATGCACACTTTTTCCAGCAGGGTGACTGGTGATCAATGGCGGAATCATGGTCCTGTCCGAGGCTTCACCGGCTTGCCAGCAGCATACTAGGAGGCGTTCTCGTACTTCCGGATCTGCCGGCGAGTCTTGTCAAAGTCACAAGGCTCCACCTGGCTCTACTATACGTTCGCACTAAAGCTGGGGAGGACATGATCATGATATTGGCTCTGGTGAGTCTGATCAAGGTAAGATTAGTCATGTTTGCTTCACTGATGCAAGACCTGCATGAAGCAGAATTTCGTCTGCAAGCTGGGTAAACATCTTGTGACGCAGTCTTTCTCGCATCCGGCCCGTCCGTCCTCATGTCGACACACTAGGGGTCGGTACTCCCTATAAGAATCTCGAGCTTTCCGTCCTTCAAACCTCGGAAGGCATCAATCTCCAGCTCCAATTCCAGGCGTCTTGTCCGAGCCAGACGAAACCTAGATCATTCCAATCACTTTTCCCCGTAATTCCATTGCTAGACAGGCACAATGGGTAACCACGCGCTCCAAACCAACCCCTTCGTGGTGAACGGCAAGACCGTCGATATCCACATCACAACTCGAGGCTCAGACTGGATCTTCGCCCTCATGGCAATCACGGGCACTGTCTTCCTCTGCATCCTCGGCGCCAGCTTCATGAAGCCCGTCAAGAACCGATTCTTCTTCTACACTCTGGCCATTCCCGCCTTCGTCGCAATGGTCGTCAACTTCTCTATTGCTTCCAATCTTGGCTGGACTCCAATCGACGTTGAATGGCGCCGCACCGATGACGAAGTTGCCGGCATCAACCGTCAAATCTGGTATGTGCGCTACATCGGCTGGTAAGTATACGCATATCTAAGAACTTCTACCATGCATCCTAAGTACCTTGACAGGTTCCTGATTTGGCCAATACTCACCGTGGCCATTCTTTTGACCTCTGTTGTCCCGACCCTATACATTCTGTGGACTTGCTTCCTCACTGCCTCGATGGCTGTCCTCGCAACCGTTGGTGCTCTGGTTCGCTCAGACTATAAGTGGGCCTACTATGTGTTCTGGCTCTTCGCCTGGCTCCTGGTCGGCTACCACCTGATCTGGCTTCCCCGCAAGTACGCCAATACTCTCGGCTTGGACGTCTTCCGCATCCACAATGTCTCCTCCGGTCTCCTCTGGGCCCTCTTCGGCTTGTATCCTATCTGTTGGGGTGTTTCTGAAGGGGGCAACGTCATCCCTCCCGACTCCGAACTCATCTACTACGGTGTCCTCGACTTCGTGCTGATCCCTGTCCTGTCCGGCTACTTCCTCTGGGCACACTGGAACATCGATCCCGCCCGCCTCGGTCTCACTATGCGAACCTACGAGGACCCTCTGCCAGGCACCTTGGTCCAGCACGAGAAGCAGACAGGCCCTGCTCCCGCGGCTGGCGTTACCAACGGCGCTCCCGCTGCTGCTCCAGTGACCGAGCCGGCTACTGTTTAAGCGTCGCGACCGAGCTTACCAAGAGCGCGTCTAAGGACTTGTGCATACGGTTGCGACAAGATGCGACACGACAAGATCTATGCCAAGTCGAACATGATACCCCAGGAAAAATTCGAAGGACCTAATATGGAGAGTTGGGCTGCTTTTACACGTAGCCAACAAAGATGAAAGTGCGTACGGTGGATGTGGAAGGATTTCCTTGCTCAATTTGATCTGAGATACCCACTCGTTTAGACGGATATACCCATGTACCTTAATAGTAATATCATCAATAAGTACCAATGAATATCAATTGTCATTCCTTTAAAACTATCCTCGGACAATCGAGTCCATTAACAGCTACAGAAAATATTACAATTCATCCTGACTATTGCCGCACATATACCACAGTAGAGGGCTAGAAATCGGGGTTGATCTTAGCCATTAATGTTGTGGCCGCAGCTGATTCATTCCATTAGCCTACCTAGGGAAGTACACATTCATTCCACCTTCAGGTTCATGTTTCTTCGCACACTGGGGTATCATAAAAAGGGCTGGGGTATCGCTTGTGTCCATCCAACAACGTAAAAAGGGGTATCGTGAAAACACAGCGCATCATTACACAATCAATCTTTCCCTTCCCCTTTCCCTTTTAGCGACTTCGAACTCAACTTCCACTGCTGCACTCCTCACCTCAAATCCTCATTCTCCTCGGTGCCCATCCACCACCAACTCCGTCCCAAAACCTCCTCGACGACCAACCTACTACGCAGGTGGGACCACAGCTTCCTAAGCCGCGACTGGTGCTGGCTGCTCTGCCGCGGGCTCCTCCTTCTTCTTCTCCTCCTTCCCCAGATGCGGCCAATGGAACTTGTGCTCGCCCTCCTTTTTTGGCTGCTCGCCTTCACCGACGGCGGGATGTTCTTTGCCTTCTGCACCGCTCGACCGCCGATGCAGTAGCTTGTCGACTTGTTCTTCGAGCTTGTCAACGATGGACTGTCTGCGCTTGGGCGTCGTCTCGCCTCCTGGCGCCGCGGGAGTTGCTTCTACCGCTGGTGCTGTTACTGCTTGGGCCGGTGTCTCAGCGGCAGTGGGCTGCGGAGCTTGGCCCTCGGCCGGCGGTGCATCGGCTGGGGCTTGCTCCCCGGCGGTGTGCTAAGCGTGGTGTCTTAGTAAGTCTGCAACCGATAGCTTTGTGGAAAGTGGCGGTCGGTTACGTACCTTCTTGGGATGCATAAGTTTGTCGAGTTTGTCGAGGACTGGCATTGTTTCGGACAAACCTGGATTGATATCTTGGTTGAAATTTGTTTGTTTGTTTGAACTTTGGACTTTGTCTTTGTCTTTTGGTGAGACACAAGACCAAAATCTACAATATGGGACTAGAGCCAACGACTTTTATTCTTGCACACCAAGCTTCGAGAACGAGTGAGAATCGTCTGCTACGTAAACCTACGTGCTGGGCACCTGGGCTGTGTAGTTGGTCATGTGATGAGGCATTTGACAGCATCGTAATGCGAGTAAGATCATCGACGATGGTGGTGACTACTGTTGATGGTTCTGGACGAGTCTCTCGTGATGCTGGGAAACGGATTCCAGAAGCGGGTGTGCCTCATGACCATGGTGTGGTTTGAGTTGGAAGTTGTCCGTCCGAGTACTATTGGGCACCTACTTGGGGGGAACTGTCGTTTTAGGATCGTCGTTGGGCTGGCACGAATGGCGGATCGACAACAAATGCTTGTTTCCTTATGGAGTACATCCTAGCTCTTGTCCAGACCAATTAGTAGAGACGGCCTTGACATGGGACGTCGATATCATGAATCGGGGGAATGCCGCTCGCTAGCCTCAAGTAACAAGCTGTTGACGTAAATGGGGAGTGTCAAGCCAATCGACTCTCTCGTTGCTGTAGGCTGCATGGCAGCAAAGTTGCGAGGAATGGCATGAGGATGGTGAGAAAGAGAGATGACAATACTGACCTACTCAGTTCGAGTACTGTTGGATCACAGGATATGCAGGTCGTGGCCCGCTTCTTCCGCTCAATTCCAATTGGATCCCATGTCCAATGTCCTGGAATTCTCCGGTCCCCACCAGGTGATAAGCCCGACCAGGCTAGATGCCATGCATCATGATGATCTTTGCGATGAGGGGTACTCATAGCTCGTATGCTGCGGCGGGCTTCCACGATATGCCATTCATCTTGACCTCTGGATTCAGGAGCGTGCACAGTAGAGTGGTTTGCTCAATCTTTCACCACCATGAACCGTCTACCCCTCCGTGCCGCAGCCCGGAGCTCCGCTTGTGCCATCAAGCAGACCGCAACTCGCCGTGCGTTCCATCCCGAACCACGGTCTTTCCAGAGCAGTCCCCACGGCACACACCGCTTTATCTACAGATGGACTGTGCAGGCCATTGGAACTCCATTTGCGGTGGCATATCTCTGCGAGAAGGTGGCGGATAAGAGTGAGGGTGATGGCAACTTCAAGCTCAGCCTACCAGACATCGATACCGGCTTGTTAACCGAGCCCATTCGGATGAAGGTGCAAGTCTGGGGACAGATGTGAGGACACCATATCTGGGCGGGTAGTATGAGGTGTATGTGGGAGTGGACGCAGTGATGTAACGAACAGACCACTCCTGGCAAGCGCAGTGACTCTGCGCTGGAGTACGCTGGTGAGGGCATTTGAGTCCGGGCAGAGAATCGCGGATCATTCGTACGATGGCGAATCTCACACCTGGGGACACCGCTTTTGAGCAGATTCCATAGCGGTTTAGTGAGAAATAGGTTAGACACTGCGATTCAAACGGAGGGTCGGTTCTGGACGACTTCTAGCAGACACTCTGGAGTTGAAGTCAGGACTTAATGACATGTCCCGGCGTGAAATATCTGCCAACATTTTCCGGTGCAGATATATACATCGTACATCTTATTGACATTTCTGTTCACCCTGTGGTGCAATGCATATGCATGCATCCTGGAGCGAGCTTCGCGTTCTCCATTGGCCTCGCTTCTCTGCTGTACTACAGTAAGATGATGGAAGTTGGCATAAGCAATTGCCAAACGACCCCTGGCTGAGGCCAACGAACCTAGGCGGCCAAGGGAGAGGATACAATACAAAAGAGAGATTGAATTCACACGTGACTAGGAAAAGAAATATATACCCAGATATCCATCGTTCCTGGCTGATAAAAACAAAGGCGGTCAGCCGAAATGGACAGGTAAATTGCCATACAAGGTAATATAGCGGCAGTAATTTGAGAAGTCACCTTGCGACCCGTGTCACGCAGATGATATTTCAAGGCTGCCATGGGCGAGGGGATTCTTGACTGGCAAGGCTGAGCAAGGCTGAGCAAGGAGGCAAGCCTCGGAGATACGTTAATCCGCAGCTCGCTACGAGCTCCGCATTCTCAATGCCATCACGATTTCATCGTCTCCAACTGAACGTTTGCTATGTCCATCACGCCACGATTTTGCAGCAACCCGATGCTTGCTTTCTGCTTCCTTGCATCGTCTTGAGTGTTAGCAGAGCACAGATCACTGCTTCGAGAGCTTGTCATTGAAGCCTTGCCTACAAACTCATGATGAAAGCCTCTCACCTCACCCGGAATGTGTTCCAGGCGATTATCGCCAACAGACCCTACGTTGTTCGAGAATGTCAGAGACGCTTCGCGACGAGAACGAGACCTCAAGTACTTGCACCTTTCTATAGGTCTCACCAGAAGCGAACCCTATTTGGGCTCAACTTTGGTGCAGAGCCGACTACGTTGGAAGGTGCAAGAACTAGTCCTGCCAATGTAGAGCGTGCACTGGTTCGTCTGGTGGAACTTGTTAGAGCTAGAAGGACTCATTCTAGGCTACCACCAGATGATCAGGTCGCCGATGCGTTCAAATACTTCTTCGCCTCCAAAGTCGCAGCGCCCGGACGATTGACGAGGAACGAGGCTTTCCTTGCTACAGAGGCATTCAAACATTTGCAAGAGCGTGGACATATCTTATCCGGAGACAAGAAGACGGGGCTGTCAGAAGAAGACCTTGAAAATGTATTGTTGGCATTGGCAACCTCTACTGGAAGAGACCGATATCGCAGTGATGCTCGTATTCTGGCAACGGTCGTGTTTGAGGCCCTGCAAACACGATCGGGAGCTGTGGATGACCTTGAATTGCCTCCCCAAACTGGCCACCAAGCAATCAAACCTTCTTTGTTAGTAACTTATATCACTGTCTTGTCCAAGACAGGCTCGGCTCCTGATGCGTTGGAGCTGTTACGGCAATCGCCACAAGGCTCTGAGAGAGCAAGTCTCCCGATGTGGGCAGTGGTCCTCACAGGCCTAGCAAATGAGGGACGAATGCAAGATTTCTGGAGAGCCGTTGAAGAGATGCGTGATGCTGTTGGCCCATTGGATGCGGCATCACAGGAAGCGCTCGTCACCTACTTCGCCGAGCATGATGAATTTCACACCCTCCAGAAAGTCTTTGATCTACCTCTCGAAGAGGGCCAAGTGCCGTCTACGCACTCTCTGGTCAAGGCTGTAGACTGTGCTATGAGGAATGGAGAGTTGAAGTGGGCAGCTCGTCCTTTCCAACTCTTGCAAGAACGAACCGATTCAGGTGATATGGCCGGGACATTGCTCCTTTGGTATGCTCTGCATGATCCCGAGGTGAACAATGTTCGACAAAAGCTTGAGCAGATGGCAAGGACGGGAGTCACAGATGCCCTGACAATGAAGACCATCAATCGCCTCGTTGAGCATGCTTACTTGCAAAATCAAGCCGAGAATGCCTCGAGATACATACAACTAGCTGAGGATCTCGGGCTGAGGCCCGACGCTAAGACGCGCTCTCTACAGTTACACTACCAGCTCCATCAAGGCGATCGCACGGCCGCCTACCAGACATACGAACTGCTCTCTAGGGAAGATCTTCCCGACGACAGGTGTGATGTACCAGTCCTCAACGAATACATTGCAGCATTGTCCTTCTCCGCCAACCCGGAATATACCCACCTCATGCAAGTGGTTGATCATGTTCTCGACAACGGAGCAGATCTTGATGCTGAGGCTGTCGCTGGACTTTGTCATGTCTTTCTTCAGAAGGACGAGCTGGACGAAGCAACAGGAATCCTCCGCCACCGCATTGATTCGTATCCAATGGACGATCGAGCACGCATCGCTGCGGTGTTCCGTCAATTTATTGTCGATCCGACGATCAAAGATCAACGAGCCTTCAATGCGTATGAATTGTTCAGACATGCATTCCCAGAGGCAAGAGTCGAGGACCGCGTCTTATTGATGCAATCGTTCTTTGACCGTGGCCGTTCGGACTTGGCATGTCTAGTCTTCGGTCATATGCGGCAGCGTGAGGACGCTGAAGCCCGCCCCACACCGGAAGCTTACGCGAAATGTTTCGAGGGCGTTGCGAAGTGTAGAGACATTGACGGTCTTCAGATGGTTTACAATATGCTCAAACTTGACTTGGAAGTGGAGCAGACGACGCGCATCCACAACGGTTTGATGGCCGCTTACACCGCATGTCAGCAGCCTTTCACAGCAATCATTGACCACTTCTGGAAGATCATGGAGTCACGCGAAGGTCCGACATTAAGCTCCTTTGCACTCGCGCTACAGGCTTGCGAGAAATGGATTCCCCAGGGGGCCCATGAGGCTAGACATATTATGGCTTTGATGCAAAGCTTCAATCTCATCATCACAAAGCAGACTTATGACTGCTACATTGGCGCGCTGGCTGGTCAGTCAGAGTTTGAAAACGTTGTCGAATTGATTGAGAAGATGGAAGAAGATATTGGGGAGCCACCTGATGTCCTGACTATTGGGACTTTCTACAATGCTATACCATGGCAATATCGCAAAGATGAAGTTGAGAAATGGGCCAAGCAGGCTTACCCTGAGTTATGGGCGGAGTTGGAATCATACGGTGACGAGATCGATGAAGAGTGGGAAATCCGGTACTTCAAGATCGATAGGACGATCGACATGGACGACGAGTTACTGTTCGCACCAGGGGAGTATCACCCTGTTATCGCACAGGCGAGTCAAACGACGCTGGAAGCGCCTAAGAAGTAAGGCGTGGGTCCGGGAGAAAATCTGCAAGGTATACAAAACTTGATGCTCATAATAAAGACGTCGTCAAAAATGTGCATCGATTTATTAATCTCTTGTCGTGCAAGGCTGTTACTGTGTACTCGCTCGAGTGTGGGACAGCCCACAGCCCCCTTACCTTACTAACATGACACAGACGCTCCCACCACACTGATAGGCCGGAATACGCAAAGCTGTCTGACGCGCAGCAATATGCCATGAGCGCGCGCTAAATATGGGGAAAGCCTCGTCAGACATGATCGGCTGCTCCTGTTCCGGCGTTTGGCGATCATTGATGATCACGCGGGCCGGTGGATGGAGGGGAAGATGGACATGTGCATCACCATTTCCATTTCCATTCCGCCTTCCTCCGCCCACCGCTTGCTTGCGTGACAATTCGACTTGCTCCTTGACTGATCCTGCTGTACTCTTCATATCTAGACTGTGGCTGGTCCGCAACAGTTCTCCAACGAACTCGCTTCCTTGCATTCGAGCCGGCATATGATCCGGTGATTGTTTCCAACGTTGACCTCATCTTCCCGTGGTGCTGACCTCACGTCCGGGCACGCTATGCCAGTGAACGTTAATTCGACCTGCTGACCCTCACCTCTGTTCCATCGTCAAGAACAGTCGTCGGACAAGTCTGCCTCCAGAGTCGACGATAATGTCGTTCCTCAGAAAGAACTCGGACACACATCCTCTCTCCGCAGTGTTCCCAACTTATCTCCTCCCTTCGGTTCCCTTTCGGCGCAAGTCCCGCCAGTCAAGCACCGATAGCGACTGCTCTGTCGAGTCCGCCCCGTCGAGTGCTACGTCCGCTTGTTCCTCCAACCCATTCACGAGATGCCCTACGCCGACTCCCATTCCCGCATCTTCTGCGTCTTCCGCTATCAATCCGCCGCATGACAAGTTCCTGAACGGCCATAGTTCACAAATTCAATGCGCAAAATGTTCCACAGACCTCTGCCTCACATCACAGGTCATAAGCAAGGGATTCACAGGCAGGCATGGTCGGGCGTATCTAGTCCAAGGCACTACGAGCCATATCCGTACTACAGCACCAGCCCTGCCGAATACATTCCAGAACAAGGCTATATCACGGAATCTGGTTACCGGTCAACATATTGTGAGTGACATCAGTTGTGCCATATGCGGCAGCATTCTCGGTTGGAAATACGTCGAGGCGAGCGAGGAAAGCCAGAAATACAAAGTAGGAAAGTTTATTCTCGAAACCAAGCGGATCCGCATCGGCGTGTCTTGGGAGATGGAAGAAGATCCACGCCCCGCATGTCAAGCATACGATGAAATCCTCACCCTTCCACCTCGTGAGATCAAGAAAATGGCCGACGGACCAGGCGCCCGCGGCGACGACTTGGAGTTTGATTCGCAGGACGAAGATGAATGCGAGGATCTCTTTGCCGGTGTCTGGAGTCCGCAGCTGGCCTCCAAGAGACGACAAAGAAAGCGAGAACGTTTTGGAAGGCGGCCTCCGGGTACGAGCATGATCAGCTTTGGCCCTTCAAGCAGCGTCGACACCTTGTCATGACACTACTCACGAGAGCCATCCTGGCCTTGCCCATCGTGGGCCACACCGCCTACATCAGTGGAGAACGTGGCTGGATTCCCTCTCTATTCGGTTTGTAATTTCCTGCATACGACTTCAGTGTGCAAATACCCCAGTGTTGGCGTCGCGTCACTTTTGCTTGGATACATTCATCATACGATACCCTTACCCATTGAGCTGGAGTTTACAATGGATGTCTTTCGAGCCATTTGACAAGGCAGAGTTCTGGGAATGATATGACGAAGGGATGAGATGTAATGTAGTAATGAGACGTGTTCAGAGAAACACTCGCCTCTTCAACGGCCATAGCAGTCCGTAGACTCGAGCAACGAGGGCTGTGGGTCTCGGGCACCATACCAGACCAGACCAGGCCATGCTCTGCACAACTCGAGATTTAATCGAAGTTCAAATATTGGTAACACGAAGGGATCCTGGCTGTTGTATGTTGGCCGCTTTCTCTACAATTCGTGTCTGTAAAGCCATGTTTATTAAGAGTAGATACACTCTTCTCGGGTTCCACGCGGATGGCACCATGTACTCGCATAACATATGTGCTCGCTTCTCTCGTCGCTTGGCTGCCGTCCAAGAAGAAGCAGTAGAAGCAAACCCCC